GTGAGTGTGTGTGTAGTTTGGCGAGTGTGTGTGTAGTTTGGCGAGTGTGTGTGTAGTTTGGTAAGTGTGTAATTTGGTGAGTGTGTGTGTCTTTGTGTGTTTGTGGTGTGGATATGTAGTTTGGTGAGTGTGTGTGTAGTGTGGTGAGTGTGTGTGTGTGTAGTGTGGGAGTGTGTAGTTTGGTGTGTGTGTGTAAATGTAGTGTTTGTAGTTGTGAGGGGAGCGGTGGTGTAGTGGTTAGTGCTATGCTGCGCTATGAACCTGGCGTCCCGAGTTTGATTCCTGCTCACGGCCAACACCAGTGACGAGTATCTGAATCGGTCCTGGGCCTCCCCTAGGTCGACTCAGCCTCAAATTAGTACCTGGTGTGGTGTGTCAACATCGCCGCTAGGAAGACAAAGGCGGCCGGGCGTGGTGTTAGCCACCCACCCCATCATGTGCCGTGACAGCCTTCATAGGTGCTACTCGCTAACAGCACTTGCCCCAACAGTCTGTTACAGGCTATACGGGCGATCTTTGTCTTTAAAATATAATCAACAAAATATTTAAATGGTGTAAACAGTCATAATGAGGGGAGGCGAGGAATGTAACCCCGGAGATGGAAATCAGCGAGATCCACAGTGGAGATATAGCAGGAACCCCCACCACTCACCCCCACCACTCACCCCTACCACTCACCACTCACCCCTACCCCTCACCCCCACCACTCACCACTCACCCCTACCCCTCACCCCTACCACTCACCACCACCCCTCACCCCTACCACTCACCCCCCTCACCCCTACCACTCACACTCACCCCTACCCCTCACCCCCACCACTCACCCCTACCCCTCACCCCTACCACCACCACTCACCCCTACCCCTCACCCCTACCACTCACCCCTACCACTCACCCCTACCACTCACCACTCACCCTACCACTCACCCCACACCACTCACCCCCACCACTCACCCCTACCACTCACCCTACCCCTCACCCCTACCACTCACCTACCACTCACCCCTACCACTCACCCCACCACTCACCCCCACCACTCACCCCCACCACTCACCCCTACCACTCACCACTCACCCTACCCCTCACCCCTACCACTCACCCCTACCCCTCACCTACACTCACCACTCACCCCTACCACCACCATCACCACTCCCCCCTAACCCTCACCACTCACCCCTACCACTCACCCTACCACTCACCACTCACCCCTACCCCTCACCCCTACCACTCACCACTCACCCCTACCCCTCACCCCTACCACTCACCCCTACCCCTCACCCCTACCACTCACCCCTACCATTCACCACTCCCCCCTAACCCTCACCACTCACCCCTAACACTCACCCCTACCACTCACCCCTAACACTCACCACTCACCCCTACCACTCACCCCCACCACTCACCACTCACCCCTACCACTCACCCCTACCACTCAACCCTACCACTCACCCCTACCACTCACCACTCACCACTACCCCTCACCACTCACCCCTAGCACTCACCATTCACCCCTACCACTCACCCCTACCACTCAACCCTACCACTCACCCCTACCACTCACCCCTACCACTCACCCCAACCCTCAACTCGACCCCTACCACTCACACTCACCCCAACCCTGATAGGATCGATCGGTGATAGTGATAGGATATATCGGTGTCAGTGATAGGATCGATCGGTTTTAGTGAAATGGGAGCGGTGGTGTCGCGGTTAGCAGGCTGGGCTATACAAACCCGGCCACACGAGTTCGATTCCCGCTCACTGCCAACATCGGGGACGATTTTCTGAAGCGGTCCTGGGCCTCCGCAAGGTCGACTCAGCCTCAAATGATTACCTGGTGCGGTGTGGTGTCAAACTCCACTGGGGGAGACAAAGGCGGCCGGGCGTGGTGCTGACCACCCAGCCGCTCGTGTGCCGTGGCGCGGGCCTTCGTCGGTGCTGGCTAACAGAAGTGTGCCCGGGGCCCGGGCGATAGGAGCCGGTCGGTGTGAGTGCTGCTCCTGCTGCTGCTGCTGCGGCTATAGTGTGTGTGGCCTGCACACCGTCCACAGGCGGGGGCTCCGTGTGCCCGGGTCCAGATCGGCCTCTGCGGATGGGGCTCGCGAAGGACGCTGCTGCCGCTGCTGCTGCTGGGGAGTTGGAGGCAGTCGCCCTCCAGCAACAGCAGAGGGCAGAGGAGCGACGCTCACAACAACGAGCGGAGTGCCACGCGTTTAGAACGCAGCAAGTTGGCACAGTGGTGAGCACAGGTGGTGCATCTGCCAGTCATCTCAGTCAGTCCACGGCATTTGGGTCTATTCCCTGACCTCATGCACCTAGCCTGGCACAGTGGTGAGCACAGGAGGATGCATCTGCCAGTCATCTGAGTCAGTGAGAGACGGTGAGGAATGTTGATTGATGGGCGATGGTGTTTGGTGAGGGGTGGTGAGGGGTGGTGAGGGGTGGTGAGGGGTGGTGAGTGATGGTGAGTGATGTGCCCTCACTACCATCATTATTAATCGTGCCACCATCATCCACACCACCACGAGCATGATCATCTAAATATCACCACCAAAATACAACGATCCCCCTTATAACCTGAACAGACTGTCGGGGCAAGTGCTGTTAGCGAGTAGCGCCTATGAAGGCCGGCACGGCACACCAGGCGGTAGGGGCCAGCACCACGCTCGGCCGCCTTTGTCTCCCCAGTGGCGATGTTTTCATACAACACCACGTACTCATTTGAGGCTGAGTCGCCCTAGGGGAGGCCCCAGGACCGGTTCAGATCATCAGCACTTGGTGTTGGCCGTGAGCGGGAATCGAACTCGGGTCGCCGCGGGCGGTGGTGTGTGGATGGTGGTGTGTGGATGGTGGTGTGCGGGTGGTGGTGTGGGGGTGGTGGTGTGAGGGTGGTGGTGTGAGGGTGGTGGTGTGAGGGTGGTGGTGGTGTGAGGGTGGAGGTGTAAGGGTGGTGGTGTGTGGATGGTGGTGTGTGGGTGGTGGTGTGTGGGTGGTGGTGTGCGGGTGGTGGTGTGGGGGTGGTGGTGTGTGGGTGGTGGTGTGAGGGTGGTGGTGTGAGGGTGGTGGTGTGAGGGTGGTGGTGGTGTGAGGGTGGAGGTGTAAGGGTGGTGGTTTGGGGGTGGTGGTGTGTGGATGGTGGTGTGGGGGTGGTGGTGTGTGGGTGGTGGTGTGAGGGTGGTGGTGTGAGGGTGGTAGTGGTGTGAGGGGTGGAGGTGTGAGGGTGGTGGTTTGGGGGTGGTGGTGTGTGGGTGGTGGTGTGAGGGTGGTGGTGTGAGGGTGGTGGTGGGTGAGGTGGAGGTGTGAGGGTGGTGGGTGATGGTGGTGTGGGGGTGGTGGTGTGGGGTGGTGTGTGTGGGGTGGTGGTGTGGGGTGGTGGTGTGGGGGTGGTGGTGGGTGGTGGTGGTGTGGGGGGGGGTGTGTGGGGTGGTGGTGTGTGGTGGGGGTGTGAGGGTGGGGTGTGGGGTGGTGGTTGGGGGTGGTGGTGTGTGGGGTGGTGGTGGGGGTGGTGGTGTGGGTGGTGGTGTGGGGGTGGTGTGGGTGTGAGGGTGGGGTGTGGGGTGGTGGTGGGGGTGGGGGGTGGGGGTGGTGGTGTGTGGGTGGTGGTGTGGGTGGTGGTGGTGTGGGGTGGGGGTGTGGGGTGGTGGTGGGGGTGGTGGTGTGTGGTGGTGGTGTGAGGGTGGTGGTGTGGGGTGGTGGTGTGGGGTGGTGGTGGGGGGTGGTGGTGTGGGGGGGTGGTGTGGGGGGTGGTGGTGGGGGGGTGTGTGGGGTGGTGGTGTGGGGGGGTGGTGGGGGTGGTGGTGTGGGGGTGGTGGTGGGGGTGGTGGTGTGGGGGTGGTGGTGTGTGGGTGTGGTGGGGGTGGTGGTGTGTGGTGGTGGGGTGTGGATGGTGGTGGTGGGTGGTGGTGTGTGGGTGGTGGTGTGGGGTGGTGGTGTGGGTGGTGGTGTGAGGGTGGTGGTGTGTGGGGTGGGGGGTGTGGGGTGGGGTGTGGGTGGTGGTGTGTGGGGGTGGTGTGGGGTGGTGGGTGAGGGTGGTGGTGTGGGGTGGTGGTGTGGGGGGGTGGTGGGTGGTGTGTGGGGTGGTGTGTGGGGGTGGTGGTGTGTGGGTGGTGGTGTGAGGGTGGTGGTGTGAGGGTGGTGGTGGGGAGGGTGGGGTGTGAGGGTGGTGGTGGGGGTGGTGGTGTGGGTGGTGGTGGGGGGTGGGTGGTGTGTGGGTGGTGGTGTGAGGGTGGTGGTGGTGTGGGGTGGGGTGTGGGGTGGTGGTTTGGGGGTGGTGGTGTGGTGGGTGGGGGGTGGGGGTGGTGGTGTGTGGGTGGTGGTGTGGGGTGGTGGTGGTGTGAGGGTGGAGGTGTGAGGGTGGAGGTGTGAGGGTGGTGGTTTTGGGGGTGGTGGTTGTGTGGATGGTGGTGTGGGGGTGGTGGTGTGGGGGGTGGTGGTGTGTGGGTGGTGGTGTGGGGGTGGTGGTGTGGGGGGTGGTGGTGTGGGGGTGGTGGTGTGGGGGTGGTGGTGTGCGGGTGGTGGTGTGCGGGTGGTGGTGTGGGGTGGTGGTGTGGGGGTGGTGGTGTGGGGGTGGTGGTGTGGGGGGGTGGTGGTGGTGGTGTGGGTGGTGGTGTGGGGGTGGTGGTGTGTGGGTGGTGGTTTGGGGGTGGTGGTGTGTGGATGGTGGTGTGTGGATGGTGGTGTGTCGGTGGTGGTGTGTGGGTGGTGGTGTGGGGGTGGTGGTTTGGGGGTGGTGGTGTGGGGGTGGTGGTGTGTGGGTGGTGCTGTGGGGGTGGTTGTGGTGTTGCGTAGTGGTGATGCGGGGTGGTGGTTTGGGGGTGGTGGTGGTGTGAGGGTGGAGGTGTGGAGTGGTGGTGGTGTGGGGTAGTGGTGGTGGTGTGTGGGTGGTGTGGGGGTGCGGGTAGTGGTGGGGGTGTTGGGGTAGTGGTGGCGCGGGGTGGTGGTTGATGGTGGTGGGGGTGGTGGTGTGGGGTAGTGGTGATGGTGGTGGTGGTTGGTGGTGGTGGTGTTGGGGGTGAGAGGCAGCAGCAGGAGGCGGAGTCGTGCCTCTACAAGAGTGACAGAGTCGCCACGACTCCGCCTGAGTCTTCACCGTCTCCAGCAAGCATGGAGCAGCCACCGCAGGTGAACTAACACACACTCACATTGACACTCATTTACACTCACTCACTCACACTCACACTCACTTACACTCACTTACACACACACTCACTTTCACACTCACACACTCACTCTCACTCACACACTCACTCACACACACACTCACTCACACACTCACTTACACACTCACATTCACTCACTCACACTCACTCACACACACTCACTTACACACACTCACACACACTCACATACACACTTACACTCACTCACTCACACTCACTTACACTCACTCACACTCTCTTACACACACTCACTTTCACACACACACTCACTCACACTCACTCTCACACACACTCAAACACACACACTCACACACTCACTCACACACTCACTAACTTACACGCTTACTCACTTACACACTCACACACTCTCACTCACAAACTCACTCACACACTTACACACTCACATTCACTCACTCACACTCACTCACACACTCACACACACACTCACTCACACTCATTTACACACACACTCTTACTCACTCTCACTCACGCAGAATCGCACACACTCACTCACAAACACACACTCAAGCACACACTCGCACTCTCTCACTCGCACTCACTCACTATCTCACTCGCCCACAACGAAAACAACGACACAGAGCCCCCGTAAAGGCTTTAACAGAGAGTCTGCGTTAGCCACAGACAGTGTTCGTACTGAAGATGCAAACACGCGCTGATGATGATGACGACGACGACGACTACACGTGGGCCTCGTCTTTGAGACGGATCGGTCTGCACCAGAGTCCGAGTCTCCACAAGGCTCTCGTCTCTGGTGTAGACAAGTCAGTTTCAAAGTCAATGCCAGATGTGATTGTCAGGGCTTTTGATTTGTTTGCATGTTCACCACGGGTACTGTGCGCGGATAACACAGCAACTTGCAAAAGGTCGAATCTGTTTTGTGTTTGAACATCTTGACACCTCCTGGTTTATTGCCAGAAAGAGTAAAACCTACTCTTTTTTCTCTCAAATATATTACGTTTCATCAAAAAGGGACCAGTTGTTCAACTCATAGATGAGAAGAAATGTGATGCATTTCACTTTGTAGCACTGTGAAAATAAACATGACCGTAAATTAAACAAAATAAATGGACATGAAGAGATACAAAATCTGTTTCATTTTCACTTTCATTGAGTCCTGATGCTGGCTTGTCGGAATGGGTGCAATGAGTCACCACAATTATACACACACAGATAGACAGACACACACACAGATAGACAGACACACACACAGCACACACACGCAAAGATCCCCTTGTAGCCTTAACAGACTGTAGGGGCAAGTGCTGTTAGCGAGCACCTATGAAGGCCAGAACGGCACGAGAAGGGGTGGGTGGCCAGCACCACAACCGACCACCTTTGTCTCCCCAGTGGCGATGTTTACACACCGCACCAGGTACTCGTTTGAGGCTCAGTCGACCTAGGGGAGGCCCGGGACCGGTTCAGATAATCGTCCCTGGTGTTGGATGAATCCGGGTCGCCGGGTTCATAGTGCAGCGCGCTAACCACGACACTGCCGCTCCCTACATACTCACTTACAAAGACAAAGATCCCCCGTATAGCCTTAACAGACTGTAGGGGCAAGTGCTGTTAGCGAGCACCTATGAAGGCCGGCACGGCACACGAGGGGGTGGGTGGCCAACACCACGCCCGGCCGCCTTTGTCTCCCTAGCGGCGATGTTTACACATCGCACCAGGTACTCATTTTAGGCTGAGTCGACCTAGGGGAGGCCCGGGACCGGTTCAGATAATCGTCACTGATGTTGGCCGTGAGCGGGATTCGAACTCGGGTCGCCGGGTTCATAGCGCAGCGCGCTAACCGCTACACTATTGCTCCCCATACTCACACACACACCGTCTCACACACACGCACACAGTCTCTCACACACACACCGTCTCTCACACACGCACACACACAAACACTCACTCCCTGCGTGAAGCTGACTCATTACATCTGGCGGAGGATCGCTCCGCTGAACAAAATAGTTCGCGGTTCAGTTTGCAAGTGCGAGGTTCGCGTTTTAAGTCGACGTTTACTAATATAAAACACAACTAATATAAAACACAACTAATATAAAACACAACTAATATAAAACACAACTAATATAAAACACAACTAATATAAAACACAACTAATATAAAACACAACTAATATAAAACACAACTAATATAAAACATATATTGCATGGACGCTGGTTCGTAAGTGCGGGCGTTCATAAGTCGGTTATTCGTAAGTGTGGGTGTTCGTAAGTGTGGGTGTTCATAAGTCGAGGATTGTCTGTACACACGTAAACATTTACAAATAATGAAACCACTGCGATCATTCCCTCTAACCCCCTCCCCATCCACCCCTCTGTGACCCCCTCCCCCACAGACACTCATTGCGAACCCCGAAATCGGAAGGGTGTCTGGAGGTCGCATCGTGAAGATGTATTTCATTGGCGCCGTGCTCTCTGCACTGGCGCTGATGCTGGTCTTTGCAGACAAGATTAGTTCAGCAGCAGCACAGGACGTGGAAGAGGAGGACATGGAGGAGGAAGAGCTGCAGCAGCATCATCATCAATATCACGATAATGATCATCATCAGCAGCAGCATCATCAGCAGCAGGAGCAGCAGCAGCTCGAGTCGGAAGCCGACCCGTGCTGCCAGGCTGAGCTGATGTCCAAGCTGACGAGTAGCTCCCACCAGGAAACTCGCAGCGAGCGGTGTCTGGCGGCGTGACGATGGTGGAGATTGAGGAGGAGATGGAGGGGGAGACATCGAGAGGGAGACGGTGTCTGGCGGCGTGACGATGGTGGAGATGGAGGAGGAGATGGAGGGGGAGACATCGAGAGGGAGACGGTGTCTGGCGGCGTGACGATGGTGAATGTGGAGGAGGAGGAGGGGGAGGAGGAGGAGACCACAATGCCAAGACACCACCACCAACCACCACCACGTGATGATGTTGAGCAGGACTTGAAGGAGGAATGGGTGACCTCAAGACCAAGCAACGATGGACCACCACCACAACCACCACCACCACCACCCACCACCACCACCACAACTACCACCACGATGCTGATGATGAAGATTGGGAATGTTCAACACCAGGCACGGGCGCTTTGTGTGTGGGGGGGGGGGGGGGGGGGAGTGGTGCAGAGAACGTGGGGAGCGGTGGCGCAAGTGGTCAACGCACTGAGCCACGAACCCAGCGACCCGAGTTCGATTCCCGCTCACGGCCAACACCAGTGACGACGAATATCTGAACCGGTCTTGGGCCTCCACTAGGTCGACTCAGCCTCAAATGAGTACCTGGCGCGGTGAGACAAAGGCGGCTGGGCATGGTGTTGGCTACCCACCCCCTCGTGTGCCGTGCCGGCCTTCAGAGGTGCTACTCGTTACCAGCACTTGCCCCTACAGTCCGTTAATGCTGCACGGGGGACCTTTATCTTTGGTGCAGCGAACACACCGACGGGATCATTGTGAGCTCTCGTGCCAGGCGGTTCTAGCAATGGTCACTGCTGGTGGGTCAGGCTTGACTGTAGGGTCAGGGTCACTGCTGGTGGGTCAGGCTTGACTGTAGGGTCAGGGTCAGGGACGGTTGGGCAGGGTTTAGGGTGGTTCTCGTGGTAGGTGAGTTGGTGATGGTATAGGGGAAGGCGGGTAACTAGGAGTTGATTGGTTAAGGTTTAGGGTAAGTCCTAGGGGCTGGTCAGGGCGAGTACTAATGGCGAGTGGATAGGGCTGAGTGAGGATTAGTGGTGGGCGGGGTTCTCAATCGCAGAAACGAAAAACATCTATAATGTTTATAAACACATGGGGTTTGATGAAACAAAGTTGTAACTTAACTTAGTGCTGGATTATCCTAGTCGCTACGACTACATGTGTAGTAGCTACACCTGTAGTAGTAGCTACTACACCTGTATTAGTAGCTACTACACCTGTAGTAGTAGCGACTAGGATAATCCAGCACTAAGTTAAGTTACAACTTTGTTTCATCAAACCCCATGTGTTTATAAACATTATAGATGTTTTTCGTTTCTGCGATTGAGAACCCAAGGGGGGGGGAGGGGTGCAAGGCTTGCAGTAACAGGTGAAGAGCCACTGCACCAGAATCATGCAGCAGTGACAGGGGAAGAGCCAGTGGCACTAGAAGCATGCAGCAGTAACAGGGGAAGAGCCACTGCACCAGAAGCATGCAGCAGTGACAGGGGAAGAGCCAGTGGCACTAGAAGCATGCAGCAGTAACAGGGGAAGAGCCACTGCACTAGAAGCATGCAGCAGTAACAGGGGAAGAGCCAGTGGCACTAGAAGCATGCAGCAGTAACAAGGAAAGAGCCACTGCACCAGAAGCATGCAGCAGTGACAGGGGAAGAGCCAGTGGCACTAGAAGCATGCAGCAGTAACAGGGGAAGAGCCAGTGGCACTAGAAGCATGCAGCAGTGACAGAAGAGCCAGTGGCACTAGAAACATGCAGCAGTAACAGGGGAAGAGCCACTGCACCAGAAGCATGCAGCAGTAACAGGTGAAGAGCCAGTGGCACTAGAAGCATGCAGCAGTAACAGAAGAGCCACTGCACCAGAAGCATGCAGCAGTAACAGGGGAAGAGCCAGTGGCACTAGAAGCATGCAGCAGTAACAGGGGAAGAGCCACTGCACTAGAAGCATGCAGCAGTACCAGGGGAAGAGCCAGTGGCACTAGAAGCATGCAGCAGTAACAGGGGAAGAGCCAGTGGCGCTAGAAGCATGCAGCAGTAACAGGGGAAGAGCCAGTGGCACTAGAAGCATGCAGCAGTGACAGAAGAGCCAGTGGCACTAGAAACATGCAGCAGTACCAGGGGAAGAGCCACTGCACTAGAAGCATGCAGCAGTAACAGAAGAGCCAGTGGCACTAGAAGCATGCAGCAGTAACAGAAGAGCCAGTGGCACTAGAAGCATGCAGCAGTGACAGAAGAGCCAGTGGCACTAGAAGCATGCAGCAGTACCAGGGGAAGAGCCAGTGGCACTAGAAGCATGCAGCAGTAACAGGGGAAGAGCCACTGCACTAGAAGCATGCAGCAGTGTCCCCAATGCTTCTGCGTGCGTGGCGATCACGACCCTGTGGGTGGCAGCCGCGTCGCGACCTCGCGTGTTCCTGATCGCACTCTGACGCCATTCCCTTCACTCAGGTCGCGTTGTCCAACTCGCATCCGCGTCATAACCCATCAATAAAATGCCTTCCCGAAATACATTAGTGGCGTTTATGTCTTCAGGGTGCTTCAAACAAGTGTTCACGCTTCTGAGACTGTGCAAACATATTACGAGAGATGTGCCTCCGGGCTCTGGATGCTATCTGGAAGATCCCAGGCACGTGTTGACAATGATGGTGAACAAGTGGAGACTCTTTACACTTTGCTTCCTTCGGTAAAGTCACGTGGGTATAAAATAAAATAAATCGCGACGTTTCGGGCGCCTGGGTGAGTGGGTGGGTGACTGTGTGGGTGAGTGTGTGGATGAGTACCCTAGGGAGCGCACACAGCGCGCTCCCTAGGGCACAGAATAAATGACGAGACGTATCCGCAGTAGTGACATCTGTCCGGCGGCTGGACGAGGTCCCGCGTGAGAAACACGCGGAGTGACAGAGACGGCAGTCGCGGTGACACGGGGCGGCAGCAGCAGCAGCTACTGCTGGGAAGTTATCACTGAAGGCCCGAACCACACAGAAGTGCCTGGGGCCGACAAAGAACCTGAATCCGGCCCTGCGTGCCGGCGCTAAACCGTGCAGTGATACGGGGGTTGACCTCCCTGGCGCCGTGACCCTCCCTCCCACGTCCGTCCGCTTTGCCCGGGGCGGGTTGGAGGGCGCTGGCGAGAGTGGTTGGGCTGCCAACGCCCATGCGACTGGCCATCGCGAATCATCGTCCGACGAAGTGGATCATGATCACGTGGCAATGTCGAGCATTCTCTAAGCGCAACGTTCATTCTAAATGTGGAGAGAAAACCCGGAGAACTCCGAGAACCATCCACTCGGTCACGTGGAGAGACACCGCAAACTCCAAATACACAGCAGCAGCAGGCGTCAGGGTCGGGATCGATCCCACGACCTCCTGTAGACCAGGCGAGGGAGTTAACATCTCCTAGCCACCGTGGCGCCCCATGCAAGCTTGATGGGCCTCGGTGAGAATGATGAAGCAGCTACTGACGTCACATTCCAGTCGCTCGGTGAATCCACCCGAGAATGGAAAACCCCGAGACGGACTTTGTGACCAGGGTTGCGATTTCCGCATGGAAAATGCGGAAGGAGGGTTCAAATTTTCCCGCATTTTTGCTAAAGTCAACCGCAAACGGTGGAAAGACAACTCCTATGACCGCGCGCTTTTAACAACACGTTAATGCGTTCTATTGGAAAGGATACATCATGTACATGTGCTCGTAATCACGGCTCCGCATTTGAATAAAGTATGTAGTTCTTGTGCGGAAATGCGGAAATCATATATTCATTCCAATCAGTAACTCAAAGTCCTACGTGATGCTGGGCCTTGCATGTATCCTTTCCAATAGAACGCATTAACGTGTTGTTAAAAGCGCGCGGTCATAGGAGTAGTCTTTCCACCGTTTGCGGTTGACTTTAGCAAAAATTGCGGGAAAATTTGAACCCTCCTTCCGCATTTTCCATGCGGAAATCGCAACCCTGTTTGTGACCTCCTCAAATGAGCCTCGCCGAGTCTCAACTCTTCCTCAGGAGGATCCTGCCAGCTGTTCACAGCACCAGGAGGATGCGATGCTGCTGCTGCTGCTGTGCGTGCTCACAATGTACAGGGGACCGTCAGCATCGCAGGTCCACGCGCTGCGCTACGAACCCGGCGGCCCGAGTTCGATTCCCGCTCACGGCCAACGTCGGTGACGAATAACCGAACCGATTCTGGGCCTCCCCTCGGTCGACTCAGCCTCAAATGGGTATCTGATGCGGTGTGTAAACATCGCCACAGGGGAGACAAAGGCGGTGGGGGCCGGGCGTGGTACTGGCCACCCACCCCCTCGTGTGCCATGCCGGCCTTCATAGGTGCTCGCGAACAGCACTTGCACCAAGTCTACAAAAAGAGGCGCACGGGGGCGATGCGTCTTAGTCTTTGCTCCCAATTAAGACATCTGCAGGTAATTTTTCAGCATCGGGGATGTTTATGGCCAACATCAGTGAGATTGTGTGAGGGGTGTTTTCCTTGGGCTACGGGAGAAACATCTGGAGAAGCCGGCGGAACCCCACACAGAAGAGGAGAGAGAACAAACACAACTCCAAAGAGGACGGCGCCCGGGTCGGGAACCGAACCCAGGCCCTTCTTGCTTCGGCACAGTGGTGGTGCCACCACCGCGCTCCCACTCTGCCGCCAGGATGTTGTTTCGTGTAAAATTTATTGATATCGGGTTGCGTCAAAAACAATCATCCACAACGTCACATTGGCGAGGGCATCGCTCGCAACCGTACTCCAGAATCCGCAACGGAGACCCGCACCAGAGTTTCGTCGCGAGAGCCACGTGATCACAAATAATCCGTGTCGATTTTTTTTAAACAGCCGACACACGCAGCGCGCCTGTTAATAAGACACGAAATGAAAAATGTAATCGCATAATTGTATCAGCATGGTCACTGGGGGAAAACACCAACGGCTGACAATGGATCTTCACAAACACTGCCCAACATGGAAATCAAGACGAGTGACCCAAGCCGCACGCCTCACGCGAGAGTCGCGAAGCACGGCAAGGCGATTGTTCGGCTGCTATAAATGTCCACGCGATGAAAAGCCACACTCCTGGTTGAGCTGTCATTTGTGATGGCCAAGTCGCAGTGGGCTCTTCCTGCCAAATGAAATCGTTTCAGGCGAACTAAAAAGTCGAAGTGATTTGCTGCTGCTGCTGCTGCTGCTGCTCGAATGAGCAATGAGGCATCGGTGCCCATCTGCACTTGACAGCCCGGCAGGAGCAAGTGGGCGGGGGGGGGGGTCTATCCCACATGACCAACGCTCAGCTCATTACTAACACGCCCCCCCACCCACATCTCTGTTTAACGTTACCGTAACTTCATATTGTAGTTGAGCTGCGATCGGTCTGAACATGATCTCTGCCCGGGCCGACTAAGTGCTCAAGAGGACTCATTCTATTTAAACACCGATTTGTGTTTGTGCGCGAAATCCCTTCACATCTCGCGTCACGTCGCCGTTGTTTTCGGGGGGGCATTTCTATCCCCTCCGCCGCTGTCAACTCGGATCGATGGCACCGCCATCCCAGCGGTATCGCTGCACGCGGCAAAATTGGTTGGACGTCTGTCAAAATCGCACCCAGATCGGACTGTTTCAATTGCATCCGTAATTATTTTTTATGAACCGATAATAAAACTGCGTTCGACAACCAGGTTTGCTTTTTAAAAAATAATGTACTCGGGTACGGCCCCCCGAATGCCCGCACCGCGCCGACAAATTAATCGCCAACCCGTGCCGAAGCGATGTCAAGCTTTTACGAAGGTTAATTATACGATCAAGGTCTGCGGAATAGCTGCACGCACACACACACGCGCATGTACACAACAGCCCCGCTCTCACACGCACACACACACACATGCGCGTGTACACAACAGCCCCGCTCTCACACGCACGCAACACACACACGCGCGTGTACGCAACTGCCCCGCTCTCACATGCACGCACACGTACGCACACGCGCGTGTACACAACTGCGCACGCGTTATCACGCGCACACACACACACTCGCGCGCGTGTACACAACAGCCCCGCTCTCGCACGCACGTGTACACAACAACCCCGCCCACACACGCACGCGGCCGCCCCAGCTGCAGAGCTCTTGCTTCCAGCAGCTGGACGGCAAACGCGGCCACCATCGGACCATCGCGACGACGAGCGAGCGGCGTAAACTTCACGATAGGACAGGGGGACTTCGGCTGGCCTCCTGGACAGCCAGCAGGTAGCCCTAGTGATGTGGGGGGCCGACCCTTCGCCATCTTCCAAAGCGTGGGGTCGTGGGGTCGCGGGGTCACACACGGACCGCAAGGTCACGCCAAGTCACGGCGGGTCACGCCAAGTCACGGCGGGTCACGCCAAGTCACGGCGGGTCACGCCAAGTCTCTGCGCCAGCGACGGTGCCGGCGGGGTAGGGGGGCTCGCTAGTCAAGCTCCTTGAAGCGGGCGGCCGTGGTCTTGAGCACGTGGGCCTTGTACGACTCGGACGACATGCCGTAGTTGCTGCCGCGGACGCCCAGACCCGAGCCCTGGGGCCGCTGGGTCACCTGACCGGACAAGCGGGGGAGGAAGGGGGTGTCAGCTCCGATTCCGACCGACCGCTCCGTCAAGATGCCGCTTGAAGCACGCAACAAAGACAAAGATCTTGACTTTAAACTTTCGTGACTGCAGGAATTCATGTTCTTTGGTTCTTTCGGGAAAGTCACGGATAGAAAAAATATAATAAAATTAAAGTGAATAAAAATATAAATAATAAAAAGAAAACAATAATAAAAACAATTCCTCAACCACATCAATTCCATAAACCCAGCCATCAAATTCACCATGGAGGCAGAAAAAGGATGGCATGCTACCCCTCTTGGATGTCTTAATCAAAAAGAGACCAGATGGCCCAATGAGCCACTCTGTCTACGGGAAAGCCACCCACACTGACACCTACCTAAAACCTGACTCCCACCACCATCCATCCCAGAAGAATGCCCTCATCAAAACGCTACACCATAGAGCTCAATGTATCTCCGACCATGAACACCTAACCAGTGAACTCAAACAAGCTCTCAAGGCGAATGGATATTCTGACTACACAATCCACAAAACCATCACCCCAACCGTGAGGAACTAGCCATCTGAGGATCCAATCAAAACCATCACATAGCAGGGGTAACCAAAAAGATTTCCAAAATCATGAACAAACACAAGATCCAGGTCCGATTTAACACAGTAGATAAAATTCGTGATCTGATCCCATCTTTGAAGGACAAGATTCCTGACATGCAATATCCTGGCGTCTACAAACTAAGCTCTATCATTGGGGAAACTAAGCGACATGTCTCGGACCGTGTTCGTGAGCATAAGGCAGATTTGAAACACGGTAAGACCAATACTTCTGCCGTGGCAGATCATTATTTGAATGCGGCTGGCTCACACGAAATTGATTTCTCTAAGACGATGGTACGTTGCAAGCCTACTGGCTATCAACAAAGATAAGCTCATGAAGCCATCCATATATGCAGACGTAGACACAATTTCAACCGTGAAGATGGGTACAAACTCAGCAATCACTGGAAAGGACGTTATCAACCATTTCAAGTCATAACTGGCTGTAATGTTTCCATTTTAGACCTGGCAGCCCTTTAATTGGTGGAAACCCACCACCAGCGCCGTCGTTGCCCACTACAACCATCACTCACATTAGCATCAGCTGCCCGCCCATGCTGCTGACACTTGGGCTACGCCCATTTACAAACTCTATCAACAGTTTGCCTTTAGAGGCTGACCCCCCTTTTTCTGATGACGACCGCTTGTGTTGCGATCGAAACGTCGTGGTTTTTTTTTATTCACTTTATTTGTATTATAATTTTTCTATCTACGTGACTTTACCGAAAGAACCAAAGAATATAAAGACAAAGGATCCCCCTGTGGGCCCCCTCAGACTGTTGGAGCTGTTAGGGAGTAACACCTGTGAAGGCCGGCGTGGCGGACGAGGGGGTGGGTGGCCAACGCCACGCCCAGCCGCCTTTATCTCCCCAGTGGTGATGTTTACACACCGCATCAAATACTAATTTGAGGCCGAGTCGACCTAGTGGAGGCCCAGGACCGGATCAGACAACCGAAACCGGTGTAGGTGGTGGCCGTGAGCTGAATAGAACGCGGGTCGCCGGGTTCGTAACGCCACCGCTCCCCACGCGCACCAGAACCGTGTCGGTTATCACCAGCCACCGATGTTTAGCCGTGGCTGGGAGTCGGACCGAGGTGCCGCATTGGCGGGACAGCGCGCGCTCGCCACCCCCCCGGCGGGTGAAGACACACCCCAGGAAATTCTGGCAAATCGCCCGATGAATGCCAGTCGATGTAACCGCCAGTCCACGTTAACTCACGTGTGTTAACGTCGTGGGTTTTACCCTCCAACACACAACCGGTTAGTGCTCGAGTGGTAACTAATTGGCCACGTTTTGTTCACCGGACGAAGACGGTTGTCACAGTATTGCGCGGCGCTTTCAGATGCGCATCGGCAGCCATCTGGAAAGCTCTTTCTTCCGATATTAGGAAGCCACTGGAGCTCAACGTAGTGGCTCATCATCATCACGTGGACATTTATACCAGCCAAATGCTCTAAATGCGCGATGTTGATTCGAAATGTGGACAGGAAAAAAAACGGAGGACCCGGAAAAAAATCCACGCGATCACAGGGAGAGACGAAGACTCCAAATATATATATGTAGAACTTCTTTCGCACCATACGTAGCCAACCCGTGCTAATCAGAGGTGCGGGAAATTTATAGCGGCCAAATACTCTGTAAAAAAGAGTGACAGTCGGATGCACTTTGGTGACACCGGCCACAGCGAGGGGCGGGACACGCGACCCGTGGTAGCGATAGTCGGCCGACAGGACTCACCGTCTCATTTTTCAAGCCGAGACTTCGGCCAAACAAAACCTCGTAAACACGAGACGAGCGGCAATCGACAACAGGCGCGTACAAAACAAATGGTGGGGGGGAGGGGGGAACAGGATTCCCGTGAAGCGACGCTTGCCCCCAATGGAACGCTCGCTCGCGTTTCAGCACAACGCCGTGCCGGCAGGGTGCGCGTGAACGTGCACTCTCACGGCCACCACTCACAAGCCCTGACCCACCACCCACCACCCACTAGCCCACCACCCACCACTCACAAGCCCTGACCCACCACCCACCAGCCCACCACCCACTAAGCCCACTAGCCCACCACCCACCACCCCACCACCCACCACCCCACCACCCACCAACCCACCACCCACTAACCCACCACCCACTAACCCACCACCCACTAACCCACCACCCACTAGCCCACCACCCACTAGCCCACCACCCACCACCACACCACCCACTAACCCACCACCCACTAACCCACCACCCACTAACCCACCACCTACCCACCATCAGTAGACCTCTGCCTGCCCCAATTCCATTTCTAGCCCCACACCTTCCCCCCTTCCCAGCTTGCCACCATCAGCGTCGTGCGTCTGATGTAACGATACGGAGGCACCACGCACCGGGGGGGGGCTCACCTCCACGGGGGTCGTGCGGCCCTGTCTCTTCTGGCCCAGACCCATGCCCTCCCGCCAGCCCATGGCCTGCAGCATCTTGGAGCCGATGTTGCTGCTTCCGATACCGTGCTTCGTCGGCTGCTCGTAGTCTCTGCCCGAGAAGAGAAAATAAATTGACGAAGATGCTCGCCGGAGGTAGCGAGATGTTAACTCCCTCCTCCTGCCTGGGAAAGAGTTGAGACTCGGCGAGGCTCTCGTGGCGTAAACGAGCGTCATCATAAATGTGAACATAAACAATCATTTGAGGAGGTCACAAAGTCCGTCTCGGGGTTTTCCATTCTTGGGTGGATTCACCAAGCGACTGGAATGTGACGGCAATGGCTACTTCATCATTCACACCGAGGCCCATCGAACACTTGCGTCGACATGCCGGTGTCCGCTTGCATGGGGCACCACGGTGGCTAGGAGATGTTAACTCCCTCGCCTGGTCTACAGGTCGTGGGATCGATCCCGACCCTGGCACCTGCTGCTGCTGTGTATGTGGAGTTTGCGTGTCGTTCCCTCTGTCTCCCCGTGGTGGTGGCGAGGCTTTTTCTCCAGGTCCTCCGGTTATTTTCCCCTCCCCATTTAGAATCAACATCACACATTTACAGTATGTGGCTGCTATGAATGTCCATGTGAAGATCCACTTGGCTGAGCTCCAACTTGTGATAGGCAGGTCGCTGTATAGCTCACTGCACCTTAATTGGCAAAATAAAAATAGTTTCCAGTTTTAATGAAATCATTTTGTAGTTCATAAATAGTTTTATAACTCTCAGATAACCGGCATATTTGATTAAACGGCGCCCTCCATTGCACACGAATGCCGGATAAGAAAGCTTTTGCTGTAGAATAAACACACGAGGCAGGAGGGGCTCACATGGTCGGTGCCTGGAAGTATTTCCTCTTGGGCTCCGGGGGTGTGGGGGCCTTGAATTTCACCCTCCGCTCGGCCGCACGGTCCCTATACTTGGACTGCGGGCGAATCACACACACGCACGCACACACACACACACACGCACGGACCCACACACGCACGGACACACACACACACACCCACACACACGGACACACACACACCCACACACGCACACACGCACGTACACGCACGTACACGCACACACACACGCACACATGCACACACACACACACACCCACGCACGCTCACGCACGCACGGACACGCACGCACACAAACACGCACAGCGAGGGGACGCTCACTTACGTGCGCACGGACAACACGGGGGGGGGTGGCCATGGTGGGACGGTGTCAACGCCTGACGGGATCTGGATCCAGGCACCTTCCCGTGTGGCGTTTGTGTTTGCCGTCGTCGTCGTCCCCGCGAGTGAGTGACCGTGTCCTCGTGCGCCGTGTCGGCCTCCGAAGGCGCTACCCGCTAACAGCACTTGCCCCAAGTCTGTTAAGGCTACACGGGAGATCTTTGTCTTCATGGGTGCGGGGAGCGGTAGTGGTAGATGTTGGCACGCCGCGCTACGAACCCAGTGACCCGAGTTCGATTGCCGCTCACGGCCACCAACCCCAGTGGCGATGATCTTGAACCGGAACTGGGCCGGCCCTCGGTCGATTCAAATGGGTACCTGGTGCGGTGTTCTAAACGTTGCCATATTAATCTGAAGCATCAGACTGAGTTAGGGACGATCCGAATATTAGTTTCAGTTTCAGCATTCAGATAAGCAAATGGGAATCAATGTCACTGATATGCCATCGTGGGCAGAACGGAATGGAGTTCAATAGAACTCACAAACACCTTGAGAAAGACCCAAAGCAGAAGGTCCCTGGGTTTTATCTTCCACGAAACTGCTCATGGTCCACCCTAAGCCGTACCCACCGCACAAACCATGGCAGCAGATGCGGATACCTGATGATGCACAAATGGTGCGACTGTGGTCATCAAGAACGGACATCGTGGTACAACGTGGAACGTCGCAATGGCCCGATGCACAAATACGGAGGGAGACATCGCGGCGATACGCCACACCGCTACTCCTGACGCGGCCACCTGGCTTGTCCGCTCACATGTTGAACTTCTTTCGCATCGCACACGGGCCAAACGTGCCTAATCGGAGGTGCGGTTGGCGCAGCGTGTAAACATCGCAGTGAGCGAGCGGCGCCGTTCACGCAGGCCGGGAAACGACGCTCGGCCTCTACGGAAGAGAGGAGGTCGGGCAGCAGCCCGGGGTGAACGGCGCTGTGCGAGAAGCGACTGCGTGCGGGGGGTGGCGCGGAGGACGACGGTGACGACGTTGGACACTTGCCTCCTTGTCCTCCATCTCCCTCGACATGGTCCCTCCCCGCTGCTTCAGCATCTCCACGGTGATCTGCAACGGCACGCGGGTGGGGTGAGCGCGGCAACCCTGGAGACCTCACCGCTGTTGCCACTCACCGCCGTCGATACGCTTGCCGCACTCACACCACCATCACCACACTCACCAGCATCGCCACACTCACTAGCATCACCACGCTCACCACCATTGCCACGCTAACACCAGCATCACCACGCTCACCAGCATCGCCACACTCACCAGCATCACCTCCCTCACACCGCCATCGCCACGCTCACCACCATCATTGCCACACTCACCACCATCGCCACGCTCACCACGCTCGCCACTTGCACCCACACTCACACCATTACCGTGACACGCGTACATCACCGTAACACGCGCACATCATCTTAACACGCATGTGCGCATCACTGTAAGGTGCCACGTCATCTTAACGTGCGTGTGAGACAAGGCGGCACGCGTGCGTCCCCGCAGTCACGTGGCGGCGGGGGACACTTGCCTCCCTCTCCCTCCTCTCCAGCTCCTCCAGCTCCTTGGTGGACAGCTTGGCTCTCCTGTGGATCTCCAAGTTTTGCTGAAACGACACGGGGGGAGTGGGGGGGGGAGGTCAGCGACCGCGGTCACGACGGAGCGCGTCCACGCCACCGTGTGGGTTCCGTCGCTAGACACGGGTCGTGCGCATGCCGCCTAGGGCCAGGCGTGGTACTGGCAACCCTCCCCTCGTGTGCCGTGCCGGCCTCCATAGGTGCTGCTCGCTAACAGGACTTGCCCCAACAGTCTGTTAAGGCTATATGGGGGATCTTTGTCTTTGCATCGTATGTTGACCTTCTTTGAGCACAGTAAGTAGCCAACCGTGCTCATCGGAGGTGCGGGGGGGGGGGGGGCAACAAACTAAACAGCGGCCTCGAGGGGACGACCAGAGCAACAGACAGACCAGTGCACGCAATGACAAGGCCCCAGTGTGCAACCCTCAAAGAGATTTCCGGAGCGAGCGCTGTGAGCCCAGCAGCTATATTAAAGCCCGAATGGCACCCGAGGGGGCGGTGTGGCCAGCAGCACGCACGGCCGCCTTTGTCTCCCCGGTGCCGATGTTTACACACCGCTCCAGGTACTCATTTGTGAGGCTGAGTCGACCTAGGGGAGGCCCAGGAGCGGTTCAGATATTAGTCACCAGTGTTGGCCGTGAGCGGGAATCGAACTCGGGTCGCCAGGTTCGTAGTGCTAGGCCACCGCTTCACAGACACACGCACGCACATCCGCACACACACAGACGGAGGCACGGTGAGACACACGCAGTGACGCGTGCGTGCGCCCACCTTGTGCAGGTCGGACAGCTGCTGGTGGCGGATGAGCGCCTCCTTGGTGGGGAACTGGCGCCGGCACAGCAGGCACGCCAGCTTCTGCCAATCGGTGAGCTTCTCGTCTCGGCGCGGCGCTTGCGCTTCCACGACGGCGGCGGCGGTGGCCGGCGTGGGCTCCTCCTCGCTGTCGCTGTCCCCGCCGTACGACACGAGACCCACGGGGGCAGCCGGGGGACTGGCCTTGCGCTGTGCGGCGCATCGTCGGAGGCGGAGGGCGGGGGTCGCAGGTGAAAGGGAAGAGGGGAAGGTTGGCAAGTAGGAATAATAACGGAACGCCCCGGTAACGAGATGTTAACTACCTCGCCAGGTATACAGGAGGGTGTGGTGCTGCGCATGGTGCTGCGCATGGTGCTGCGCATGGTGCTGCGCATGGTGCTGCGCATGATGCTGCGCATGGTGCTGCGCATGTTGCTGCGCATGGTGCTGCGCATGGTGCTGCGCGTGGTGCTGCGCGTGGTGCTGCGCATGGTGCTGCGCGTGGTGCTGCGCGTGGTGCTGCGCATGGTGCTGCGCATGGTGCTGCGCAAGGTGCTGCGCATGGTGCTGCGCATGTTGCTGCGCATTGTGCTGCGCATGGTGCTGCGCATGGTGCTGCGCATGGTGCTGCGCATGGTGCTGCGCATGGTGCTGCGCGTGGTGCTGCGCGTGGTGCTGCGCGTGGTGCTGCGAGTGGTGCTGCGCATGGTGCTGCGCATGGTGCTGCGCATGGTGCTGCGCATGTTGCTGCGCATGGTGCTGCGCATGGTGCTGCGCATGGTGCTGCGCATGGTGCTGCGCGTGTTGCTGCGCATGGTGCTGCGCGTGGTGCTGCGCGTGGTGCTGCGCATGTTGCTGCGAGTGGTGCTGCGAGTGGTGCTGCGCCTGGTGCTGCGCATGGTGCTGCGCGTGGTGCTGTGCGGTGCTCTGTGTGGTGCTCTGCTATCTGTCCGGTCGCCCCCCACTCCCCAAGGTGTGGGTCACCACCTTCTCCAGCCTCCGGGAGTCGCTCCTCTTCAGCTCCAGCGAGCGCTCCGCGCGCTCCTGCCCCAGCGGCGTCCTGGGCTTCTGCATGTTCTGTGCCCGTGGACGGGACGACGTGCGGACGGACGACGTGCGGACAAAGTGACAGACGTGCGGACACACGGACGGACACGCGGACGGACACGCAGACAGACAGACGGACACACGCGGACAGACGAGCAAAGGGAAAGATGTGCGGACAGACCACGTGGACACACGGACAGACGCGCGGACAGACAGGCGAGGCAGTTAACATCTCTGCCGGGTCCATAGCACAGCACGCGTGTGCAACCGCTGACTGGCACCGGGCCGATGGCGCCGCGCTGCGTCTGCTCACCAGTTTCTCCAGCAGCGAGAAGCCGGCGTCTGCAGCGGCCGCCTCCCTCTTGCGGGCGCCATCACCGCCGCCGCCGCCGCCACCACCGCCGCGTCCTCCCAGTGGTTGGCTCGGGGGTGAGGAATGGCCGGGACCGGCGGGAGGGGGAGGGTGGCATGGCAGCGGCAGGTCCCTGGGCGGCTGCTGCTTGTTGCGGTTGAGCGTCTTCGCCCAGCGCTCCATGTCCTTGGCGATCTGAGTCGGCGGGAAAAGTGGGTGGGTAGCGGGTGGGTGGGCGAGCGGGCAGGGGGGGAGTGGGCGGGTGGAGGAGTGGGTGAGCGGGTGGGTGAGCGAGCGGACAGGTGAAAGAGCGGGGCAGCGGACAGGCGAGGAAGCGGGCGAGTGGGTGGGTGGGTGAGCGAGTGGGTGGAGAAACAGGCGAGTGAGCGAGTGGGTGAGTGAGTGGGTGAGTGAGCGGGCGAGTGAGTGGGCGGGTGGGTGAGTAGGTGGGTGGGTGAGCGAGAGAGTGGGCAGGCAGGTGGGGAAGCAAGTCGGTGAGGCGGTGGATGGGCAAACGGGCAAGGGAACCCGCAGGATAGAATAGTTATTGAAGAGAAAATGGCAAATCAAAACAAGTCAAATGGTGTATATATCTCTTTGCTGTTATTTATTTACCCAGGACAGCTTGACCAAGTTTCAGGACTCTTTGTCATGAGAACCCCGTACCCCATGCCCTCGATATCACCCTCACCATCCCCCTCTGTCTCACCTTCCCGCTCACCTGCTGAGCAAGCCTCGTCTTAGGCTTCATCATCTTCCTCTCCCTCTCTGCGCTGGCGTCTCTGCCCGTGGGCGGCGTCGGTGCGGGCGGTGGCGGCGGTGGCATCATCTTGCTCTCGTCGGACGCCCGACTCACTGCCGTTGACTCCTCGCCACCACCGCCGGCATCGCCGGCACCGCCGGCACCGCCACCGTCACCACCGTCGCCCTCCTGCGACCCTCCGGGGGGATTGCTGTCGTCCGCGGTCGGTGCCGGGAGGTACTGCTTGGTCTCGGGGTCCCAGTACATGTACTGCTGCTTCTCGGCATTGTAGAAGTACTGCGGAGGAGACGAAGGGAGAGGGAGGGTGGAGGGGGTAAGCGTTTAAAGAGAAAGTGCGCAATTTCATCCCATGCGTTTGGTTCTTTTAATCGTCGGCGATGGCGGGATGTGAACCACCTCGCCTGGTGTACAAGGAGGTCGTGGGTTCGGCCCCGACCCTGACACCTGTTGTTTATTTGGAGTTTGTATGCTCCCGCAGTGGTTGCGTGGATATTTCTCCGGATCCTCCGGTTTTTCCCTTCACATTGAGAATCAAAATCACGCGTTCAGAGTGTTTGGCTGCCATAAACTTCCGCGTGATGATAAGCTACTTCGGTGAGCTATCATTTGTGGCCAAGCGTCGCTCGCAACCGTAATCCAGAATCCGTAACGGAGACCCGCACCAGAGTTTCGCCACGTGATCACAAATATTCTGTGTCGATTTATTTTTAAACAGCCGACACACGCAGCGCGCCTGTTAATAAGACACGAAATTAAAAATGTAATCGCATAATTGTATCAGCATGGTCACTGGGGGACAACACCAATGGCTGACAATGGATCTTCACAAACACTGCCCAACATGGAAATCAAGACGAGTGACCCAGGCCGCACGCCTCCCGCGAGGGTCGCGATGCACGGCAAGGCGATTATTCAGCGATGATGATCAGCCACTGCTCGTTGAGCTGTCATTTGTGATGGACAGGTCGCTTCTGAAAAGTGGGCCTTACCTGGTCAAATAAAAACGCTTTTAAGCTTCGTTTAAGATCACAAAATCCTTTTGACGGGCAACGGCACATTAACACACCAGACAAAGATCCCCCCTATAGCCTTGACAGACTGCAGGGGCAAGTGCTGCCATGGCCTTAATGAGAACCAGGCGACCCGAGTTCGCTTTCCACTCATGGCCAATAACAGTGGAGAGTATCATGATCCCGCCTACAGCCTTCTGCGAGGTGGGTGGCTGAGCCTTACATCAGCACCTGCTGCAGCGTGTAAACATCAGGATCGGGGATACAAAGGGGGCCGGGCACGATGTTGCCCACTCACCCCGTCATGTGCCGTGCCGGCCTTCAGAGGCACTTGCCCCAACAGTCTGTTAAAGGCTATACCGGTGATCTTTGTATTTGTGTGTATATTGGGGAGTGGTCGTGTTGCGGGCTAGCGTACTGCGCTACGAAGCGGGCAACCCGAGTTCGATTGCCGCTCATGGCCAACGCCAGTGACGCTTTAGCTGAAACGACGACCTATACAGGGGGCTCTTGACGTAGTCTTTCGTGACAAAATATTGTCCATAACAAAGGTTTTTTGGGTGAGATCGCGTCAATATGAATGCGTCATTAAAACCCAGCACCACCCAAACGCAGTCAATCAGTAAGGTTTGTCACGTAAACACAACGTGCAAATAGGTTACTAGTTCAGCACTAACTGGTGCATTGGAGAGCAAACACCACAACATTCACAATCTTAGTACCATGCATTTCGCTGTTGAATCAAACAACCAGCCTCATCAGGAGGCGATAGCCAGACTTGAAGAAGTCCTCCTGTTTCGCTCTTAAACACCAGGCAACCGTTGCTGCTCGGTGTAAAACTGCACCTCCGGTGAGCACGGCTGGCTACGCACGGTGCAAAACAAGTCCCATGAACGTACATCCCCAGTGACACCCCGGTGCCACTTGTGACGCCATGATGGAACGAGCCCCACCGGGTACCACAAACGACAGCTCAACGGAAGTGGCTTATCATCATCATCATCAGGCGACAGTCAGAATTGTGGAGAAATCCTCCGCCTTGTTTCGATGTTAAGTAGAGGGGGGGGGGGGGTAAATGTGAATGCCGTCTTCGCGCTCACCTGTGACTTTGGGTCGTAGTAGAGGCCGGACTGCGGGTCGTAGTAGTAGCCCGACGTCTTGTCGTAAAGGAAGGACGATGCGTCGGGCATCGCTGTGGGCAGGGGAGGGAGGAGAGGGCGGTGGGGGATGCGTGAGCACTGCGCTCGCGAGTTCGGGTTTCCAGGTCTCATTGCATCCCGCGTGCATGCTTTCCCTGTTCTCACTAAACTACTCAACTATTCTTATTTTGCCAGGTAAGGCCCCCGACTGAGCTGCTGCGGAGCTCCTGTTCAGAAGCTGCCTGCCGATTGCCAACGACAGCTCAACAAGGCGGCTCATAGCCATCCAACAAAGACGGTCGCCGCATCGTGCGTATTCAGGAGCGCTTCTGCGGCCGTCTGGAGCGCTCTTGCGCCTGATATTAGGAAGCCGCTGCTGCTAAACACTTTTAAATCACCTAGCTTGAAAATGTATTTCTTTAGAACTGATTTTTGTGTGTGTTTAGTTTGTTGTCCTTCCCCCACAGCTCCGATGAGCACGGTTGGCTACGTACGATAGTGAAAAAGAATTAAAAAAAAATAACAATAGGTTTTACCCCTTCTGGCAATAAAACTGGACGTGTTAAGATGTTCAAACACCGAATAGAAACCTTTTGCAAGGGATCTTGTCTGCATTAACCACACAGGGTACTTGTGGTGAAGATGCAAACATGCTCTGATAGTAATGTATGCATTGTCCTTCAAACGGCTTGGTCTACACCAGAGGCCTCGTCTCCAGTGCCAGACATTGGTGAGACTAGGCCCTAAAGACCAATCAGTGTCAAGGACAATGCATACATTATCAGAGCATGTTTTTGTTTGCATCTTCACCACAAGTACGTGTGGTTAATGCAGACAAGATTCCTTGCAAAAGGTTTCTATTTGGTGCTTGAACATCTTAACACGTCCCGTTTTATTGCCAGAAAGGGTAAAACCTATTCTTATATTTTCATGCTTTGATACTGCCAAAAAGGTCCCATTTTGGTGCGAGAGAAGTTCAACATACATACAAATACTCTAAATGCACGTCGATTCAAAATGTGGAGGGGAAAACTGGGAGGACCCAGAGAAAAATCCACGCGACCGCCACGGGCAGAACAAGCAAACTCCAAACATAAAGCAGGCGTCAGGGTCGGGATCGAACCCACAACCTCCTCCATACCAGGCACCGTGGGTGCCCCAAGCTTTACCAAGTCTCATGAATCTTATTGTCTAGGAGGGTCCAGTTAACCACGTTTTAAGGTAAATAATACAAATGGGTGTAAAGAGCAAGTACTCACAAAAGGCATCGTCACCATCCTGTGTCACTGATGCGTCGGCACTTTGAGGCTCAGCCGGCATCGCCTGAGCACAGCGTACACAGAGACACGTGAACAACACGCATGGACGCAGAGACACACACACAGACAAAGATCCCCCGTATCGCCTTCAACAGACTGTTGGGGCGAGTGCTGTTAGAGAACAGCTATGAAGGCCGGTACGGCGCATTAGAGGGTGGGTGGCCAGCACCACGCCCGCCTTTGTCTCCCCAGTGGCGATGCTCACACACTGCACCAGGTACTCATCCGAGTCTGAATCGACCTAGGGGAAGCCCAGCAACGGTTCGAATAATTGTCACTGTTGTTGACCGTGAGCGGAAATGAAACCCAGGTCACGAGGTTCATAGCGCAACAAAAGGCGGTGCCATCCACGGCCCAAGCTCTGCAGTTCTCAACATCTTCAGATGTTTTCAGCCAATGAATAAGTTGTGTCGACTATTCACGTCCGAGGAAACCGGAGCACTCTCGCGGTACCACACAGAAAGGCCAGGCGATACGAGTCCACGCTTGCTGTACTGCCTTCTCCTGGCGAGCCAGGGTATGGCACACTCCCATCGACGCCCGTGGGAAGGGGGAGTTATGCAACATCTCTGCGATCCACCAACCCCCACTGCCTCCAGGTGGGAGCCCCCAGAGAATCCCAGTAGTGCAAGATCGTTTTAAATATTGACAGCCATTTCGAAATGTGCGTGCATATGTAATGAATCTCGGACAACTTCTTGTCTTCTTTATGTATTAAGGTGCGTCGCGCAGATAACGTGGTTGCGTATCCTACAGACACTTGGGCTAGGATTAACATGTAATTACTTGGGCTAGGATTAACATACAATTATATGGGCTAGGATTAACATACAATTACTTGGGCTAGGATAACAAAAGATACTTGGGCTAGGACAGCACCCAAGTAACGACGACAGAGACAGCGACGGCCCGAAGACAACGACGGCGTGGAGACGTTCAGCTTTTTGTCAACTGCACCTGTGTAGCAAAGCCGTCGCAGCTGCTGCAATAGCAGCAGCATCACTGTCATCAATACCGGCCACCTTCGCTCTCAATCGCAAGAATGTGGCTCGTAACCGGAAGACACCGACACACGGAGTTCAGCCCACACACTCACGCCGATGCAGACGCTTGGCCAAGCGAGTGATGGGTGGACCTTGCGCGAGAAACGACGACACCACCCACCACCCCCCCACCACCCCCACTCCCCCTCACCTCTGCGTCTTGCTGCTGGGAGGCCTCACCCAGCGCCGGCTGGGCAGCGGGGACCTCCACTTCTGCCTTCTCTGCTCGAAGGGCATTCGTGGGAGGAAAGACAGAAAAAAATGACGTCGTTAGCTAAACGACGTACAAGGGGGAGACGTAAATAGCGTCGTGCGAAATGCTCCCCCCCCCCCCCATCTCGACTAACTAACATCAGTCGCTTACTCGTCGTGGCCAGTCCTGCCGCTGCTATCGCCGCTGCTGCCACTGCGGCGGTGGTGGTGGTGGCGGCAGCGGCGGAAGGAGCGGCAGCAGCAGCAGCAGCCCCGATGGCCGAGTTGAGTGCCTCTGCCTGCTGGTAGTACTGGCTGTAGTCCTGGCAATGGCACAAGGCAGGTCAGGTCAGACGTGGGAGCATCCTCCTGGCAGTGACCCCCAAAGCGAGCCCCCTTCCTCGGGATCTCTCCTGGCAGTGACCCCCCACGCGAGCCACCTTCCGAGGGATCTCTCCTGGCAACGCACGCCCCCCCCGCCCAACTCAAACGAGCCCCCTCCCTGTCCCCAAGTTTCAATAAAAATGTTGGGGGGATATGCTGAGGCCACCCCTTGCCAATCACCGTGCGACAAACCCTCAGTGACCTCTACGATGCTTCAGCACACTTTGGTTATTGGGGCCGCTATCAATCTTACAGCAAACTACAAAAATTAATATTTTGCCAGGTAAGGCCCCACTGAGCAATTAGCTTTCTTTTTCCAGAGGCGACATTGGCGGTCACAAATGATAGCAGCTCAACGAAGTGGCTTGTCATCACGTGGAAATTCATAGCAGCAAAATACTCTACATACTTAATATAACAACAATGTAACGAAACACCCTTCACAGGCAACCATATGGCAGCAGCAGAAAGCAACACCACAGATGCCTCGGTTCCTTCTGCCAATGCAAGGCCCTTGCAGCGACAGAATCCATCGACCGAGCTAAGATTCAGAAACACAAGCGTTGTTTAACGCGTCGGCTTTCGCGACCAGTATTACCAATAATAAAGGTTGCTCGGGGTTAGGTCGCATGATTATGAATGTGTCATCGCTTACCCCGCCACCACCCGACACAGCCAATGAGTAAGGTTTGTCATGTAAACAAAACCTGCCAATTAGTTACTAGTTCGGCACTAACCGGTTGTGCGTTGGAGAGTAAACCAAATACATTATTTATAATCGGAGTACCATGACATGTCGCCGGGGATTACAACCAGCATCATCAGGAGGAGATAGCCATCATTGTGAAGAAGTCCTCCTGTTTCCGTCTTAAATACCGAGCAGTTTCAAACTGCACCTCCAATGAGCAGGGCTGGCTACGCACGGTGCGAAACAAGTTCAAAGTACGTACGTACCTCTCCCGGTGCCCCATCAGTGCCACTTGTAACGCCGTGAAGGAACGAGCCCCACGGGGTATCACAAACGACAGCTCAACGGAAGTGGCTTATCATGATCATCATCGTGTGGAAAATGTATATCCTTACCTGCACGTAGACCTCCCCCCCGCCCTGCTGTCCGTTCTGCTGGTAGTAACTGGACCAGGCGTTCCACTCCTCAGAGCCTTGGCTGGGCTGGGCGGGGCAGACGCGGGGGGGGGGGGGCAGAGGCACGGTTGGAGCCAAAGGGGAGGGGGGCTTCAACCGCGTTGCGTTTCACCGGACGCCCCGACCCGGCCCGTCCGTAGACACCGAGAGCTGCCGCAGCAGCCGGCTTGTCAAGTGGTGCTGGTGGAAGCCTCGCAAGATGAACACCGGCTTTCACAAATGGAGTGGGAATTGATGGGTCTCGGCCTGGTAAGTATTCAGTGAACGCTTTTTGCACCTAACATTTACATGGTTAAGACCACCAGATACACAATAAAATAATAATTAAATAAATGCGCACATAGGTAAGTATACTACTAGTAGTTTTAATTTTAGCAGGTAAGGCCCAACTGATCTAAGTCGATATTTTATTGGAAGCGACCTGCCTATCACAATAGCTCAACGAAGTAGCTGATCACCATCACGTAGAAATTCATAATAGCCAAGTACTCTATCAACGCACATCGATTCTAAATGTGAAGGGAAAAACCGGAGGACCCAGATCAAAAACCGGAGGACTACAGGAAGAACATACAAGCCGAACCCACAACCTCCTGTATACCAGGCGAGGTAGTTAACATCTCGCCACTGTGGCGCCCCATGCCTCGACCAAAAGAACACACACACACATCATCTTGAATTGGGATCCTGCACTTAATTGATTCGGATAAATTCCAGCTCCGATCATTGAACACATCGCTTGCGTGGACCGTCACGTAACGAACAACATCACGGCAGAGTTTTTTTATGATTTGGCAAAGGAAAGGCCGCCCTCCATATTGCGAAAAACCTGGCGGGACCCCCTCCTGAAACAGTCTTGAGACTCGACGAATCTCACAAAAGTGAGCCGTCGAGAGAGGGGCGCAGTACCTGTGACGAGGACCACCTGGCAGCAGCTATGGCAGCGCTGCCCTTGGTCACGGCCGTCGCTCTGTTGAAGTCAAACGGCTCCTGACTGCAAGTGGCACGAAGACAAAGATCCCCCATATAACGTTAACAGACTGTTAGGGAAGTGCTGTTATCGAGTAGCACCTATGAAGGTCGGCACAGCACTTGAAGGGGGTGGGTGGCCAGCACCACGCACGACCGCCTTTGACTCCCAAGTGGCGATATTTACACACCGCACCAGGTACTCATTTGAGGCTGAGTCGACCTAGGGGAGGCCCAGGACCAGTTCAAACACTCATGACCAAACACTCGCGCACAGACATCAGGAAGTGATCGAGCCACTGAAGCGAATGAAGGGGGTAAACCCTCCCCAGGCAATGTTTCGGTTGCGCCTCTCGCTCCGTCTGCACAAGTAGCACGTTCTACGCGAGCACTCGGCGGCAGTCTCGAGAGAGTTCACGGCAACGGAAGCCGACGAAGAGAGTCTCGTCGTCGCCATCATCACCGTCATCATTATCCGTCCATCCCCGAGCACGACACTGACATCCGTGCAGACTGTTGGGGCAAAGTGCAGTTCACGAATGACTACGAAGGGGGCGACAGGGCGCAAGAGTTGGCGGCGTGGCCAGCACCACGGCCGGCCACCATCGTCTCCCCAGTGTCGATGATTTCCACACCGCACCGGGTGGTCATTTAAGGCAGCGTTCGACCTTGGGGAGACATTCATCGGGGATGTTGGCTGCGAGCAGCAGAATGGAACTCAGATTCCTAGGGCCATGGCGCAGAGCACTACTGCTCCTCACACACCAGTCAATGGCTCTCTGTGCGAGTCTATCTGGAACTTTCTCTTAATCTAAAGCTTTAAGTGTGAGTCTATGAGTCTCTCTACGAATCTATGGGTCTCTGCGCGTCTGTGGGTTTCTGCGAGTCTTTGAGTCTCTGTGTTAGTATATGGCTATCTGTAAATGTATATTACGGGTCTGTCTATCAATCAAAAAGGTCTGTGTAGGTCTGTGGGTCTCCCTGTATCAATGGGTCTCTGTGCAATTCCGTGAATCTCTTGTGAGAGTCTGCAGTCCTCTGTACGAGTCTGTGGGTCTCTAAACCTGATCTAAAAAACTAAACTATTTTTATTTTACGAGGTAAGGCCCACTGAACTACATGGCTCTTTTTCAGAAGCAACCTGGCCACAAATAAGAGCTCAACAAAATGGCTCATCACGTGGAAATTTATAACAGCCAACCACTAAGCGCATGATGTTGATTTCTAAAGTGGAGGGAAAAAACGGAGGACCCGGAGAAAAATCCACACAACCACCAGGGGAACATGCAAACTCCAAATATACAACAGGCATCGTCAGGGTCGGGATCGAACCCACGATCTCCTTGTATACCAGGCGAGGTAGTCAACATCTCCTAGCCACCGTGATGATGATGAGAGAAACACGCAAACTCCAAATATACAGCAGGTGTCATCAGGGTCAGGACTGAACGCACGACCTCCTGTATACCAGGCGAGGTAGTCAACTCTCAGGGACATGATCTAACCCACAACCTCCTGTATACCAGGCGAGGTAGTAAACATGCCCCACTCGCCCACGGGGCACCGCCAGCGTCACCCACCTATTGGTGGCCTTGGCAAAGTCGGCGTGGATCCTCTTGCCGTGCACCAAGATGGGGCACTCCTGACCCTCGATGGTCTGGAACAGCTGGATCGCCTCCTGAGGGCCACAGTCGGCGAGTGAAAAGTATTTCCCTCATTCATTTCAAATATTTTTCGCGTGGGGAAAAATCTCTTGAGATGGTGCAACACACCACCCCCCCCCCCGTGTTGCTGGCAAGTGAACACCACCCACACTTTTACAAAAAGAGACAAAGATTCCCCCATACAGCCTGTTGGGGCAAGTGCTGTTAGCGAGCACCTATAAAGGCTGGCACGGCACAAGGAGTGGGTGGTTAGCACCACGCCCGGCCGTCTTTGTCTTCCCAGTGGCAATGTTTTTACACAACGGACCGGGTACTCAGTCGACTGAGGTGATTCCCAGGACCGATTCAGATAAATGTCACTGCTGGTGGTCGTGTCCGAGAATCGAACACACACACACAAAGCTTCACACACGGACACACACAGCCACACGCACGTTTGTTGTCCTACCCCCGCACCTCCCATCAGCACGGTTGGCGACGTAATGTGCGAAAGACGTTCTACACACACACAGATGTACACACAATGACCAACCACACACACACAGACGAGCGCGTGGGGCTCTCGCACCAGCGTGGAAGGCATCTCGAGGAAGGCGAAGCCGCGGTTGAGGCGAGTGCCCTTCTGCTTGATGAGGCGCAGGTTGTCTCCCGACAGGATGACGAGCGGCGCCAGGGCCTCCACGATCTCCTCCAGCGTCGCCGTGGCGCTCAAGTTGTGCAGGATCAGGGCTGCGGCGCGCAGGGACCAGACAGAGACACCCCAGTGGAGCCTTCAACAGACTGTGGGGGCAAGCGCTGTTAACGAGTGGCACCTGTGAAGGTCAAGAGCACGCCAAGGCAAACTAAACACAAATGTTTATTTTACCAGGTGAGACCCACTGAGCTGGATAGTGCTTATTCAGTCGCGACCTGGCCACAAATGATATCTCAACAGAGTGGCTTATCGCGTGGAAATTTATAGCAGCCAAATACTCCAAACGCGTGAAATTGAAAAATCCACGTGACCACGGGGAGACAGACACGCAAACTCCAAACACACAGGCATCAGTTGGGAATCGAACCAGCATCCTCCTGTCTAGCAGGCGAGGTAGTTAACATCTCCTAGCCACCGTGGTGCCCGGGGGGGGGGGGGGGGGGGGCAGCAGCACCATGCCTGGACACCTTTTGTCTCCCCAGTGCTAACGATTACAGTCCAGATAATAATTTTAGGCTGAGTTGACCTAGGGGAGGCTCAGGACCGGTTCAGATAATCGTCACCGGTGTTGGCAGCCGCAAGTGGCAATCGAACTGGGGGTCGTCGGGGTTCGTAGGGCAGCGCGCTAACCGCTGCGCCACCGCTCCCCGACGACCTTTGTACTGAATGTCACAAACGCGCACGCACACAACAATCGCGGCGACTGAGGACACGTACTTTTGTTGGCGTTCTCCAAGTCGGGTTCGTTAGCCGGCTGGGGTGGGTGAGATTTTTCTGCAAAGCAAAAACAAAAAACACAAAGATCCCCTGTGTAGCATTGACAGATTGTTGGGGCAAATGCTGTTAGTGAGTAGCACCTATGAAGGCCGGCAAAGCACACCTATGAGGAGGTGGTGTGGCCAACACCACGCCTTTGTCTCCCCAGTGCTGATGATATACAATGCACCAAGTCCTATGTATGTATTTTGAACTTCTTACTCAACCAAATTGAGTTTTCAAGCTAGACGATTTAAAAGTGCATAGCTCCCAGTGGCTTCCTCATATCGGCAGAGCGTGTTCCAGACGGCCGCAGAAGCGCATCTGGAAGTGCGCGACGCGGTGTCCTTCTTTGTTCGACAGCCGGCCAAAAGCCGCTGCCGCTGTTGCTGCGAGGATGATGTGAGTTCCCGTGGTGATGGTGGTTTATGCCCCTTGGAATAGCCCAGGGCCACTACTCCTGCTCAGCCGAGCACGCTTGCCGGCGGCGGTAGTGCGAGTGTGGAGAGAACGAGGGCCTGACGAGCACTGGAGGGGGGTGAAGTCAGGTGGGGGGTTGGGGGAGGCTCGTGAAGGACGCTGCTACTGGGCAGTTGAAGGCAGTCGCCCTCCGGTGGTGAAGTCACCAGGACTTAGTGGCGAATGGCGGGTAATGGAATTGGTGTGGGGGGCCGCCTCACCTTCTCTGGAGTGCTGACACCGCAAGCACCAGCTGTGCTGCCAAAAGTTCTTCCCTTGACACTGAGGGCAACAGGGCGCAGGGCACGCGCAGTGCGTCAGCCGACTTCGCTCACAAGATCGCGAGACCGCTTTGTCCGCATCGGAGCGAGCGGTTTTGCGCGGACGGGGAACGTGGGTGTCTGGCCATGCCCCTCGACAGGCAGAACACCGCCGATTGTCTCGTTACTATTTTACAAGGCACAGACATGCAATTGTGGTCATGCAAACCAAACTATGGACAACATTGTAAACGCTAAAACTAAACTTTTTCAGAAGCGACCTGGCTTTTGGAAATGATAGCCCAACAAAGTGGCACACCACATGGAAATCTACAGTAGCCATATACTCAGTAGCGTAAAAGTTGATTCTAAATGTGATGGGGAAAACCGGCAGAACCGGAGAAAAATCCACATGACCACGGCGAGAAAGAGACATGCAAACTCCTGCATACCAGGAGAGGGAGTTAACATCTCACCACTGTGCTCCACCCACCCACGTCGGTAAAGACCAATCGGATTTGAGCAAATGTGTAGCACAGCGATGAAGCACGTCGCTACAGACCGCAGAGCAGATCATCGCTTGAATGTCGAGGCGTGTGTGGTCACTGTGGACAATCGGTTGCAGAGACATCCACACGGAGCTCACCGCTCAGGTGATGGGTGCACCCTGGCATAATGAATCTATTTTAATCGATTGACGGACGCAGCGTCACTTGCCTACGAGACGCAAAGACAAAGATCCCGTCGTGTAGCCTTAACAGACTGTGGGGGCAAGTGCTGTTAGCGGGCACCTATGAAGGCCGGCGCAGCACACGAGGGGGTGGGTGGCCAGCATCATGCCAGGCTGCCTTTGTCTCCCTAGTGGCAACATTTACACACCACACAAGGTACTCATTTGTGGCTTAGCGAAGCTACGAGACACACATGCACACGAGGACTAGGAGAGTCCGGTAAGAATGGGGCCCGTGCCAAAGATGGGCAGCGCTGGCACACACACGCACGCACGTGCACACAGGCAGGCATGCAGGGACGTAGGCAAGCAGGGTCGTACGCACACAGGCACGTGCGCAGGCAAGAGGGACGCATGCAGTCAGGCAGGCACGCAAACACGCAGGTAGGCACGCGGGTGCACGCGGGTGCACGTGGGTACACGCGAGGGCATGCCCGTCCGTCGCTCACCATCGGGCAGCGCCACAGGTTGCTTTGGCAGGGTTCGAGCGCCACTCTCTGTCCTCGCAGCAGCAGGTGGAACTGCAAGACAGCGGAGTGAGCGGCACACGGTCAGCGTCCCGGCGAGCGATCGCAGCGCGAGGACACGACCGCGTAATGCCACGAGACGCTCTCTCGCTCTCCCTCTCGTCGGTCTGTTAGTTCGCTCGGCCGGCCATTCAGCTCGGCGGGTGAATGACCCCGGCACGATCGCGAGTAAGCCTCGCGGAGCCCTGGAGGTTCCGCGGGAGAGTGAAGGCGGCCGAGCGGAGTCGGCATCGCGTGGTCTACCGTGCAGCAGCAGTGCGCCACGGTTTGCATGCGCTGCCAGCCGAGGAACGAATTGGCCGCCGACCCGGGCCAATTAAAACTAAACTATTAACTATTTTTATTTCAGCAGGAAAGGCCTACTGAGCTATATAGATATTTTTCAGAAGCGACCTGGCTTCACAAATGATAGCTCAATGAGAAGTGGCTTATCATCATCACGTGGACATTTATAGCAGCCAAATAATCTAAAATGCGTGACGTCGATTCTAAATGTGGAAGGAAAAACCGGAGGACCACGGGGAGAGAGAGAGAGACATGCAAACTGCACATATACAGCGGCAGGCGTCAGGGTCGGGATCGAACCCACGACCTCACCCAATTCTCCACCCAACCGCTCCCCCCTCCCCACTTATTTGTTGCCCAGTGCCTGAGCCCCGGTGAAATGTCACAGCCGGTGATTAAAGACCGAAGCCAACGTGAGCCTTTGTCTGTACACGTCTCAGTCGTTAACACTGAAGGCTCAGGCTGCCTCGGCGTGGGCTCCGCGAGTGTAAAGGTTCCCACTGCATCTTGGGGGCGCGTCAGTCTGGCTCTGAGCCACAGCGATTCTAACACCGATCCTAGTGGCGCAGCACTTTTGGCACGGGCACTGGATGCGAGGAATGAAACGATGGGGACCAACTGAATTCCCGCCGCTCTTCACTGATCAGCGAACTAAACAATTATTACCAGGTAAGGCCAACTCGACGGCAAAGCCACGTCTATTTTCTGGTTACTATTTATTATTTGCCTATTTTTATTTTCCCATGCTAAGGCCCCACTGAGCTGTGTAGCTCTTTGTCAGAAGCAACCTGGCAATCACAAATGACAGCTCAACAAAAGTGGCTTATCATGTGGAAACACTCTAAAATGCTCAGGAGGGAAAAACTGGAGGACTTAAAGAGATAAATCCACGTGACCACGGGGAGAGAGAGAGACACGCAAACTCCAAATAAACAGCAGGCGTCAGGGTCGGGATCAAACCCACGACCTCCTGCATAGCAGGCGAGGTAGTTAACATCTCATAGCCACCGTGATGATGATGAGAGAGAGCCACGCAAACTCCAAATATACAGCAGGCGTCAGGGGGGTCTGGATTGACCCCACGACGTCCTGCATACCAGGCGAGGTAGTTAACATCTCCTAGCCACCGCGGGCCCCGGTTCACTTGCACCGCTCGTGCGCTCGGTAGCTATGGGCACGCGCTCAGAAACTCGCCAATCCGTCGGCGTCAAGAGACAGCCGGGAAAGGGAGAGACCCCCTCCCCCCCCCCACCCACAAGCGATCCCGTCACCGACGCCGCCGACAGCCGATTCGTCGACAAGAAACCCCGCCGCCCAAATTGAACGAGCGACGCGGCGCATCTCAAGAGGCTCGGCGCAAGCGAAGCCGCGGCATCCGGCGGAGGGAACGAAGCGTCGGCAGAGGTACGGCGGCGACGGCAGCTTCGGCCGTGGCCGTTTCTCGCGTCGTTTGTCGTCGCAACTCTCCGACCCGCACCCCTCGACTGGACGATGTGCAGTGGCAGAAGGAACTGACGTGTGTGTGTGTCAAATCACTTTCACGTGCCATTAAAGTGCACATAGCTTGGCACAAGCGCCGTGATGTCACCGTCCCTTAGTGGCGAATGGCGATTGTTGTTGTGTTAGTGAGGAGCGGTAGTGTAGTGGTTCGCGCACTGCACAACGAATCTGGCGAACCGGGTTTGATTCCCGCTCATGGCCACCAGCAGTGACAATTATATTAACTGGTCCTGGGCATCACTTAGGTCAACTTAGCCTCAAATGAGTACCTGGTGCGGTGTGTAAACATCGCCACTAGGGAGCCAAAGGTGGTCGTGCGTGGTGCTGGCCACCCACCCCCTCGTGTGCCGTGCCGGCCTTCATAGGAGCTACTCGCTCACAGCCCTTGACCCAACAGTCTGCTTAGGGCTTCACAGGGGACCTTTGTCTGTGTCAATAAGTGGGCCCAACAACGATATTTGAATGTTAATATTCAGCTCTTACTCTTTGGTTCTTTCGGTAAAGTCACGTAGAAAATAAAATAATAATAGATCACTCTCTGGGGTTCCCCTGCTGCTGACTTAAGGGGCGAGTGGATACTCCACTCTGTGCGGTCGCCGAGGTCGACAGGGTGCCCCGGTGGCGCGATGGTAACACTTGTGGCCTCACTCCAACAAGGGCCTGGGTTCGATTCCTCAGTTTTTATGTTCTCTCCCACTGCATGGGTTTCCTCCGGGTTCTCTGGTTTCCTGCCAAAGCTAAAAATGTTAACCGCGCAATGTAACGTGCAACTAGCATTGGCCAAAACATCCCAGCGCTGCAAGACAAATTACCTCCAATCTACTCGACTGGGGGGATAGACATCGGCTACATCGCCAACTACCACAAAAACGTGACTTTACCGAAAAAACCAAAGAGTAAGGCAGGAACCCTTCTTGAGAACGAGTCTTGAGACTCGGTGAGGCTTTCCCGAGCAAACACAACAATAACCAACGACCCACAGCAGTTCCACGTGTGCTGCCATTCTCCCATCGACCTCGAGCTCCTCATAGCTGAAGTGGTGAGAAGTCTAGGCCACGGGTCGGCAAGCCTACGGCTCTGGAACCGCATGCCGCCTCTTTGCGGACTGCTGCTTTGTGACCGTTATTCATGGAGGAACGTCGTCTCGTATTGCGCCTCTTGAAATCGTTTTTTTTGGGTACACAATTCGAAACAATGTGGTGCTTCTTGTTATCTTAGTTGCCGACCTCTGTTCTAAGCAAATACTGGTAAGTAAAAATAGTGAGTGGAGTTTGTGTGTTCTCCCCCTGCTCCACAGTGGCGTTTTTGTGTTCTCCCCCTGTTCTACAGTGAGTGGAATTTGTGTGATCTCCCCATTCTACAGCCTGAGTGAGTGTAGTTTGTGTTCCCCCCTGTTCTACAGAGTGGAGTTTGTGTGTTCCCACCTGTTCTACAGAGTGAGTGTAGTCTGTGTGTTCCACACTGTTCTACAGAGTGGAGTTTGTGTGTTCTCCCCCTGTTCTACAGAGTGAGTGGAGTTTGTGTGTTCTCTCCCTGTTCTACAGAGTGGAGTTTGTGTGATCTCCCGCTGTTCTACAGTGAGTGGAGTTTGTGTTCTCCCCCTGTTCTACAGAGTGAGTGGAGTTTGTGTGTTCTCTCCCCGTTCTACAGAGTGAGTGAGTGGAGTTTGTGTGTTCCCCCCTGTTCTACAGAGTGAGTGGAGTTTGTGTGTTCTCCACCTGTTCTACAGAGTGGAGTTTGTGTGTTCTCCCCTGTTCTACAGAGTGAGTGGAGTTTGTGTTCTCCCCCTGTTCTACAGAGTGGAGTTTGTGTGTCCCCCCCTGTTCTACAGAGTGAGTGGAGTTTGTGTGATCTCCCCCTGTTCTACAGACTGAGTGAGTGGAGTTTGTATGTTCTCCCCCTGTTCTACAGAGTGAGTGGAGTTTGTGTGTTCCCCCCTGTCCTACAGAGTGAGTGGAGTTTGTATGTTCCCCCCTATTCTACAGAGTGAGTGGAGTTTGTGTGTTCCCCCGTTCTACAAGTGAGTGGAGTTTGTGTTCCACCCTGTTCTACAGAGTGGAGTTTGTGTGTTCCACCCTGTTCTAGAGAGTGAGTGGAGTTTGTGCTCTCTCCTATTCTACAGTGAAAGTGAAACTGCGCTTTACACCATATGGCTCTGATAATAAAATACCATTTTAGGAATGCTTCCATATGAACAGCATTACATTAGCATCTGAACAGTTCCCTATCAGTCGATATTTATTATTCAGCAAGTATGTACGCTAAACTTCTTTCACACCGTACGTAGCCAACCGTGCTAGGAGGACAAATTAAACACAAAGCAGTTAGACAGCAATTAGTTTTCAACCTAGATGACGATGTGGGTAGCTCCAGTGGCTTCTTAATGTCGGAAGGAAGAGCGTTCCACACGGCCACGGAAGCGCGTGTGAAATCGTGCGATGCGGTGACCGCCTTTGTTCGACGGCTAGCCGAAAGCCACTGTGCTGCGAGGATGACCGGAGTTTGACATGGATAGTCACAAAGAAACCCTTCAATTATCTAAAATGTGTTATGCATACGCTTTGTATTAAAATTAAAAAGTAATCATGAAATTTCTGACACATTACATCCTGGTTAACCACGTTGATGTGTGGTACCTTATTGAAGAGAGAAACACTGCCTATAAACTATGAAACCAATACATTCCTTTTATTTGACCAGGTAAAGCCCAATGGGCTACATAGTACTTTTTCAGAAGTAACCTGGCCACAAATGATAGCTCAACGAAGTGGCTTATCAGGTGGAAATGGATAGCAGTCACCAAATACTCTAAATGCATGTTTCACATGTGGTGGGAAAAAATGGAGAAACGAGGCGAAAAATCTTCGCAACCACGGGGAGAACTCGCACACTTTAAATATACTGTATACCAGGTGAGGTAGTTAGCATCTCCGAGCCACCGCTAAGATTTCTCGACCTCACTCGTTATCTCGACAGGATAAAAAGAGGCTTTTAAAGACCCACTGCTGGTCTAAAGAATAAAAGAAAAACTGCCAACGCAACATCTTGACGTTGGGGGCATGCACGATGGTCGGGGAGACAACGCACAAACAACGTTTAAAACAACGGCACGCGACTTGCTTTGCCCGCGTGGAGTGAGGAGTTTGATCGCGGCAAGGAAATGAAACGGTGGCCACAAGGGTGGAAACGAGCCAAGCCAATCGTAAAAAAATTAATAAAATTTAAGAAAATCTGCCGCTACGATGCCTCTCGTGGCTCAAGTGGTTGTGCAGTTGAGGGCAAATGTAGCGAGAAGTAGGCAAGACATTTGGAATAAAAAATATCACCGGAGTGAAGAATGAAAGACATCTTGACGACCGTGAATGTTTATAGCAGTGGAAATGCGAAATAAAGTTAGTAAGTAAAAAAAACCCTTAACGATAAAACTAAGAGGCAAACAACTGCTCACCACAGACAGTTGCGCAAGAGAAAATAAGTGGTTTTCAGACGAGCCCTACAAACCTCAACTGGCGGAGCATCCCGAACGGTCTGGAGCAAGGCATTCCACACACGAGGCGCCCGACTACTGAACGCTCCATCATCACCCACCGAATGCAGATTTGTCCCACACACTCAGGTGCCCGGCTTTGGTGGATCTAAGTTGCCAGATAGGGCAATAGGGTCTCAGGAGATCGCCGGGATTTCATGGGCCTTGAAATTCAAATTAACGGTCGCTCCAGTGACAAACGTGTCTCAGTTATTCGGTCACCACAACACTCACGGTTCGTCCTTTTCTCATTTTAATCCTACTCCAAAAGTGCGGCATCCGCCACCAAAGCTCCCGCAGATTGGCACATCCCCTACACCCCCGCGGCCTTTGCCGGGCCCGCCGACCACGGCCTCTAATGGGCCTTTGCCGTTCCTGACGACGACGAGGAGGGGGAGGGCAGCGACCCCGCGGCTCAGTTTAACCCCCCCTCCATCGGCCTCCCCCTCTCGGAACGCGAGGGACGGGGGGTGCCAACGCGACATGCGTGTGCGCGTGTCGCCACTCGGTCCACAACTCCCGACACAAAGAAAATTGTTTTGGTGAACCCACCGACCGCCCTCCCCCCACCCGCTAGGTGGCCGACCTCGCGCGCTGCGGGGGGGTGGGGGCGGCGAGGAGAAGTGGGGGGGTGGTGGGGGTGGGGGTGAGGGTGGGGGAAGGCAGCCAGGGGGCTCCTCCGCGGCCCGGTCTAAGGGACCGCGTTTGACCGTAGAAGGGCAACCTGATAGGCCTCCATCCATCTTGAAGCGTCGTGTAAGTGTATAAAATCCACGATGGCGAAACTGCGGCTCCAACCTAGAGGCGGCATTTGGATATAGACGCAACGTATTAGTGACGGCAGCATCCACACGCGGCAGCAGCTGCTGCTACACAACGGCAGCGGCGTCTGACAACATGAGGAAACCAGCCCACCCCCCCCCACCAAAGCCCTCCCCCAACCCCCTTACTTAACCACCCCCCCAAACCGCCTTCCTTACATTAAGAGCCGGGTCCACGCCCGAGCGACGACGGGCTGAGCGTGTTAAATCGCGCGAGCTGCCGATCGCACCCCCACGGCCGCTTTGCCCACGTCCCAGCGAGCAGTTACACGCGGCAAGGATGCGAGGGGGCAGGGGCGGCGGCTCTTCGGGATCCAAACAAGCCAGGGGCCAAATCGCGGTCGCGTCGTGACAAAGCGTCGCGTCGCGAGCGCGTGCCGCCGATCGTGATTCGCCCGAGCGGACGGCCGGCGAAGCCGACTGACGGCACAACCCGGTCGCCGCGGGAGCGCAATTCGGTCGGGAGCAATCAATTAAGTTGTTCCGCGCAACCGATCCGCTCGGGTGTGGACCAGGCTCAAACGCAGAAGTACCTACACCTCCCTACCCATCCCCCCCCTCCCGTCACTCACTCGGCGCTACCCGTGCATACACCGATTCACCTTTTGCCGACTTAACGGGAGACACAGATTTACACATTACACAGATGATGATGATGATGTTGTTGTTATTGCTGTGTGTGCCCGGCTGCCCAATACTGCACCGAATCGGGACTTTCACAAAATCTTGGGAGGGCAACCACAACAAGGCAAATATCCCCTGTATAGCCTCAAATGTATAGGGCAAGTGCGGCTAGTTGGCACGGCACACGAAGGAGGTGGGTGGCCGGCACCACACCCAACCGCCTGTCTCCCCGGTGATGATGTTTAACTGAACATTGCACCAGGTACACATTTGAGGCAGAGTCTACCTATGGGAGGCCCAGGACCGGTTCAGATAATCGTCACTCGTGTTGGTGGCCATGAGCAAGAATCTAACTTGGACCGCCGGCTTCGTGGCACAGCGAGCTAACCGCTGCACCACCGCTCCCAATGACAAAAAACAAAGGTAAAGGATCCCCACGTCTAGCCTGAACATACTTTTGGGGCAAGTGCTGTTAGCATGGTCCCAACCACACACACATGACCACACACTCAACGTAACTGCACCCAAAATAAACTCAATATTGCAACACTAATTTGGGTCCTATAATATTCACTACTTAAGTGCGTGCTTTGATATTACAGATCAACGCTTAGCCCGAGCACTTTTAATACGTCCTCTGCCGACAACGCCGCCGTGGCAAGATGTTGACTTTCTCGCCTGACGTCAAGGTTGTGGGTTTGATCCCGACCCCGACGCCTGTTTTGTATCTTTGGAGTTTGCGTGTCTCTCTCCCTCCACGTGTGGTCAAGTGGATTTTTCTCCGGTTCCTCCTGTTTTTCCCTCCACATTTAGAATCAACGTGCGTTCAGAGTATTTGGCTGCTATAAATTTCCAGGTGACGATCAGCCGCTTCGTTGCGCTATAATTTGTGAGAGCCAGGTCGCTTCTAAAATAGAGCTACACAGCTCAGTGGGGTGTCACCACCGGGGTAAAATAACATCAGTTAGCATTTTGTATAGCTTAGCGGCGCCGACCGTCGTAAACGAGGACAACGCTGCAATGGCAATGCGAGCCCGACACGAGGCTTCGCAAATCGCGGAATTCGCGACGTGCGAACGCTCTGCTTCCGTACCACCGCCGACAAGTTGGCGTCTTCAATTACATTCTCTCAAGTTATCAACGACAGCCAAATTAACGAGCCGGCGTTTTTTGTTTTGCCCGCGATATAACAAACGAACGAACGAAAAATGAGCGTAGTGGCACCAATCCCCCCACAGTGGGCGTTGGAAGACGAGACGCGATGCCAAGTGCGCTTGTCGCGTGCTAAAGCGTTCTTCCGAGACACGCTACCGGTTCTTGTGATAATCAACTCGTTATCATCATTATTACTTTATTAATGTGAACAAAAAATTCCATCATCATAATGTCAAAATATCAAAACAGCTGTCGGGGTGTGCCGGGGGGCGGTCCTTAAGTGTTAATATTAATTAAGCCACATCATCAAGCGCTTTTATTACTTTAGGGGCAGGATTGCTTTCACTCAGTCAGCACTCCGTTAATATCATTTACCCCTTTGCACTGCGATGACGTACGTGTAGGTAGTCAGTTACTCACGTATGTCATCGGAACGGGATCGGAAGAAAAACTAAATAACTTTATCGGAACTGAGGCTCCCAAAAGGCCACGCGGCGGGAGAGCGTGGCAGTTTGGCGCCGGCTATCGTAGAGTGGCCGCGGTCGTGCCGCTACGGTCGTCTGCGGTAACGACATCTTTAGAAACAACGGCGCTCCTACTACGACTCTGCCGGCCACCCACCTCCTTCGTGTGCCGTGCCAACTAACCGCACTTGCCCTATAAATTTGAGGCTATACAGGGGATATTTGCCTTGTTGTGGTTGCCCTCCCAAGATTTTGTGAACCACTCGCGCGTTCAGAGATTCGGTGGTGAAAGGGACATCCACCCTCCAACTCGCAGACAACTCAGAACAGTGATAAGTTTGCGAGTGTCAATGAGGCATTGTGACGAAGACTGGGAAAGCACGAAACGCTTCTCCACCGCCATAAAATGAACTTACAACTCGGTGAATGCTGTTGCAATTATTACGTACACCACTTTATTAATCCACTGCTGGATCAATGCTGCCTCCCCACGCCGTGTCGAACATGGTGTGGGGGGGGGTGGCTGTTAGGCCATACTTCACCACGCTGGTCAGTGCGGACTGTATCCCAAGAACCGATTTGGGGCACCTCGCCGAGTATACAGGAGGTTGTGGGTTAAATCCCTACACTGACACCCGCTGTATATTTGGAGTTTGCGTGTCTATCTCATCGTCATCAGTGGCTAGTAGATGTTAACTACCTCGCCTGGTATACAGGAGGTCGTGGGTTTGATCCCAACCCTGGCGCCTGCTGTATATTTAGAGTTTGAATGTCCTCCCCGTGGTCGTGTGGATTTTGTTTCCGTGTCTTCCGGTTTTTCCCTCCCCATTTAGAATCAGCATGCGTTTAAGAGTATTTGGCTGCTATAAATGTCCACGTGATGATAAGCCACGTTGTTGGGCTATCACTGGTGGCCAGGTCGCTTCTGAAAAAGAGATGCATAGCTCAGTGGGCCTTACTTGGAAAATAAAAAAACAGATTTCAGAGATATACTCGCCACTGATGTTAGCCGTGGCCGGGAATCCAACTCGGGTCAATTTGTTTACAGCGCAGTGCTCCAACCAATGCTGAATACAATAACTAAACATAGTTATGATTAAAACTGACCAGTGGATGGCAGTATGGATGGAGGTAAGCTGGATAGGATTAACTGTGCTTATCACACGTTCAATTCTCAATACAAATCTCAAACACTCCACTCTCCCAGGTGAAATTTTTCGCAAAAAGAAACAGATTTATTGTCAATATTTTTCATTGTAATTTATTTTGTAATCGTCCAAGTCAATGTTTTATAACGTCGAATGCAAGTTCAGTGTGAACAAATAAACTAAAACCATTTAACTGTTAAAAAAACTTCCCCCCACCCCTTCCCTGGGGTCATTTCCATGCTGGGAAATTCAAAAGTGACCAGATGGAGCTCACAGCCCGATAATGGGGATATAGTTTGTTCAAGAAAAGTATTGCTATGCAATCGGTAGCCCGGTAGCCACACACTATTGTTTAAAGGCAATACGTCTGCTAATTGCTACGATCATTATTATGATCATTATGATCGTAGCATTCAACAAACGGAAAACATTAAGTCCTCAAAATATTCCCCTGGCAAATTTGCAAACACGGTCGACTATAAAACAAAGCGTCGCGTCGCGAGCGCGTGCCGCCGATCGTGATTCGCCCGAGCGGACGGCCGGCGAAGCCGACGACGGCACAACCCGGTCGCCGCGGGAGCGCAATTCGGTCGGGAGCAATCAATTAAGTTGTTCCGCGCAATATACTAGTCGACGTTTCCAGCAATGGTCCTTCTTCTGATGTGCTTTGAAGGGTCATCACCTGAAACGTCGCCTCATATTTTATTTTAATGCCACGCGCACACACAGATGGTGTTGCTGTTGTCGATGACACAGGAACGTGTCGAGTTTTACCGCTGCCCGTGCTTGTGCACCACTGCAAACGCAGCAGGAGCGGAGGCGGCGGCAGCCTCACCAAATAATTAGTTTAACGCGTTCGTTTTGATGTTGCACGTCTTATAAAATTTGCGTAGACGCCGCCTTATCATAGCAACAATGTCAACCGCAACAGCACACACACACACACACTGCCGCCACAGCAACCATGTGCACAATACATGAGTATGTGCCACGGTGGACTGCCCCCCCCCCACGCTTAACCACGGGCCTCCAATGTGTAGTGTATAGTGTAGTGTATAGTGCATTGTATAGTGTAGTGTATAGTGTAGTGTATAGTGTAGTGTATAGTGGAGTGTATATTAGTGTCGGGTATCGTAGTGTAGAGTAGAACCCCTCTAAACGACCACTCCTGTGTTAATGACTAATGGCTTAACGACGGGACCTCCAGAGAGCCCAAAGTGTTCGTTTACCAACCATTCCCGTTAATGACGGGCAGTTGTAGGTACAGTAAATATTAATTAATGCATCGATTAACCATGATGTTTCTTTTAATATTAGGTGTTTATAATGTTAATACATTTATGAATTAATATCCATTATTTAAATATGATGAAGTACTTTTTTGGTCACTTTTTATGCTATTGGAACGAATTAAGCCTTTAACAAGTATTTCCTATACTCACTTAATGACCAAATCAACGACCAGTTTCATCGGTAAGAGAGGTTCTGCTGTAAGAACGTTGAAATTGCTTCGCACCGTACATAGCCAACCGTGCTACTCGGAGGTGCGAGGGAAGGAAAACGAACTAAACACAGAAAGCAGTTCTAAAGAAATTAGTTTTCAATCTTGATGATACTAAAGTGCGTAGCTCCAGTGTCTTCCTAATATCGGAAGCGCATTCCAGATGGCCGCAAAAGCGCATCTGAAAGCGGGCGATGCAGTGACCATCTTTGTTCAATGGTTAGCCAAAATCCGCTTTTGGCTCACTATCGAACATGACCGGATGACTGGAGTTTGCGTATGATAACGTGGGATAACGTGTGATAACGTGTGATCGTACGTAGCCCCACCAGCAGCACGTGGACATCCTTTTGAAGGGAGAGGGCTCTCCACCCATGCTCCAATGTGGAGACTCTCAACATGAGAGCAGAGTGGCAAAATGTTAACCACCTCGCCTGGTATACAGGAGGTGGCAGGGTTCGATCCCAACTCTGATGCCTGCTGTATATTTGGAGTTTGCATGTCGCTGTCCTCATGGTCGCGTGGATTTTTCTCCGAGTCTTCCGCTTTTTCCCTTTACGTGTAGAATCAACGTGCATTTGAGAATATTTGGCTGCCGCTATGAATTTCCACGCAAGGATGGTACGCCACTTCGTTTACCTATCATTTGTGATCGCCAGGTCGCTTCTGAAAAAGAGCTGTGTAGCTTAAGTGGGCCCCTTACCTGGTAAAATAAAAACAGTTTATAGTTTTAGTTAAATATTTTACTCTGTCCAGCGGACTCCGTGCCTACCGCTGATCGCCGCCGCTGCCCGGCCAAGGCTACGTTCACAGATACGTTCGTCGTCCCGCCACCCCCCACCAACATCAGGCGCAAGCTCAGATTCTTCCGACTCTGCATCTTCCTCCCTTTCGCACGATCGTCCCGACGCCGCGGAAATCGACAAGACGAAGTAAAAAAACGACGGCATGAAAAAGAGATCACATCTCACCTCGGAATTTTTTGAAGATCCTGACACTCCGCACGGGGCCATTGAACGTCTTCAGGAAGGCGCGAATCTGCGAGCAAAACGCGCAAGGTAATTCGAGGCAGGCGGGTGGGTGTTCCGCCCTCCACATTGCCGCCGTACGTTAACTGTGAGTAAACCCAACCTGAACTACGACAACAGGAAACATTTAAAGTGTGCTGTTGTTGTTGTTGTTCGGGGGGAAAATGTAAGGAACCGGAGAGGAAGGCCTAACAGAGGATGGGCTTGACGATGATATGAAAGATTGGTGGCAGACGGACGTGGACACTACTTGAGCATATTGGTACAAGGCAAAGAGGAGAGAGGAAACAAATGCCGAAATGTGGAGCGGGCACCTACTAGGGCCATCTGCCTATGGATCGTGATAATAAACCCAACCAATAATAGGTACTGCATAGTCAGATTAACATAATCCATTGTAATTTACATGACTACATTAACCTCCCTCTGGGTAGTCTTCACACCTGATAGGTTCACAGTGATGACATCAAATTTACTCGATATAAAAATTTCGGCAAATCGCCTGATGAAGCCAGTTGTTATCACCAGCGAAACATTGTACAGTAAAACCTTGGATTGCGAGCAAAATTCGTTCCGGAAACGTGTTTGTAATCCAAAGCACTCGTATATCAAAGCACTCGTGTATCAGTTGTGATCACGTGACACTCGGCAGACAAAGCGTATACACGTCCTCCTCGTATTGCAAGACCTCACTCGTTTATCAAATTAATATTTATTTAAAAAAATTGCTCGTCTTGCAAAACACTGGCAGACCAAGATACTCGCAATCCAAAGTATTACTGTACTTAAATTGCAAATGTTGTGGGTTTACTCTCCAACACACCGGTGTGCTAAAGTAGTAACTACTAGTAGGCGCATTGGGACAAAACTCTCTAACTGGACGTGTCGGGTGGTGGCTGGTTCACGACACTTTCATATTTACGTGATTGAACTAAAAAAAACGGTGGATAATATTGGTCGCAAAATCCCTACTATGTGTTAAAATGCCATCGGCAGTGGGGAGACAAAGGCGGCAGGGCGTGGTGTTGGCCACCCACCCCCTCGTGCGCCGTCCCGACCTTCATAGGTGCTGGCTAACACCACTTGCCCCAACAGCCTGTTGTAGGCTACATGGGGTATCTTTGTCTTTCTATTGTTATTGCTACGTTTGTTCACTCAGGAAAGCTTCACGTCGAGTCTCAAGACTCTTTTTCAGGGAGGGTCTTGCAAGGTTTTTCGCTGTAGGGAGATGTTAATGTTTCCGTAATACCCATTGAGTAATTTGCAGGCATATTTTTCAGCAAATAGAAGTTTTGTCCAATGCCAGTTACATTGTCTGTCTGCGTGTATTTTAGCTGTAGGAGGAAACCGGAAACTCCAGAGGAAACCCATGCAGGATAGGGGGGGGGGGAAAGAGAATTCAAAATCCACACTCATTTACTCACACTCACTCACCAACTCACAATCACTCGCACTCATTCACACACTGCAGAAGAGAGCTCCACAAACTCTCACATACACTCACTCACTCTCATTCACTCTCACTCACTCACTCTCACTCACTCTCACTCTGCATAACAGGGGAAGAACACAAACTCCACACAGAAAAGGCACCCGAGCCGGGAATCAAACCTAGGCCCTTTCTTGCCGCGAGGCACGAGTGTCGTCACGGTCAACCTGCCGCCCATAAATTATAAACGTAATGGGGGAAAAAAACTGAACGCTTTTGTCAACAACACTTTGTGTGCGTGGCTTTGAATGAGAAAAATATATAATAGCCAAGATTTTGGGTGGGGTAGGGAAATGGCGCTCCTTCAGGGCATACGAAGACTCAATAATGTAAGTTGTTGCTTGGTGGTGTTTGGTGTTGTTATTGTTTGGTGGTGTTGGTGGTGTTTGGTGGTGTTTGGTGGTGTTATTGTTGGTGGTGTTATTGTTGGTGGTGTTGGTGTTTTTGATGGTGTTGTTGGTGGTGTTGTTATATGGTGTTATTGTTCGGTGGTGTTGGTGGTGTTATTGTTGGTGGTGTTATTGTTGGTGGTGTCGGGTTGCCCAGGACCCACATCCGACCGTTACCTCCTCCTGTTCCACGTCATGGGGAATGTCGTGCAGAATGACCGCGGGACCCGACACCCCGACGGGGTCGTTCTCGAGCTCCGGCTCGCCGGGGTCGCGGTCCTGCGCGCGGAACCTACCCGACAAGACGTCGTCGAGGCTAACGCGCTCCTAGCGGTCAACACGACAACGGCACGCCAAGTTAGTGGACGGACGTACGAAGACAAAGATCCCCACATTGATCACACGCACGTAGACACACGCACGTGGACACACGCACGTAGACACACGCACGTAGACACACAAACGCTCACGCATATAGATAACACGCACACCGAGACACAAACTCGGAATTTTCAGGTTTGTAGCGTAGTGCGCCAACCCCTACACTACCGTCCCCCACATAGACACACAAAGATACACACGTACATATAGACAGAGATCCCCCGTGTAGCCTTTATAGACTGTTGGGGCAAGTGCTGTTAGCGAGCGCTAATGAAAGCCGGCACGGCACACGAGAGCAGTTTTGCGGCTAGCGTGGCAGCAGGGTGAAGTGGTAACACTCGCAGCCGCACAGGAAGGGCCAAGGTTTGATTCCCGACCAGGGCACCTTTCTGTGTTGTGTTTGTAAGTTCTCTGTCCGATCTACAATTGTTTCCATCCAGTTTCCACCCATAGCTAAAACAAACCATACAATGTAACTGGTATTTGCCAAAAATATTCCATTACCTGGAAATTACTCAATTGGGCATTCCACATGGCAACAGAATGCGAAAAACTTGGCAGGGCCCATCGTGAAAACTATGTAACGACTGCACCACGCTCACCCATCTGTTGGTCTTGTCGCGCCGGTGCTGGCTGGCGGCCAGAGCGTCGTCTTCCAACCGCGCGCTCTGCTTCCCGCTCGCGTCTGCCCTATTGCTGCCGGGCGACAGCCTCGCTCGGTAGTCAACGTCTCGAAAATCGTGATCGCCACGACTATCACCGCGATTATCGCCTCGATTATCGCCTCGACTTTCGCCGCGAATATCGACGCAATTATCGCCGCGAATATCGCCTCGATTATCACCGTGCTTGTCGCCGCGACCGTCGCCGCGACCGTCGCCGCGACCGTCGCCGCGACCGTCGCCGCGACCGTCGCCGCGACCGTCGCCGCGACCGTCGCCGCGACCGTCGCCGCGACCGTCGCCGCGACCGTCGCCGCGACCGTCGCCGCGACCGTCGCCGCGACCGTCGCCGCGACCGTCGCCGCGACCGTCGCCGCGAATATCGCCGCGAATATTGCCACGACTATCGCTGCGACTATCGCGGCGACTGTCACTGCGACTGTCACTGCGACTATCACCGCGACTATCGCGATCCTGCCTGTCCCTTCGCTCCGGGCGGTCCCGGCGGTCCGAAGAATGGTAGTCCCTCCTGCGCGATAGCGACTCTCCATAGCCGCCACCACCGCCGCCACCGCCGCCGCCACTCCTAAAGCCGCCCTCCAGACGGGTGTCGCGGTCTTTGCCGGGCTCTTCCTTCCCCTTAAAGACGGTTTCATTTAGAGGCACGGGCGGCACGAAACTGCCGACGCCCTCCGCTGGCACGGCGCCCCTCTGCTCCAGGGTGAAGTGAGCACCCGTGACATTTTCTGGTGGGGGTGGCAGCGAGATTCTGTAACCGCTGGGGGTGAATCTGGCCACGGCCCTCTGGTCCCCGTACTCGCTTTGGCCAAAGGGTATCCTTCCCGCCTCTACTCCAGCCGCAGCGGCCCCGACGTCGGCCCGGTACTCTTCCCTGGCGTCGCACTGCAGGCCAGCGCCGCTTTCGCGGGCCTCATGAAACTCCACCGGGGGGCGGTAGTCGTCCCAGTAGCCTCGAACGTTGTCTCGGGGTCCCCTCTGACCCGGCGAATCCATTGAGCGGTGGCCGGCGACGGGCCCGCGGAAATCGGCCACTTGGCTTGGGTTGGCGGGTGCCCCGTATCCCCCGGGGGGCGGCACGCGCGGGAATACGCCGTCCCAGTTTCTCGTGCCGTCCCCCGGCCAGAAATTCGACTGCAGCGTGCCGCTCGTGGCGCCCGACTGCCACAACTCGTCGGCAGGAATTTGGCTCCCCGTGAGTTGCTGCTGCTGCTGCTGTTGATAGGCGTCCGGTGGCTGCCAGTACTGGCCACCTTGCCCCTGGGCAAACCTCTCCCTCTCTCCGGGTCTGCCTCCAATGCCCTCATAGGGCCCTCTCCTGCACGGACACAATCACAGGAACAGCATCACACTGGGAGTTGCTGAAAGATTCAGTCCCGACTCTACAACAAAACTTTTCTTAAATTCACAAATCGGAAAGGGAATAGCTCTAAGTCTTGTGAGGCCAAATTGTATTTGATATATTTTCGTCTGTTGACTAACTAGTACAATATTCACCTCAATTACACTTGATGTTTCTGTAACTTAACTTCGCGATGAATAGTCCAGCGGTAGCGTGTTCGCCACTTGCTTCGGAGGTTCATCGTTCGAACCCGGCAGGCCGCCCTGGTTATTCCCGCGGGGTGTACCGACAATAGAATGCGTGCCGTCGTCTTCGCGGTAGATATTAAAGATCACCTGCCGTAATTCTAAACGCCTAGAGGCCAATTGTGTGCCGGTGTCACATGGCTCGATTAGTACGACGATACACTGCAAAACCGCTACCCCTGCATCTCGCCTGTGGCGAGATGTTATCTCCATCGCCTGGTATGCAGGAGGTCGTGGGTTCAATCCCGACCTTGACGCCTGCTGTATATGGGGTCTGCGTGTCTCTCTCTCTCTCTCATCATCATGACGGTGGCTAGGAGATGTAATCTCCCTCGCCTGGTAAGCAGGAGGTCGTGGGTTCAATCCCGACCCTGACGCCTGCTGTATATGGGGTCTGCGTGTCTCTCTCTCTCATCATCATCACGGTGGCTAGGAGATGTAATCTCCCTCGCCTGGTAAGCAGGAGGTCGTGGGTTTGATCCCAACCCTGTCGCCTGCTGGATATTTGAACTATTAGGCTGCTTGTCCACTCACCCCATGTTGAAGTTCATTGTGCCAAGCGAACCACCTGAGACACAGGCGCCCACGTCTGGCCTGCGTGAGTTACAGACAAAAAAGTCAAAGATACATTAAGTTTCTCCAAGTCGGCGAGTACTGACATCAGTCTTGTGTTTTCTAACCTCCAGGCAAATCCATTAATACCCCACTAAAATAAAATGTATTACAAAGATGTGTTTTGTTACTTCAAAGCCTCTACCAAATCTCAAAACACGTACTCAACCCTTTCAAACTCTCCCCTCTGTAAAATGCAAAGCCATCGCTTGCACAAGACTCAACAGAGCAGCAATTAAACTAATTACATCGGTGCGCATGGCAAAAATATGCAGGCGCTAAACGCCCATAATCAAGTACAACAGCCTAGTCTTCCTCTTAAGTTTCAATTTGGAAAATAACCACATCTATTGGGCTAAGAGTAATTTGTATCAACCTTTAATTCGTGCATCTGATATTTTGCAAATATAAAAAAATCTGATTTTATATTTATACTTGAGAAAAAAATAACAAACACATGAAAAGAAAGCTTACAGTATTTTCACTAACAGATGGTGCAATTATCGTGGCCATTGTATCGTCGTAGGATAGACTGTATACCGTAGTATTATCGCCATATCATGGAAACCCTACACTCTGATTGTGTTGGGAGAAGCATTTCGTGCCTTCCTGCTACGACTGCCTTGTTCAACGTTGACATCTGTAAATCACGAGAAAAACCCATCGGAACAGACACAAATGTGCACGCCGGAAAAACCACAAGTTACAAACACACACATGTAGACAAAGTACAGAGCCTCAGTTTAACACGGAGTAGGCTTTCGCGACCAATATTATCCATAATAACGTTCTTTTTGGGATAGATCGTGTAAATGTGTAGTTAACACATCACCACCCGACATAAATAATTATTAGCGAGGTTTATTATGAAAACAAAACGTGCCAATTAGTTACTGCTTCAGCACACCGGTGTGTTGGAGCGTAACCCCACAACATTTACAATGTGAGGACTGTGACGTTTCGCGTGTGATTACAACCAGCTTCATCAGGCGATTTGTCAGAATTGTTAAGTCCTGTTTCGGTTTTGTTTACATGACAAAAACCTTACTAGTTAGCTGTGTCGGGTGATGGTGGGTTAACAACACATTTATATTTACGCGATCTAAACCAAACAATTACCTTTATTAAGCACAGAGCCTTTGTGCATAATGTGAAAACCATCAGCGGTTCCAGAAGGAAGTGCATTATGAACAGAGTGCATTGCACAAATACTAATCTGCCTTGTTTTCGGTTATAAGCCTGCATTGAAGTGTTTAATAAAATACGCTTCTACATTAAATCCAACGCAGTCCCTTTTAACATTTGAAAGGAGCATTTGTTTCTTACTCAGTCAAGAGACAATTGTGGAAATTCCACATTGCTAAACGTGGGAGGGGCTACTCCCTCGGCAGGACAGCTATAGCGGATTGACCACAAAGTGCCATTCGTTTGATCTACCCAAGAGGAGTTCATTAATTGTCCTTTACGTTATTCGTGACTAACAGGTAAAGTGGATATTATGAGTCGTTTATTGACAGGCAGATTGTCCTTTCTTCATTAAACACGACTTTAATAGTCCTCTCGACAGGTATAAAACAAATCTAATAAGTTACACGCGACTTTTCGGGTCATAACCCTGTAAAATGGATATAGAATGGGCGACGTTTTGGGCAACGCGAGGCATCACAGAACTGTTCGATAACAGAACGTAATCGTTTACAACGGGGGGCTTTACCCAGCCACCGGTGGAGATGGTGACGATACATTGTTTTATTGTTTTTGCTTTTAACGTATTCATTGCACAGGGCTCCTGCTCGAAACGTCGCCTATTGTATATTGCACCACGCAGCGTCACCATCATCACCCGCATGTTCTCGACAGGCTGAGATAAGTCAATTAACATCGCTGTTAGCAACACGAGTAAAATTTTGTCGCACTTATGAGCTTATTGTTGCTAAATCGTTTAAATTCAGTCCAAGAATACAAAAGGCCTACCCGCTCGCTACGACAGAATTCAACCACTTAAAAGCATCGCGATCTCGTAGCGAGGCGTTTGTAACACGCGCGGGCGTTACTCGTTAAGGATTAGCGGGCAAAAGTAACGCTTAGAATAAAAGCGTAAACATTTACAACGCTACGCGATTTATTCTCAAGGCGCGTTTAGCGCCGAAGTCTTTGCTAGGCCGTGCTAGGCCCAAGCCAGCCAACGAACGTTTAAAATTGTTTCAATGAACCACCCCTGTCGTTTCAAATTTAAATACCTTGGCGGACTCCACGAGGTAATGCGCTCGCTCGATTAGTTTGCGACCAGTTTGGATGATTTCATTCACGAGTCACAAAAAGAGCGGCGACTGCGCGGCCGCGGGCTCGCCCCGAACACCCCCAGCCACCAGCACTCCAAGATGGCAGCAGGGGGGCCCAGAATGCATCGCGCTTCAATTACCACGAGCCGTGGTCTATCCACTGCTGGGTGTGACGTCACCACGAGCCGTGAGCCGTGACGTCACCACGAGCCGTGGTCTATCTACTGCTGGGTAATGGAATGCTGTTCCGTATTTCAAAAAAATTAACCTGAATAGGTAAATCAATTGACGTTTGTGTTTCTTCATGATCAGGCACTGTCTGTCCACTGCTGGATGAAGGCAACCCCACATCGACATCATTCATCACGGTTCTACGATGTCACGATCAATTATCTTTGCACGTGAAAGTGGTCATTGTTCCTTCTCTCCATCATCAGTCTTGTCCGTCAGTCATCGTCTCTACTTGGCGATGCGGCTTGTGCTCATCTGTGTTTTGTTTAAATATTACCCAAAGGTCATGGCCAAAGGTGAGGGTTGGAGCGTAGAAAGACCTATAAACCGAGAGCTTCGTTCGAGAGCTCAGCTCCCGCTTCACTACCACGTAACGGTGTAGCGCCCGCAACACTGCGGATGCCGCACCGATCCCCCGGCTGATCTCCCACTTACCATCACTCGAGGTACTTAAACTCCTCCACTAAGGGCAGCTGTTCCCCCCTCACCTGGAGAACACATTTCTCATGAATGAACCATGACCTCAAATTTGGAGGTGCTGGTCCTCATCCCAGCCACTTCACACTCGGCATCAAACCGTCCAAGTGCCCGCTGAGATCACAGACTGAGGAGGCAAAGAGCACAACATCATCTGCAAAAATCCACGACGCCACCTCCATGCCCCCGTACTGAATAACTCTACATGCCTCGGCTGCGCCTTGATATCCTGTCCATGAAAATCGCAGGAATGGAGACAAAATGCACCCTTGGCAGAGTCCAACACCCACAGTGAACGACTTTGATTTCACACCAAGAATACGGACGCAGCTCTCACTCTGTGAATAGAGGGACTGGATAGCGCACCAAAGTAGCATCGGTACATCATACTCCAGCAGCACCTCCCACAAGACATTGTGGGGAACACGGTCATGTGCCTTCTCCAAGTCTATAAAGTAGAGGTAGACTGGAGAAGCAAACTCCCATGACCCCTCAAATGTCTGTGAGAAGACAAAGAGCTGGTCCATTGTTCCATGACCATGATGGAATCCGCATTGTTCCTCCTGCATCTGAGGCTTGACCAACGGGCAGCGCCTCCTCTCCAGAACTCTGGCAGAGGTTTTACCCTGAGGAATGAGATCTCTCTGTATTTAGAGCACACCCTCTGATCCTCTTTCTTAAAAATGGTAAACACAACACAAGTTTGCCAATCCAGAGGTACTGTACCCGCCTTCCATGCAACATTGAAGCGGCGTGTTAACCACGATACTCCTACACTGCCCAGCGCTTTCAACAACTCTGGGCGAATCTCGTCCACTCCAGCAGCTTTGCCAATACAAAGGCCCTCGACCACCGCAGCGACTTCAGCAGCTGTGATGGATCCGACCCCCTGAGCTGTTTCCAGGGTTCTCTCCTGACAGGAGGGCATGTCCACCGAGTTGAGCTCCTCAAAATGTTTCTTCCACATCTCGACTGTCTCCTTAGTTGAGTTCAATGTTACGTCGCTACCCTTACTGAGAACATCCTGGGCCACGTCCCATCGACCACTGATCAGGCATCGGATGGTTTGCAAAACTCCAAACTCCTCCCACGCCCGGGCTTTCGCTTAAGTGACTGCTACCGCTGCCACCCTCCTGACAAGCCGGTACCTCTCAATCGATTCGGGAGGCCTTTTTCCGAGCATAGCTCAGAAAGCCTCCTTCTTCAACTTGACAGCTTCCCTCACCACTGGTGTCCACCAGTGGGTCCTAGGGTTGCTGCCATGACAGGCACCAACTGCCTTCAGGCCACAGATTTTCGCAGCTGCATCGACAATTGAGGTCCTGAACATCGTCCACTCGGACTCAATGTCCATGACCTCCCCTGGAGTGTCAGATAGGTTTTCCCGGAGACGGAAGTTCAAATCTTTCTGCACTGGGTCTTCCGCCAGACATTCCCAGAAGACCCGCACTATTCGTTGGGGCCTTCCACGTCTATCTGGTTGGTGCCCCAAGCATCAGATCCAACTTACCACCAGGTGGTGATCAGTTGACATCTCTGCCCCTCTCTTCACCTGAGTGTCCAGAACATATGGCCTTAGGTTCAATGATACAACTATAAAGTCAATCATTGACCTTCGGCCCAGGGTGCTCTGGTACCAAATCCACTTTTGAGCATCCTTGTGTTCGAACTTGGTGTTTGTTATTGCCATTCCGTGACTCGTGCAGCATTCCAATAACATCTCACCATTCGGGTTGAGATCAGGGGGGCCTTTACTCCCCATAATCAACATTTATAAGATCATCTGACTGACATGAGCTGCATACTTAGGTGTAGTTTGTATATTGAAATTACAGTACTCATAGCTTCACAGATATGCTGGGGGTGGGAGCCTCTAGCAAGCATCATGCCACGAGGTATCCACCACAATCTCAGATCACACGTGAGAGGATATCGACAAGTAGGTTTATTTTAAAACGATGCTCAGTATCTTATAAACATGTACAATCACCTTTTGGCGTCATCTGGTCGAACACCATATGAGACTAGGCTCTAAAGAAAGCTGTCTCTGGTGTGGACCAATCAGTTTCAAAGACAATGCATAAATTATCAGAGTATTGTTTTTTGTTTGCATTTGACTGCAAGTATTGTGGTTAATGTAAGCATGATTCCTTGCAAAAGGTGTCAGTTTTGTTTCCAGAAAAAAGGGGAAAACCCCTATTAGTAATGTACAATCACCTTGGGTTTAAATTTCTCTCAGCACTCTTTTTAATCATCATATGTCCTTACCGCAAATAGCAATAATGCTACGGATGGTATTTTTGATTTATTGTTGCTTCAATTTGCAAGGAGCTTTAAATATCTCGACACGATTTGAAATCAATTCGAAAAGCGCTGATGAGTCGCGTTAATTTTGTGTTTGCTCGTGTGCGGCAAAAAAAAAACGCTGCGACGCAGAAAGAGAAGTGAGCCCAGTGGCAAAAATGTTGATGCCACGTGCTCTGTGGGTGTGTTGAGGGCTTGAGGGGTTGGGGGCTCGGGCCTATGGTAGGGCTTTCTCTTTTCTTTCATGTAAATTAATAGCAGCAGATTAAAGGTGTAATTTTAGATTCGTTATCCGCTCGATTGTCAGTTCAGGACCAGAGTGGATCTCGTCCATAGGTAGAGTTTGACTTCCATATTTGGGTTGGGACAAGTGGGAAGGGGTTCGCTTTGTCCCTCACATTAGGACTCGAGGGCCATATCATTAATACTTTTTTTTTATCTTAATTGTAAACTACTGAGTGAAGACTGCAGGGGCAGTGGCGGCAGAGTGTTTACGATGGTGGTCGACGGTTTGGGATTCGGCCACGTGCCACTCGCAGGCTGCCCAAATCTTCGACGTGCCATTCTGCGCGTCGGGTGGGCCACTTTGGCCACGTGGGCCCGGGTCCTGATTCGTTTTGATTGGTCGACTCGGTGGTAGGCGCTGAAGCAGGTCCATGGCACCGTGAGCGTAGCCCCCCTCCCCGGCAGCGGCGCGCCATCGGTGTCATCCGCCGCTCCACTAAAAAGTCCAGGAACGAGAGGAAAGTGAGAACGCCCCCCTTAAATATCCTGTCTCTCACAGGATTTCCTCAATTCGGTTTTTCCGTGGTGCCACTGTGTGAGATGGAGGTCGTGGTGTCACCGTGTGAGGTGGAGGTCGTGGTATCACTGTGTGAGATGAAGGTCGTGGTGTCACCGTGTGAGATGGAGGTCGTGGTGTCACCGTGTGAGATGGAGGTCGTGGTGTCACCGTGTGAGATGGAGGTCGTGGTGTCACCGTGTGAGATGGAGGTCGTGGTGTCACCGTGTGAGATGGAGGTCGTGGTGTCACCGTGTGAGATGGAGGTCGTGGTGTCACCGTGTGAGATGGAGGTCGTGGTGTCACCGTGTGAGATGAAGGTCGTGGTGTCACTGTGTGAGATGGAGGTCGTGGTGTCACTGTGTGAGATGGAGGTCGTGGTGTCACTGTGTGAGATGGAGGTCGTGGTGTCACCGTGTGAGATGGAGGTCGTGGTGTCACTGTGAGATGGAGGTTGTGGTGTCACTGTGTGAGATGGAGGTCGTGGTGTCACTGTGTGAGATGGAGGTCGTGGTGTCACTGTGAGATGGAGGTCGTGGTGTCACTGTGTGAGATGGAGGTCGTGGTGTCACTGTGTGAGATGGAGGTCGTGGTGTCACTGTGTGAGATGGAGGTCGTGGTGTCACTGTGAGATGGAGGTCGTGGTGTCACTGTGTGAGATGGAGGTCGTGGTGTCACCGTGTGAGTTGGATGCCCGTTCAAGGTTAAAGTTTATTTGGTGTAGCCAGGTAAGAACTCAAGTGAACCAACAAAGATTCTCAAATGCGAGAGTAACCTGGGGGGGTGGGTGAGTGGGGTTCACCAAAATGCCAAAAGCAACGAGACGATAACAAATGCGTGTACTGCAACGAAGGGCGAATGAAAATTGGAGCAAAAAACACAACAAGCAATCGCTGGCCGAGTGCGAGGAGGAAGAGGAGGAGGGGATTGAGAGCCACCACGGCGTCGCTGCGGTGCCCCAAACGTCTCCTTCATCCCGCGTGCGAGTGTGAACGGTGGCTTACCCGGCTGGCAGGATTCACTCGGTTCAACACGCAGTAGATGGGCTTTTGCTACCAATATTATCCATAGTAGAGACTTTTTGGGTTAGATCGCGTGAATATAAACGTCCCAGTAAACCCGCCACCACCCGGCAGAGTTAATTTGTGAGATTTGTCACGTCAACAAAACATTACAATTCGTTACGAGTACACCGGTGTGTTGGAGAGTAAACCCACAATTATGAATTGTAAATGTTGTAGTGGGTTTACTCTCCAACACACAATCGGTTAGTGCTCGACTAGTAACACATTGGCACGTTTTGTTTACGTGACAAACCTTACTAATTTGGCTGTGTCGAGTGGTGGTGGCGGGTTTAACGACACATTTGATTTACGCGATCTAACCCCAAAAACCTTTATTATTAAGATTAACTTGGTTCAATCGTGGCCTACATTGTGTGCCTTTATTGCTGGTTGAACAACAGCCACCGTTGCCAGCCCATTCTGGGATCGTATTTTGCCCGTTGGCCCAACATTGGCGCACGTTTCGTCAGAAACCTCTCCCGGCACCCGTGCTGACCCGATGCTTCAGACATCGTTCGCCCAACTGCTGCACCTCCTTGCCCAATCTTCACTCGGCCTCAAATAATCAATCCAATGTTTTTTTACGACATTTATTTTTTTCCCCAGCAAAGCCTTGCTGAATCCCAAGACTCTTATTTTAGGAGGGTGTCATTCCTCAGCGTTCACGGGACGTAAACATGTTTTCTTATTTTTGCCGGCATAATGTTGGCAAAAATGTGGGACAACGACGCATGGCGCGAGTGACCCGCCCCTTTCTTCGAGCATCTTCACAACTTCTACGGCCGAAGTGTTCACCAGAGGCGGCCCGGGGCTCGAGCCGCGGGGACGCTGCGACGAGCAGCACACCGCTGGGGAGCGGCGACGAAGGCCACGTGGCCACGGGGAGTGAATGGAATGTCAACACTGGGAGGGGGGGGCATCCGCTCTGAATTGGTGCCCTGAGGGGAGGCTTGCAATGGTGGAATTTTGTTCTGAATGCTGGCAACAAAAACTTGAATGACGTCCCATCGTTGTGTGCGTGTGTGTGTAGCTCCTCAAACGCGTCTCACGATCGCCACTAACACCCGGTCCCCCCCCCCCACCTCGTCCTCCTCTCTGAGAAGCGAGGATGCTTACCAGGTGCTTCTTAACGCAGCTGTGTCCCAACTTCTTGCACATCTCGCACAGGTGAGAGGGGTGCTGCTTTCTTGGGTCCAGCGTGTTCTCACTGTCCGGCGTATTCAGGGGTTCCTGCACAAGAAGGTGAGGCAACACTGAGACAGATGTGGACAATGATAAACTAGAATAAGCATTCCCCCCCACCTCCCCTGATTCAGTTGCCACGATTTGGAGTTGGGATTCGATTCAAAGGTCGCTTGATGACTGGGGGGTCGTTGCAGAGACATGCGCCCCACATTTGTTGTGTTACAGTCGCATCGCGTTCTTTTGACGTCACGCGATTTTGAAACGGCGCGTTCGATTGACACTTTTATTTGTTAACCGCACGCGGTCATTGCAATAACGCGCTCCTCAAGCGCGTGGGCCACGGTGCAGGCAACGCGTGTGCGAGCTCGTCGTCAGTCGGGCGGCAAGGTTGAGTCGCGATGCTGCCTGAGGTGCGGCAGCAGCAGCGCCGAGTGCTGGCAGCGGCGCCAGGCAGCTGCACTTTGTCTTGTGCACCCATTTGCCGACCAAATATGTCCGGTAATCATCTCGCCAACTTAAAACAAATATCTCTTTGTTTTAATTACTTTTGAGCAATTTTGTTTCTTGAAAAAAGTCTGTTGCTATCTTTACTACACATACGGTAGTTTTGCAAATACGACCTGTTGCTGTGACCAGTGACATATGTTGACGTAAGAACGAGGTGTCGATAGCGTGCTCTCCCTAACCCCCACGATTTAATGTATTTGTCATGGGAAAATTACTACTTAAATAACTATGAAAATTACTACTTGAATTACTATGACAATTACTGTACTAGTTAAATTTACTATGAAAATTACTATGATAATTACGATGAAAATTACTACTTAAATTACTATGAAATTGTTACGATGAATGCTATGAAAATTAAGACTTAAAGTACTATGAAAATTACTATGATAATGACTATGAAAACTACGCTTAATGTACGCGACTTTTGAGTTGCGCCACAGAATGCTCTTCCATTCAATGGCACAGTCACTACTTTGGCGGTTCACTCAAACTTAAGGACGTGCATAATCATACTAACTAAATAAATAATGCGCTGCGCCGGCCAGTCGACCGTACGTGGCGCACCCTCCCTCCCTCAGCACGGGTTGGTGAGTGGAAAAGGCCCGGCCCGGTTCAAGTATTACTCAGCACTCGTGTGAGCCGTGACCAAGAAATCTCACTTTCTATAATATTGTGATCATGATTATGACGAGGATCTGTGATGACCCGATGGAGATCTCAAACACGGTGTTTGCTCATCTCTCCACATGGCCTCGTGAACGAGCGCCGTCAGTTGGTGGCTACTTGACGCCACCACCACCACTAATGCCGCGTGCGTCACCGCTCGCGGTGAGAACCCACAGGAAGCTGCCCCCCCCCCCCGCACCTGCTTGTAGGGGTACACGTTGATGATGCACTTTTCGCATTTCTGCCCCGTGTTGGCCCAGGAGGACGCGCTCATCCACGTGCGTTTGCACTGGGGGCACTGGAACGTGCCAAAGCAACGGTTTTTTCCCTGGTACGGGGTGAGAAGTTTGCCCGAGGAAGTCTTCTGTTGGGGGCCACGGTGGCGACGTTGACGACCCTGGAGAAGGGGGGGGGAAGGCACAAACACACGCACAGACACAACCTCGACATCGCCTCTTGGCGTTGTGCACTGCCCACACGTAACGTCTTCCACGTGTCGTTTTAAAAGTGTCCAAAGAAATATGAAAATAAAACAAATGATCGTTGGCACAGTTTCAAAGCTTCCTGATGTTGTTGATTTGTTTGTTGTTTTTTTGTTTTGTTCACGCATCGAACGTTCAATGTGCGGCTGCTCCCTGAAACGCATCACAGCGGGCGAGCAAGATGTCACTGCACGACGATGCGTGGTCCCTGCTCTTACCCGCAAATTCCCATGCACATTTAAAGGAATAGGCCTTTCACGAGCAAATATTATTAAGTGGAATTGATTATTCTTTTTGGGGGGTAAAATATTGTGTGTGTCGTGTGTTGTTCATCCTCATCCACCCAACGCATCCAATTAACAGTGAAGTTGTCACGTGATAAGTGAAAGTGACAACAACCGCTTGGGAGCGATCGGCACGCGACCGCCAATTAACAATTGCAGCAAAAATTGACATCCCCGAACATCCTTGCAAACGAAATGTTCCACGTCAAGGGATTATCTATGCGAAAATGTTGCACTATATATTTAACTAAATCTTCAATTCAATATATAGATCAATATATAGTTTAAGTGCCGAGGTCAGGAGTCGGGAAAAAAACATTACAATAAGAGATATTTTTTTTAAATTCGGCAATTTTTTTAAATTAAAGTTTCCATGTGAAGAGACGGTGGCGGTGCCTTATTAATGAGGGTCACGGAGCGGTCCCTTAAAGAGCCACGACATTAGGCCCCAGAGCCACTGACCTAGGTGGTGTGAGATAGAGGTCGTGGTGTCACTGTGTGAGATGGAGGTCGTGGTGTCACTGTGTGAGATGGAGGTCGTGGTGTCACTGTGTGAGATGGATGCCCGTGTGGTTAGTTTGTGTAGCCAGGCGAGAACTCATGAGAACCAAGAAAGAGTCTTAAATTGCGAGAGTGAGGGGGGGGTCACCATAAATACCAAAAGCAACGACACGAAAACAAATGTGCGTACAGAACAATGAAGGGCGACGAGAAATCGAATAGGCAGCGGAGCAAAACAAACACAACGAGCAATCGCTTCGGAGAAGACTCGCAAGGAAGATCACCTGTGAGGCCATGGCTTGCGCGCCGCTTGTCGTGAAGAGGCGGAGTGGAGCCGGCGGGGTGGAGTGAGACTCACGGCTGCGATGCGAGTGGTAGGATGGGCGCAGCGGTATTTATAGTCGCTGAGCGGCGCGGGGAGTCACCAAACTTTCTTGCGTGTACAGCTGAGCCGAGGCGTCGCTTCTCGGAACGACACTTGCGCACCGACACACACACCGACACACACACCGACACACACACACAACAACCGCCATTCGCCACTAAGTGGCGGTGACGCCACCACGACGCTTGTGCCAGGCCATGTGCACCTTGAGGCCACGTGAAGTGTCGAACGCCCGCTGGCAGGAGGTCACGGGGCAGACCCAGATGCCACGGGTCGACTGACCGAGATGACCGAGATGACACACACACACCGACACACACAGATCAAAGATCCCCCGTATAGCCTTAATAGACTGTAGGGCCAAGTGCTGTTAGCGAGCACCTATAAAGGCCAGAACGGCACACGAGGGGGTGGGTGGCCAGCACCACACCCGACCGCATTTGTCTCCGTAGTGGCAATGTTTACACACCGCACCAGGTACTCATTTGAGGCTGAGTCGACCTAAGGGAGGCCCGGGACCGGTTCAGATAATCGTCACTGGTGTTGGCCGTGAGCGGGAATCAACTCCTCATCTTTAAACAAAACAATTGATCTAAACGGAATGTATTTCTACCACAGCCTTCTAGCTGTTCATCCTTCACTACAACACTTCGGAGCGCTTTTCAACGACTCGGTGTTCTCATCGCCAGTCGGGATTTGTGCTGCTGCTGCTGCTGCTTCAATCGCTGCTGGCGAACGACCGCGGGTCGACAGGCGGGACCCCACCGCCCCTCGGCCGCTCACGGCAGGAGACCCGCGGGGATCGATTGCAGACGGCGTCACTTCGCGGCAAGACGAGGCCGTCCACGCTGCTCGCGGGTGGGGCGGCCACGGCGTCATTTAGCAGAAGCGGAGACGGACGCCGTCCATGGGTGCGCCATGGGTGGCGGTGGTGGGCCATGACGCCCGCAGTTATTCCGGTGCCCAGCCCGCTGCCGCCTGCTTGGGGCGTGGGGCAGGGAGACGCCTTCGAAGCGCGCTGTGTTTCTGATCTCAAGAGGTCGTGGACTGACACCGCTCGCCCGGCAAACCGCGTGACGACGCCACGAGATGAGACCACGCCGCCTGACCGGTTCCCCCTCCACATTTAGAATCAACATTTGTGAGAGCCAGGTCGCTTCTGAAGAAGAGCTGTGTAGCTCAGTGGGGCCTTACCTGGTCAAATAGACACATACAGAATCTCTCTCCCGGGCTTTACATAGGGACAACACAGAAAAAAATACAACTTATTTGTCTACACATCCCATCAGCAACGTGGCCTTCTAGGAATGCAGTCTTTCAAGCCAAACTCCTGCACGTGATGTTGACATTGTCTCATCGGCAGCACATAATCAAGCTTCGCTTCAGGCAATGCTGGTCAACTGTCAGATGTCCGTGTGGAAACTTTCAATATAATTTTAAAAGTCTGCCTCAGCAGCAGATCATGCTTTCCCACCTGATGACGGACGCTTGTGTTGCTCCCTCGGTCATCTCAGTCAGTCGACCCCGTGGCACCTGCTGGGTCTGCCCTGTGACCTCCTGCCAGCGGGCGTTCGACACTTCACGTGGCAGCCTCAAGGTGCACATGGCCTGGCACAAGCGCCGTGGTGACGTCACTGCCACTTAGTGGCGAATGGCGGTTGTTGTTGTGTGTGTATGTGTTGTGTGTGTCACTGTGTGTGTGTGTATGTGTTGTGTGTGTGTCACTGTGTGTGTATGTGTTGTGTGTGTCACTGTGTGTGTGATGGACTTCTCTCACACCGTACGTAGCCAACCGCGCTAATCGGGGATACGGGGAAAGACAACACACTAAACACAAAGCGCAGTTCTCAAGAAGTGGGTTCTCCATAGAGGTGATGATATTAACGTGCATCACAGCTCCCAGCGGCGTCCTAATATCGGGAGGAAGAGCGTTCCAGACGGCCACAGAACTCGCACCGTACGGAGCGGAACGCGCGAATCGGAGGCACGGGAAAGGAGAACAAACTAAACACAAAGCGCAGTTCTAAATACATAATGTTGCCAACATTATAAAACTCAACGTGTAACCTACTCACGCCGGCTTGTGCCCGCCCTCACAGTCGGCATATGTGCGGAATACACCACGCCGCTGTTGACCCTGCAGGCCATTGACCGAGCAACCCAACGTTGCTACCAGCTCCCTCCGCAGGAAAGTGTTCCTGAACATGTGCCTTGTTCTGCCTGAGGTTGACTCCGTTCTGAGTGTCTGGGTGCGGTGTGTAAACATCAACACTGGGGAAACAAAGGCGGCCGGGTGCTCTCTAACACCACTCGCGTCATCTTCTTGCTTCAACCTGCGGAGGTTGTGGTGGCCGGGGGGAGTGGAGTTGCGGGCCACGCTGAGAAGCAGGCGGGTCTGCGGAGCTCTAAACAACTTCGCAAAGTCCTGGTCTCCTACTCTTAGGTTGTTTGCGGTAAAGTCACGTAGGTCTAAAATAATGATAAAATAATAATAAATGAAAAAATATTTTCATGTATTATTATTTTATCATTATTTATAATAATAAATAAAATTGTTCTTTTCATTTATTATTATTTTATCATTATTTTTACCTACGTGACTTTACCGAAAAAAACCTAAGAGTACGAATCCTTGCACTCACGAAAGCTTCAAATCTAGAATTCTGATTGTTTTTTATTTACTGATATTAATGAAATTAAAAAGTCACAATCAGGGCTCCCGCGGATTGGAAACAAACACTCGATCCGCCGAATCGATTTTTAGGGCATCAAGTCGCTACGGAATCGATGCCATGAGAATCGATGCCGTCAGAATCGATGCGTCGCGAATCTTAAAGAGGCAATCCGATTTCCGGGCAGAGCGGCGCGCTCCAGACCGGCGCCTCCTGCTGCAGCAATCAACTCGTTCTCGTCTCTAACTCGTTCTTGTCTCTAACTCTTTTGTCTCCAACTCATTCTTTAACTCATTCTTTAACTCATTCTTTATAACTCATTCACCGCGTCACGGGATGGTTTCGTTCGTCATTCCCGCAGCGGCGCGGCCGCGTGCGTCAGGCAAGGCCGAGGCTGTTGCGAGGGGCCTGTGGGGGCCGCTCCATCAGATCTCTCTTTTGCTTAACACGTGGAAGTTTAGCATTTAGTTGTTTAACACGTGGTAGGTTTACACGTGGTAAAGTTTAACACGTAGTAGTTTAACGCGTAGTAGTTTAACGCGTAGTAGTTTAGCATGTGGTAGTTTAACATGTGGTAGTTTAACATGTGGTAGTTTAACATGTGGTAGTTTAACATGTGGTAGTTTAACGCGTAGTAGGTGAAGCACGTGGTAAAGTTTAGCACGTGGTAGTTTGGTTTTCGCGACCAATATCCATGGTATATGTTATTTTGGGTTAGATCGCGTAAATATAAATGTGTCGTTAAACCCGCCACCACCCAACACAGCCAATTAGTGAGGTTTGCCACGTAATCGGAACGTGCCAATTCGTTACCAGCGCAGCACGACATTCACTCGGATTGTCAATGCTGTGGCACTTTGTAGGATGAACGTTGAGATGTATAAGGGCACGGCGGTGACCAATAAGGTCCGAGTTGGTGTGTAGTCAGGTAGGGAGGTGGCACTGGTTAGGGGTTGACGGGTCGTGCCTTCAAGTTGTTGTCCACCGTTGCAGTCGAGTTTCGACGCTGCCTCGTCATTTTCGCTCGTTCTCACAGAGCCACGCGTTCGTTTAATTCACTCTCAATCCACTTTGTCATTTCTCTGCTGATGTTCAACCCCACATCCACCCACCCCCACCACGCCTCTAATCGTGGAGTTCGTTATTCTTTCTCACTTGGGTGTTGGGGGGGGGCTCATGCTGCGGTGAGTGAAGCCCCCCAAGTGCACGCGGAGGAGACAGTGGTGAGCGAAGGTGAGATCGGCGCGTTGCGTGGTGGTGTGTCGTGGTGGTGGTGGTGTGGTGGTCTCGTGGTGAGCGCGCTGCGCTATGAACTCGGCCAGCCGAGTTCGATATCCCGCTAGGTAGTGAATGTGGTTGAGAGTGTGGGGTAAGTGAGTGTGCTGTACATTTTAATTGTACACGGGAACTTGTATAACACGATAATTTGCACTGTCGAAAGTGGACACATTTTTTGCAAAAAGAATTTAAAAAAATATTAATTCTAACGTAAGTATCTCATAGTTGCAGAGTGGTTATTGTGGTGCTTGCAGGTGAACATGTTTTTGAATGGTGCAGCGTGAGAGGTAGCAGCCACGCTTCCCAAAGGCAGTCGCAGCCTCGGCTGTGACAACAAGGGCACCCACGAGTGTGAGTCGTTTGTGAGCGCTGTTTCAGAGGCGACCTGACCATTGAGAGTGGCTTGTCGCGTGGACTTTTATTGCAGCCAAATACTCTAAGAAACGTGACGTTTATTCTAAATGTAAAGGGGAAAAAACCACGCGACCATGGGGAGAAACAATGCAAACTCCACATATACAGCAGCAGGCGGTCAGGGTCAGGATTGAACCTTGACGTCCTGTATACCAGGCGAGGTGGGTAACATCTCATCGGGGAGTTCGTGAGTATGAAGTGGGGGCGGGGGGGGGGCAGCATCTCGCAGGTCGCCTATCCACCGTGGTGGCCGTGGCGGCGAGTCCGGCCGTGATGAGCATCCATGCTAATACCGATGCGCCGAGTCCGTGGGCTCCACCGCCCCGGGCGCCGGGCGCAGCTGCGTTGAACTCTGACTTCTCGCTGTGAGACTCTGAGCCGGAGCCCCCCTCCCCAGCAGCAGACGACGGCATAACAACTACAATAATCATAGAAATTTGAATTCTCCTTCCGCAGTTTGTTTTTGTCCTTGGCACGTTTGTCAAATAACCGCTGCACGTGCATTAACCCAACCTTTCTATAAGCTGTCCTTGGGCATACCTGTCAATCCCATACCAGTGCCCTACCTTATCACAGACCAATTCAGAGCTGATTGGTCACCCCGTGCCCTTTGGACATCTTAGTGTTCATCCTACAAAGAGACAGGCGTTTGTTTGCCCGTATTGAAACGGCTATATGCTGCATGGGCCTGAAAACTCAGTTTCCCTGTACAAGAATACGGGTAAACTGTATGGGTTGACAGCTTCGCTTTGGTGCCTGTTCTCAGCAACTTTGTCACGGTTCTGTCCCCTTGTTTGTGTTGCCAGCGCAGGAGCAGTGCGGAGGCGGTGATGCGGTCCGCTTGGCTTTCCACTGGGCCAGCACAGAAGGATGTCTCTGCAGAGGATGACAGAAAACAACCCTGCTGCTACGAGTCCACCAGTGTGTGCCACTACCTTCTGCCTGCGCGAACCTAATAGTTATACTATATTTGCATATGAAGGGTGGCACAAAAGTCAGGACAAACATTTCATTAATTAACATTGCATTAAATATGTAATCAATCAGCATTATTCATATCTGTTATCATCGTATTAATGTGTGTAAGCAATGGTGTCTTGCAAGGCCCGAGGGGTTACATTTAGAAGTTCCTGAATACAACAAGACTCCATCCTCTGCAGCAGCATGGATGCATTCTGGGTGTGTCATTGCGTGTAATTGTCGTGGAGTGGCGTGACATGGCCACTGATGTCAGAGGTTTGTAGTTTACTTGGGCAGGCCACCCTGGTTAATGCGAGGGTGTGTTCGTTAATCAGTCCGCTTGATCTGGTGAGGGTCGTGGTGGCAGAATGTTGGGTAGTGGCGGTCCGGGTCTCCCTTTCGACAGACTAGCACTACTACACTATTCACTATACTACTACACATTGCAATATACACTGCTATACACACCTACTACACTCTACACTCTAAATTACTACTACACTCTGCACTACTAGACTCTGCACTACTAACACAAGCGGTCGTCATCCGGCAAAGCAGTCGGCCTCTAAAGGCAAACTGTTGATAAGGCGTAGCCCAGGTGTGTCCAGCACCAGGGAGCATGGGCGGCGGTGCACGAGATCCCAATGCAGCAGCAATAATCCCTGCACCCCGCTCCACACGCCACACTGCTGACGGTGGCGGTTGATTGACAAGAAAACACAAGTTATGATCCTAAGTGGCTGATGACATCTTTCCAATGATTGCCGAGTCGAAACCTTCCTCTCAGTTGAAATTGTCTCCGTGTCAAGCAGATTTGAAACACGGTAGGACCAATACTTCTGCCGTGGCTGATCATTATTTTAATGCGGCTGCCTCACACGAAATTGATTTCTCTAAGACGATGGTACTTTGCAAGCCTACTGGCTATCAAAGATTCGTTCATGAAGCCATCCATATATACACAGACAATTTCAACCGCCCGTGCTCCTGGTGCTGTTGATACACTTTGTTTATGCCCATCCCCAAACCTTTATAAACAGCTTAAACAGTTTGCCTTTAGAGGCTGACTCCTTTGCCTGATGACGGCCGCTTTTGTTGCGATGGAAACGTCGTGATATTTGTATTCACTTATTTTTTTTCTATCTACGTGACTTTATTGAAGGAACCATAGAACATTTAAATTAATTCGAAGAAGAGTAGGCCCTTGTTTTGCCGCTATCCTAATCCAAAGTTGACAATGTACTCGCAAGTTAATTACATTGCAGAAATTGTCGCCTCTGACTGTGAAAATGTGGCGAGATCCAGAAACGGTCTTGAAATTGATCAAGGCTTTTCTAGGCAAGCAAGCTTAAAGTAATTTCAGTAGCATGCGCTGTACATTTTAATTGTACACGGGAACTTGTATAACACGATAATTTGCACTCGATCGGAACGTGTACAATTGTTTTGCAAAAGCAATAAAAAATTTTTTTTAAATGAATGCCAATGTAAGTATCTCATGGTTGCAGAGTGTTTTTTTTTTGTACTTTAAGGCTATTTTTTAAAGGCGCAGGATGAGAGTAGCAACTACGCTGCTGAAGGGCAATCGTAACCTCGGCTGGATGAAAAGGACACCCACGAATTGATGGGAGTTGCTTTGTCTGAACGTTGCCCTGGCAGAAGTTTGAAGTCATAGCAAAAACATCACATGCCTCTTCATATCTGTTAATATAAAAAATGTCTTACTCTTACTACTTGTCCCATAGCCTCCTGGAAGCACATCATTTCAGCAGCATCAATACAAGGAAAACTCCACTGGTTTTGACAGAATGAATGAGAAAGCAAACTTAGAAATGTAATGCAATACTACACAGTCTGTTAACACAACAGTTAACACCCGACCTGGTTGATTACGTTCTTCCAAAGATTGCTAAATTTGAGAGAGACAACAGACACGGAGACACGTGGACTTGTGTGTCTGTCCATGTGTCTCCGTGTCTGGAACAAAAGAGGTGGACTTCTCAACAAATCTGGCTGTCGCCTGATGAAGCTAGTTGTAGTTACTGGCGGAACGTCGTACTCAGATTGTAAATGTTGTGGCTTGGCTCTCCAACACACTACACACTACTATACACGACACTATACACTACACTACACACTACACTACTATACACTACACTGTACACGACACTATACACTACAGTACACACTACTATACACTACACACCAGTGCTGTACTAGTAACGAATTGGCACGTTATGTTTACGTGACAACCCTTGCTAGTTGGCTGTGTCGGGTGGTGGCGGGTTTAACGACACAATTATATATTTACTCGATCTGACCTAAAAACCCTCTATGAAGGCCAACATAATAGTCGAGGTTTTCCTCAATGAGGACACCATCAGAGGTCACTGACCACAGCAGCCCCACCTGGTGGACAGGTCACGAGCAGCCGCTGCTGGGACACGGAGGAGACTTTGCACCATGACCGGACCTTCGGGCCCTTGAGAGGAGGGGTGGTGGATGTATGGGCCTGAACCAGTGCCGGATTATCCTCGTAGCAAAAGTATCTGCTACACGTGTAGTAGATACTACTACTACTACAGTAGTAGTAGCTACTTCTACACATGTCTAGTAGTAGCTAATACACATGTGTAGTAGTAGCTACTACTACACATGTGTAGTAGCTACTGGTTACCCCTTAGTGTATGTCGAGTTTAAGTTGCCATGGTAACAGGCGGTGTGTATGTCGAGTTTAAGTTGCCATGGTAACAGACGGTGTGTATGTCGAGTTTAAGTTGCCATGGTAACAGACGGTGTGTATGTCGAGTTTAAGTTGCCATGGTAACAGACGGTGTGTATGTCGAGTTTAAGTTGCCATGGTAACAGACGGTGTGTATGTCGAGTTTAAGTTGCCATGGTAACAGACGGTGTGTATGTCGAGTTTAAGTTGCCATGGTAACAGACGGTGTGTATGTCGAGTTTAAGTTGCCATGGTAACAGGCGGTGTGTAGCGCCGCCTCGTGGCTGCAGAGGAGAGGCGCGCGCCGTCTCCATGGCGACGCGTGGCGAGGCCGAGACGCTTCTTCAGAGCCACACTCGGGGGGTGACACTGAGACACGGGGGGTGAGAGACTTGGGGGGTGACACTGAGACACGGGGGTGACACTTGGGGGGTGAGAGACTTGGGGGGTGAGAGACTTGGGGGTGACACTGAGACTCGGGTGAGAGTCTCGGGGAGGGTGGGACGTCCGCTCGGCATGGACGAGGTTTCGCCCCCGAGTCGGCCTGGCCACCCACACAGCCGCGGCGGCGTCAGCGATCGCGTACGGAGTACAACACACACACACAGACACACACAGACACACACACACACAGACACACACACAGACACACACACACAGACACACACACAGACACACACAGACACACACACACAGACACACACACGCCACGTGTACACACACCACGTGTACACCACGTATACACACACCTTACGTGTACACACCATCTACACACACCACACACACACCACGTGTACACACCATCTACACACACCACACACACACCACGTGTACACACCACACACACACCACGTGTACACACCATCTACACAGACACACACAGACACACACAGACACACACCACGTGTACACACTATCTACACACACCACACACACCACGTGTACACACATACCACACACACCATGTGTACACACCACACACACCACGTGTACACACACACACCACGTGTACACACCACACACACACACGCCACGTGTACACACCATCTACACACACCTAGGTCGACTCGGCCTGTGTAAACATCGCCACGAGGGAGACAAAGGCGGTCGGGCGTGTTGATGGCCACCCACCCCACTCGTGCCGTTTTGGCCTTCATAGGTGCTACTCGCTAACAGCACTTGCCCCAACAGTCTGTTACAGGCTATACGGGGGATCTTTGTCTTGTGGAAGTGTGTAGGTTGTGTGGTGGTGGTTGATGTAGCTGTGTCTCTGCCTGGGTTGGTGGTGGTTGTTGTTGGTGGTGGTGGTTGATGTAGGTGACTGTGGGTCTGCCTGGATGGTGGTGGTTGTTGTTGTTGGTGGTTGATGTAGGTGACTGTGGATCTGCCTGGGTGGTGGTTGTTGGTGGTGGTTGATGTAGGTGACTGTGGATCTGCCTGGGTGGTGGTGGTTGTTGTTGGTGGTTGATGTAGGTGACCGTGACTCTGCCTTGGTGGTGGTAGTTGTTGTTGTTGGTGGTTGATGTAAGTGACCGTGACTCTGCCTGGGTGGTGGTGGTTGTTGTTGGTGGTGGTTGATGTAGGTGACTGTGGGTCTGCCTGGGTGGTGGTGGTTGTTGGTGGTGGTTGATGTAGGTGTGGATCTGCCTGGGTTGGTGGTGGTTGTTGTTGGTGGTTGATGTAGGTGACCGTGACTCTGCCTTGGTGGTTGTTGTTGTTGGTGGTTGATGTAGGTGACTGTGGATCTGCCTGGGTGGTGGTTGTTGTTGGTGGTTGATGTAGGTGACTGTGGATCTGCCTGGGTGGTGGTGGTTGTTGGTGGTGGTTGATGTAGGTTACTGTGGATCTGCCTGGGTGGTGGTGGTTGTTGTTGGTGGTTGATGTAGGTGACCGTGACTCTGCCTTGGTGGTGGTGGTTGTTGTTGGTGGTGGTTGATGTAGGTGACTGTGGCTCTGCCTGGGTGGTGGTGGTTGTTGTTGTTGGTGGTGGCGCAGGAGGTGAGCCGCAGTGCCGGCTTCCACGGTTCGGAGCGCCCCGATGGTGGAGGAGGAGGAGGAGAAGCGCGTGAGGATGGTGGGGAGAGCGAGGGCACCGGGGGGAGGACGATCGCTCACGATGCGGGCGATGGAGTTGAGGGGGACGAGGGCTGGGACACCGACCTGGAGGGTGAAGGTGCGAGCACGTGCTGTGTGTGTGCGCAGATTTAGAGCTGAGTGGACTTGCTGATGAATGGTAAACAAGCCGGTGTCAAGATCGGCGGCCTCAGTGGAGGAGGAGGCGGCTCGTGAAGGACGCTACTGGAGAGTTGGAGGCAGTCGCCCTCCAGCAACAACGGAGGGCGGAGGCGCGACGCTCACAACAACGAGCGGAGCGCCGGGTGGCTAAAGCACAGCAAGTTGGCACAGTAGGGGGCACAGGTGGTGCATCGACCAGTCATCTCGGTCGTCTCAGTCAGTCGACCCGTGGCACCTGCTGGGTCTGCCCCGTGACCTCCTGCCAGCGGGCGTTCGACACTTCACGTGGCCTCAACGTGCACATGGCCTGGCACAAGCGTCGTGGTGGCGTCACCGCTGTTGTGTGTGTGTGTGTCTCTGTGTGTGTGTGTGTCTGTGTGTGTGAGGAGCGGTAGTGGAGCGGTCAGCACGTTGCGCTACAAACCCGGCGACCCGGGTTCGATTCCCGCTCACGGCCAATATCAGTGACGATTATCTGAACCGGTTCTGGGCTTCCACTAGGTCTACTCAGCACCAAATGGGTACCTGGTGCAGTGTATAAATATCGCCACTGGGGAGACAAAGACGGCCGGGCGTGGTGCCGGCCACCCACCCCCTCGTGTGCCGTTCCAGCCTTCATAGTTGCTACTCGATAACAGCACTTGCCCCAACAGTCTGTTAAAGCTATACGGGGGGTCTTTGTGCGTGTGTGTGTGCACACAACACAGAGCCACTGGCGGTACATTTTCACTGACAGCGTCGTTCAGTTCTATGAACGAGCACTTAGCTATGACATTGATGATGCTGATATTATTAAACTGTTTGATTTTACTAGGTAAGGCCCCACTGAGCTCTATAATTATTTTTCAAAAGCTGGCCACAAATGATAGCTGAACGAAGTGGCTTATCGCGTGGAATTTTATAGCAGCCAAATACTCAAAAAATGTTTCTAAATATGGAGGCAAAAACCGGAGGATCCGGAGACAAATCCACACGACCACAAGGAGAACACACAAACTCCAAATATACAGCAGGCGTCAGGGTCGGGATGAAACCCACGACCTCCTTGTATACCAGGCGAGGGAGATAACATCGCGCCACCGGGGCACCCCGATTAATGTTGCTGTCGACATTGTTGTGGACATTGCTGTGGACGTTGTTGTTGCAGTGGGTGGCCCCGGTGCGCTGGGCGTGCACAGGGCGCGAGCGCAGTACGAGGAGGCGTGCCGCCAGCTGCGTCTCGTGCCCGTCTCGTTCTTCTCGCGGCACATGCACGAGGCGCAGCTCAGCCTCGCGCACCACGGCCTGGGGCCCCAGGCGAGACGGCCCCACGTGACACCCCCCCCTCACCCATCATGACCCTCCTCACCCATCATGCCACCCCTCACCCATCATGCCACCCCTCACCCATCATGCCACCCCCTCACCCATCATGCCACCCCCTTGCCCACTGTGACATCACCTCGCCCATTGCATACCGGCCTCACCCATCATGCCACCCCTCACCCATCATGCCACCCCCTTGCCCACTGTGACATCACCTCGCCCATTGCATACCGGCCTCACCCATCGGCGCCACTTCCTTGGCCCGTCACAGACATCACCTGGCCCGTCGCGTCACCGCGCCACCCGTGCGTTTGTTGCGACCTGTCACGTCATCGCGTTGTGTCACGCGTGTCGCTCCGCGCAGGGCGTCCACGCCGTGTGCCTGTCGCTCGTCAGCAACACGTCGCTGACAAGCCTGGACCTCCGGGACAACTGTGCGGGAGCGATGGGGGGCGTGTACCTGGCGGACATGCTGAGAGAGAACGTGTCAGTACAGAGTGAGCGTGGGCCCAGGGTCGCCGCCAGGTCCGGCAAATTTGGAATCTGGGTTCGGGTGGCGGGAATCGGTTTGTGCCAATATCTGGTACCGTTATCATTGCCGTGCCGAACCTTAGCACGGGGTTTCTATAGGGGGAGTGGGCCAAATGGGAAAAATTCGTCCTTGTTTGGTCCACAGTGTGAAAGGGTGGCCACCGTGGCCTGGGGAGTTAGCAACTGTGCTAGGCGGGGTCACATTCGAGGCTGGGCGTGCAGGATAACCAGGCGCAACGTGTTACGATGGGTAACGTGGAGAGATGCGGATGATATATTGAAGGTAACGCATGTCAATGAAGAACCATGACTGCCGTCTAACAAGGAGGGCCCTTGCCTGTAAACATTTGGAACTTCAGCGGCAAGTCTGATCCCGCCAAGGACTTTGCGTTGAACCAACGCCGCTGAAATGATGCACTCCCAGAAGGCCGTGTTGCCGACGGGATGTGTCAATAAGACACTTTATCTGATGGGACAGATACAGGAAGGAGATGTTTTGTCTTATCCATTGGTTCTTTCGGTAAAGTCACGTAGATAGAAAAATAAGAATAAATTGAATACAAATAAAAATGATAAAATCCTCTCAGCCGACAAGGGCAATGCCACGGTCATCATGGACAAAACTGTGTTTTGTCATATTGTTTTACTTTGCCGGGAACACCGGGCACCGGCGGTAGACCTGGACGTGCGGGACAATGCTCTGGGCGACGCGGGAGGCACGGCCCTGGCGCCCGTGCTGCTGGAGAACGCAACGCTGACGCGCCTCGTGCTGGACGGGAACCGCGTGGGCGACTCCACGGGGGCCGCCCTTGCCACAGCCCTTGCCACCAACCACACGCTCTGCTCGCTCAGCCTCGCTCACAACCAGCTGGGGCGCGGCTCAGGTATCTACCTTCCCCTACGCGGGGACACGGGGGGACACACAAAGACACGGGGAGGACATCCTAGACTCATGGGGGGTACAGGAGACATTGTAGCAGTATCGATGTGTCACCTGACATTGAATCAGAATTTTTACTTATACCAGAGAAATCCTATGAGCTCTAAAGCCCGTTTTCACAGATTGTGTCAATATCTGAGTAGGCACAGGGGTCATGTGAGACGTTGTCTGACAGGTGATTGGTTGCAACTGCTGCTCAGCGAGAGCTCCGGCCTGAAGGAGCTCAACTTGAGCTGGAACGAGATCCGAGGGCCAAGTGCGGTTGCCTTGGCCAAGGGGCTCTCCGTGAGTACAGCTACGAGTGGCACATATACACAACCAGATACACAACCAGATACACGACCAGATACACAACCAGATACACAACCAGATACACGACCAGATACACAACCAGATACACGACCAGATACACAACCAGATACACAACCAGATACACAACCAGACACAACCAGATACACAACCAGACACACAACCAGATACACAACCAGATACACACCTAGATACACGCTCATGGCAAACATAAGTGACGTTTATCTAAACCGGTCCTGGGCCTCCTCTAGGTCGATTCAGCCACATATGAGTACCTGGTGTAGCGGTGTGTAAACTTCACCAATGGGGAGACAAAGGCGGCCGGGCGTGGCGCTGGCCACACCACCTCTTTGTGTGCCGTGCCGGCCTTAAAAGGTGCTATTCGTTAACAGCACTTGCCCTAACAGTGTGTTGAGGCTACACGGGGGATGTTTGTCTTTGTGTGTGTCCAGGCTAACGTGGTGCTGCGTGTGCTCGACGTGTCGAGCAACGGCCTGGACAAGGAGGGAGCCTCGGCACTGGGGGCAGCGCTCAAGACCAACGACGTCCTCGAGGAGCTCAACGTCAGGTGACACGACACCGACACGGCGGCACCGACACGGCTCCTCCTCGTGTCTTCACCGCTGCTGACATCTGATGTGTCCCCCCCACCCCTCATCCAACCTTCCCTCCCAACCCCTCCATCTCCCCCCCCATCTCCAGTAACAATCGCATCAACCCCGAGGGCGCAGTGCTCCTCGCCAAGTGCCTGCAGCTCAACTCCACCCTGCGGACTCTCTCCGTGAGACCGTCACTCTCCTCGTCGCTCATCGCATCACCTAGACACACACACCTCGCCACACACATCATCACTCAACTCATCACTCAACTCATCACTCAACTCATCACACACCTCGCCACACACCTCATCACTCGACTCATCTCATCTCACACCTCATCGCAGCACATGACCACATACATACACAACGCTCAGCTATCTCATCACAACACCCTGATCACAATGGTGGTTTTATTATATCATCCGTGTCTCTGTGTTGCCGTGTCCTCATGAGCCTGCGTCTTCCTGTGTATGTGATCCCAGTACCCCATGACCCCGTGTGTCTGCGTCTCCGTGACCCCAAAGATCCTGTCTCCCCTTGTGTCCACGTGTCCACATGTCCCTGTGTTTGTACCTCCATGCCTCCCGTGCCTCATGCTCGTGTCCTCCTTCCACAGATGGGCAGGAACCCCATGCAGTCAGCTGGCTGCTTTGCGGTCCTCACCGCCGCCAAGAACTCATCGTGTGCGCTCGAGAGGCTGGACTTCACGGTGAGCCACCGGCTCCGAGCGTCGGGTTGTTTTTCTCCACGGCCCCATGGATCCTGTGAATTGGTCGTTTGTGAATGTAAAAAACATCGTGCTTGCAGCGTCTGCCGGTTTAAGAGCAGCGGTGCCTCCTCATTTTGCCGCGGACGCTTGATGCGGTTTGATGTCCCGCTTGATGTGGGTGCGCTCAGGGTCGTTGTTCTTTAGTCTCTCTGGTACGAGTGAACCTCGACAGCAAGTGGCGAACGCGCGACACCCAGGGCACGTCATATGTGACCGCTCACGTGTGAACAGCGCTATTGGCACCGTGTACCGGCCTTCATGGGTGCTTACTAAACCGCACTTAACCCCAACAGTTTGCTAACGCCACCGGATAATCTTTGTCTCTGTGTGTTTGTTTAGGCAATCCATGTGAACGCTGATTTTGAGGAGCTGCATGAACAGGTGCGGGGATTGAACCCAAATCTTCAGGTCAAACACGGGGGGCTCGTGCCTTCAAAGAGGCGGCCCAAGCCAAACCCCACCAGCAGCGCCACCACCGACACCGCGACCGACGTCACCACCGACGTCACAGTCGATACAACGACCGACATCACAACCAACACCACTACCAACATCACTCCCGACATCGCGACCGACATCACAACCGACACCACTACCAACATTACTCCTGACATCGCGACCAACATCACAACCGACACCACTACCAACATCACTCCCGATATCGCGACCAACACCACGACCGACATCACGACCGACACCACAACCACCGTTGTATCCGCCGCAACCACGTAGCCACCACAACCACCGTGACACTTCACACCACAGCTACCGCATAACCCAACGTCATCCCTGACACCACCACAGTTTCAAATTGCAGACCAAACAATCGGGTGCGGTGTGCCACCTCATCAGCGTCATGATCATTTGGTTAAATGTTCTTCACATCGCTGTTTGCTCCGTGACTATGGTCCCCGCCCCCAAACCCCCCCCCCCCACCCCCCTCTATTATGGATATTGGTCGCCAAAGCCTCCTGCTGCTGCGTGTTAAGGTAGCGATGGCTCCTCCACAATCTGCGTGTCCACCGGGGCCACAGCTGCTGCTGACCACCGAGCGTGGGAACCCGCCGGGGCCTGAGAGCTTCAAGTTGTTGCGAATTATCAGCGAGATGAACAAAAATCCGATGAGTATTCGACTTTTGAGAAATTGCACTTGCCGATCTTTCGTTGGTGTTCGCCTTCTTGGTGTGGCTGATGTTGTGGCAACAACTGTAATGTTGTTATCTGTGGGACATGTTTTTGTGTATTAAACAATTATGGAAGAATACTAATAATAGCTTTTATACCCTTTCTGGCAATAAAACAGGAGGCGTTAAGATGTCAAGCACCAAATAGAGAAACATTTTTCTTGGTATCATCAAGTCTGTATTAACCACACGTACATTTGGCAAAACTTACAAACAGAAATGCTCTGATGATAATACGTTTTCTTTGAAACGGATTGGCCTACACCAGAGACAACCTTCTTTATGTGCTTGCCTCACCACCACCAGCACCAGTGTTAGACCAGAGAACGCCAGAATGCGAACATTACAAAGTAATTCTATGTTGAAGTGGTTGAGCCAGATAATTGTGTCAGGAGTAGCAATGTGTATTGCTTTGATGATGCCTCCTTCATACAGATATCTGCCTGAGTCGATGGGTCTCTGTGAATCTAACGATCTCTGTATGGGTCTCTGTGAGTGTGATTCTGTATGTTAAACTATCGATCTCTGTTTGGGTCTCTGTGAGTGTGATTCTGTATGTTAAACTATCGATCTCTGTATGGGTCGCTGTGAGTGTATGATTCTGTATGTGAATCTATAGATGCCAGTGTGGGTTGCTGTGATTCTGTATGTTAAACTATCGATCTCTGTATGGGTTGCTGTGGGTGTATGATTCTGTATGTGAATCTACAGATCTCTGGATGAGTCTAAAGGTCTCTGCAAGTCGATGGGTCTCGGTGTGAACTTCAGGGGCCATTCTTCGTATGCCCACTCACCGGGGCCGTGTTGTCCACAGCAGTGGGCACTCGCCTAGGGCCTACGAAAACTAAAAGGGCCTACGGGAAAAAACGTGATCATTTTTTAGTTTGTATGATAAACAAAACATGTAACCAAGAGACATTCTTGAATACATCTCTGAAGCGAGGGTAGGCGGCGTTTCAAACGAATGCTGCGAATCTGCGGCACGTGGCGCGATCCCATCGCACGAGGGCACAGACCACAACACCACCAACACCACGAGGGCACAGACCACAACACCACCAACACCACGAGAGCACAGACCACAACACCACCAACACCACGAGAGCACAGACCACAACACCACCAACACCACGAGAGCACAGACCACAACACCACCAACACCACGAGAGCACAGACCACAACACCACCAACACCACGAGGGGTCCCAGCGGCAGCAAGAGGAGACACCAGCGGAGTGGCGGTGACAGTGGTGGTAGCGGTGGTGGTAGTGGTGACAGTGGTGGTAGCGGTGGTGGTGGCAGCGGTGGTGGTGGTAGCAGTGGTGGTAGTAGTGGTGACAGTGGTGGTGATAGTGGTGGTGGTGGTGACAGTGGTGGTGGTGGTGACAGTGTAGTAGTGGTGACAATGGTGGTGATAGTGGTGGTGGTAGTAGTGGTGACAGTGGTGGTGATGGTGACAGTGATGGTGACAGTGTGGTGGTGGTGGTGGTAACAGTGGTGGTAGTGTCAGAGCTGTCAAGCCCTCGTCATTACTGCAGAGCAGTTCAACGTTCATCCTACAAAGTGCCATGACAAGGCGGAAACATAAATGAATGAATCTTCACTGAAAGCTTTCGTGGCTGCAGGAATTCACCGTCTCTGGGTATCCGGTGAAGTCGTGAGCCGGTCAGGCGCGAACACCACAAGTGGGGGGGTGGGGGGGGCCTTAATGTCTGCATATAAATGACATTGATATGCATGATTCATAAATATAAGAAGACATCATCGTCGCGGCGACAACACCACCACAAGGGAATAAACAAAGGCGACTTTGTTGTCAATATCGTGGAGCGAACCCAAAGCGCAGCTACGTGACACCACAACAACAACAACAATCACCAACGCCGCCTGAGACACCCGAGACAGTTCACCGCGACCCCTAAGTGGCACCCCCGCCCCGCCAGCCGCCTCGTGCGAGGGGCGGTGAGGGACCGCGGTGAACCGCGAACCTCTTTGCTGACTCGGCTCAAGACTCAAGTGCAAAACCGCTCGCAGCCACTTCACTGGTGAGCACCCCCCCTCGTCCCTGCCCCCCCCCCGCCTCGTCCCTGCCCCCCCTCGTCCCTGCCCCCCCCCGCCTCGTCCCTGCCCCCCCTCGTCCCTGCCCCCCCCCCGCCTCGTCCCTGCCCCCCCCCGCCTCGTCCCTGCCCCCCCTCGTCCCTGCTCCCCCCTGCCCCCCGCCTCGTCCCTGCCCCCCCCCGCCTCGTCCCTGCCCCCCCTCGTCCCTGCTCCCCCTCGTCCCTGCCCCCCCCCCCCCCGCCTCGTCCCTGCCCCCCCTCGTCCTGCCCCCCCCTCGTCCTGCCCCCCCCTCGTCCCCCCCCCTCGTCCCTGCCCCCCCCCCCCCTCGTCCCTGCCCCCCCCCCCCCGCCTCGTCCTGCCCCCCCTCGTCCTGCCCCCCCCTCGTCCTGCCCCCCCCTCGTCCCCCCCCCCTCGTCCCTGCCCCCCCCCCTCGTCCCTGCCCCCCCCCCGCCTCGTCCCTGCTCCCCCCTGCCCCCGCCTCGTCTCTGCCCCCCCCCCCCCTCGTCCCCCCCCCCTCGTCCTGCCCCCCCCTCGTCCCTGCCCCCCCCCGCCTAGTGCGTGTCCCCTGCTCTGCATTGTGTTGTCTACGTTGTCTCGTCTGTCCACGTTGTCTCGTCTGTCTCAGCTGTCTACGTTGTCTACGCTGTCTCGTCTGTCTACGCTGTCTCGTCTGTCTCAGCTGTCTACGTTGTCTACGCTGTCTCGTCTGTCTCGTCTGTCTCGTCTGTCTCAGCTGTCTACGTTGTCTACGCTGTCTCGTCTGTCTACGCTGTCTCGTCTGTCTCAGCTGTCTACGTTGTCTACGCTGTCTCGTCTGTCTACGCTGTCTCGTCTGTCTCAGCTGTCTACGTTGTCTACGCTGTCTCGTCTGTCTCGTCTGTCTCGTCTGTCTCAGCTGTCTACGTTGTCTACGCTGTCTCGTCTGTCTACGCTGTCTCGTCTGTCTCAGCTGTCTACGTTGTCTATGCTGTCTCGTCTGTCTCAGCTGTCTACGTTGTCTACGCTGTCTCGTCTGTCTCAGCTGTCTCGTCTGTCTCGACTGTCTCAGCTGTCTACGTTGTCTCGACTGTCTCGTTCGCTGCGACCTGTCGCCTCAGCGCGAGGACGCGGAGGAGGACGCGGCGGGGAATGCGCCGCGTCTCCCTCCGCGAGGACTGCGGGAGTGGAGCCCGCGAGAGCCGCAGGGGCCACAGGGGCCGCGAGTCGTGGCCGCTGTGGCCACGCGGCCCCCCACCACGCGGCCCCCCACCACGCACGGCCCCCCACCACGCGGCCCCCCCACCACGCACGGCCCCCCACCACGCGGCCCCCCACCACGCACGGCCCCCCCCGCCTGGGCTGCTGAAGCGCCGGCGGTGAAAGTCTCCGCCGCCTTCTTCAACAGCGGGGTCGAGGCGCACGAGACACGGCGAACTGTGCCCCTCTGTGTGAGTGGCGTGTGATGGTGAGTGTGTGTGATGTGTGTGTGATGTGTGTGTGTGGTGTGTGATGGTGAGTGAGTGTGATGTGTGTGTGATGTGTGAGTGATGTGATGTGTGAGTGGTGTGTGATGGTGAGTGAGTGTGATGTGTGATGGTGAGTGAGTGTGATGTGTGAGTGTGTGTGGTGTGTGATGTGTGTGTGATGTGTGAGTGGTGTGTGATGTGTGAGTGGTGTGTGATGGTGAGTGAGTGTGATGTGTGAGTGGTGTGTGATGGTGAGTGGAGTGTGATGTGTGATGGTGAGTGAGTGTGATGTGTGAGTGGCGTGTGATGGTGAGTGAGTGTGATGTGTGATGGTGAGTGAGTGTGATGTGTGAGTGAGTGTGTGTGGTGTGTGATGTGTGAGTGGCGTGTGATGGTGAGTGAGTGTGATGTGTGAGTGGGGAGTTGTGACTGGTGAGTGAGGTGTGATGTGTGATGGTGAGTGAGTGTGATGTGTGAGTGAGTGTGTGTGATGTGTGATGTGTGAGTGGCGTGTGATGGTGAGTGAGTGTGATGTGTGAGTGGCGTGTGATGGTGAGTGAGTGTGATGGTGAGTGAGTGTGATGTGTGAGTGGTGTGTGTGGTGTGTGATGTGTGAGTGGCGTGTGATGGTGAGTGAGTGTGATGTGTGATGGTGAGTGAGTGTGGTGTGTGTGATGTGTGTGTGTGTGATGTGTGAGGGATGTGTGTGTGGTGTGTGAGTGGCGTGTGATGGTGAGTGAGTGTGATGTGTGAGTGGTGTGTGAGTAGCGTGTGATGGTGAGTGAGTGTGATGTGTGAGTGGCGTGTGATGGTGAGTGAGTGTGATGTGTGTGTGATGTGTGTGTGTGGTGTGTGATGGTGAGTGAGTGTGATGTGTGTGGTGATGTGTGAGTGATGTGATGTGTGAGTGGTGTGTGATGGTGAGTGAGTGTGATGTGTGATGTGAGTGAGTGTGATGTGTGAGTGTGTGTGTGTGTGATGTGTGTGTGATGTGTGAGTGGTGTGTGATGTGTGAGTGGTGTGTGATGGTGAGTGAGTGTGATGTGTGAGTGGTGTGTGATGGTGAGTGAGTGTGATGTGTGATGGTGAGTGAGTGTGATGTGTGAGTGGCGTGTGATGGTGAGTGAGTGTGATGTGTGATGGTGAGTGAGTGTGATGTGTGAGTGAGTGTGTGTGGTGTGTGATGTGTGAGTGGCGTGTGATGGTGAGTGAGTGTGATGTGTGAGTGGCGTGTGATGGTGAGTGAGTGTGATGTGTGATGGTGAGTGAGTGTGATGTGTGAGTGAGTGTGTGTGATGTGTGATGTGTGAGTGGCGTGTGATGGTGAGTGAGTGTGATGTGTGAGTGGCGTGTGATGGTGAGTGAGTGTGATGGTGAGTGAGTGTGATGTGTGAGTGAGTGTGTGTGGTGTGTGATGTGTGAGTGGCGTGTGATGGTGAGTGAGTGTGATGTGTGATGGTGAGTGAGTGTGGTGTGTGTGATGTGTGTGTGTGTGATGTGTGAGTGATGTGTGTGTGGTGTGTGAGTGGCGTGTGATGGTGAGTGAGTGTGATGTGTGAGTGGTGTGTGAGTAGCGTGTGATGGTGAGTGAGTGTGATGTGTGAGTGGCGTGTGATGGTGAGTGAGTGTGATGTGTGTGTGATGTGTGAGTGGTGTGTGATGTGTGAGTGGCGTGTGATGGTGAGTGAGTGTGATGTGTGAGTGGCGTGTGATGGTGAGTGAGTGTGATGTGTGTGTGGTGTGAGTGGTGTGTGAGTGGCGTGTGATGGTGAGTGAGTGTGATGTGTGTGTGTGGTGTGTGAGTGGTGTGTGAGTGGCGTGTCATGGTGAGTGAGTGTGATGTGTGTGTGTGTGGTGTAAGTGGTGTGTGAGTGGCGTGTGATGGTGAGTGAGTGTGATGTGTGAGTGGCGTGTGATGGTGAGTGAGTGTGATGTGTGTGTGATGTGTGAGTGGTGTGTGAGTGGCGTGTGATGGTGAGTGAGTGTGATGTGTGTGTGTGGTGTGTGAGTGGTGTGTGAGTGGCGTGTGATGGTGAGTGAGTGTGATGTGTGTGTGTGGTGTAAGTGGTGTGTGAGTGGCGTGTGATGGTGAGTGAGTGTGATGTGTGTGTGTGGTGTGTGAGTGGTGTGTGAGTGGCGTGTGATGGTGAGTGAGTGTGATGTGTGAGTGGCGTGTGATGGTGAGTGAGTGTGATGTGTGTGTGATGTGTGAGTGGTGTGTGAGTGGCGTGTGATGGTGAGTGAGTGTGATGTGTGTGTGTGGTGTGTGAGTGGTGTGTGAGTGGCGTGTGATGGTGAGTGAGTGTGATGTGTGAGTGGCGTGTGATGGTGAGTGAGTGTGATGTGAGTGTGATGTGTGTGTGATGGTGAGTGAGTGTGATGTGTGAGTGGCGTGTGATGGTGAGTGAGTGTGATGTGTGTGTGGTGTGTGAGTGGTGTGTGAGTGGCGTGTGATGGTGAGTGAGTGTGATGTGTGAGTGGCGTGTGATGGTGAGTGAGTGTGATGTGTGTGTGGTGTGTGTGTGGTGTGAGTGGCGTGTGATGGTGAGTGAGTGTGATGTGTGAGTGGCGTGTGATGGTGAGTGAGTGTGATGTGTGTGTGTGGTGTGTGAGTGGTGTGTGTGTGGTGTGAGTGGTGTGTGATGGTGTGTGAGTGGCGTGTGATGCTGGTTTGTGAGTGTGTGTGATGGTGTGTGAGTGGTGGTGTGTGATGGTGTGTGTGGTTTGTGATGTTTTTTCTGGCGAGCGAGCGAGGAGGGGTGGATGATGAAGGTGATGATGATGGTGGTGGTGATGGTGGCGATGATGGTGTGTGAGTGGTGTGTGATGATGATGACGATGGTGATGAGTGAGAGTCACGTGCGCGCAGTGCGCGTGTCACTTGATGGCCACAACTGCGCCGCCCACCCTCATCGATACCGCCAGGGGACAACCCACTGTGACCTTTGTCCCAGTGCTGGGCTCGGGCACAGTCTAGCTACCGAGAGAGGAGCCGAGTGGGTGTCACACGACGGTATGGCCCTGCCACAATCATCTCTCATCCGCAGCAGCAGCAGCAGCAACAATCACCGGATAATTATTGGAAGTCGCCCTTGGCTCGTCTTTGGGACGCCACGGTAACTAGGAGATGTTGACTACCTCGCCTGGTCTACAGGAGGTCGTGGGTTCCATCCAGACCCTGACGATACCTGCTGTATATGTGGAGTTTGCGTGTCTCTCTCATCATCATCACGGTGACTAGGAGATGTTAACTACCTCGCCTGGTCTACAGGAGGTCGTGGGTTCGATCCTGACCCTGACGATACCTACTGTATATGTAGAGTTTGCGTGTCTCTCATCATCATCATCACGGTGGCTCGGAGATGTTAACTGCCTCGCCTGGTATACAGGAGGTCGTGGTTTCGATCCCGAACCTTACGATACCTGCTGTATATTTATAGTTTGCGTGTCCTCTCATCATCATCACGGTGGCTATAAGATGTTAACTACCTCGCCTGGTATACAGGAGGCCGTGGGTTCCATCCCGACCTTGACGGCTGCTGCTGTATATTTGGAGTTTGCGAGTGTGAATTTTTGTCAGGGTCCTCCGGGTTTTCCCTGGACATTTAGAAACACCCGTTTAGAGGTTTTGCTGCTGCTATAAATCACCATCTGATGCTAATGATAAGCCACTTCCTTGAGCTATCATTTGTGATGGCCAGGTCGCTTCTGAAACAAAACAGCTGAGTGGGCCTTACTTGGTAAAATACAACAAATAGTTTTAAATAGTCTTAAGTCAGTGGTTCCCAAACTTTAAAAGAAAAATAATGGGTGAAGGGTTGGCTAATATCCCGTCTAGAAGGGCCAATGCCTAAGATGTCATGCCTATTATATATATGTAATATACATTTACATGCGTTTCTCTTCGAGGGTGTTAGTATTATTATTTGTTGCTGTGTAACACTTCGCTACTTCAGTCTTGATTTTAAGCGTTGCTGACTGCAGGAATCCAGACCCTTTGGTTCTTTCGGTAAAGTCACGTGGGTAGACAATTATTTCATTTTGTAAGGCACAGAAGAGGACTTTGTCCGTGTGTGCGAGTCAAATGGGCATGATGTTACCCCACTGTGTGTGTATGAACTAGGCATGATGTTACCCCACTGTGTGTGTGAGTGTGAACTGGGCATGATGTTACCCCACTGTGTGTGAGTGTGAACTAGGCATGATGTTACCCCACTGTGTGTGTGAGTGTGAACTGGGCATGATGTTACCCCACTGTGTGTGAGTGTGAACTAGGCATGATGTTACCCCACTGTGTGTGTGAGTGTGAACTGGGCATGATGTTACCCCACTGTGTGAGTGTGAGTGTGAACTGGGCATGATGTTACCCCACTGTGTGTGTGAGTGTGAACTGGGCATGATGTTACCCCACTGTGTGAGTGTGAGTGTGAACTGGGCATGATGTTACCCCACTGTGTGAGTGTGAACTGGGCATGATGTTACCCCACTGTGTGTGTGAGTGTGAACTGGGCATGATGTTACCCCACTGTGTGAGTGTGAGAGTGAACTGGGCATGATGTTACCCCACTGTGTGAGTGTGAGAGTGAACTGGCATGATGTTACCCCACTGTGTGAGTGTGAGTGTGAACTGGGCATGATGTTACCCAACTGTGTGAGTGGTGAGAGGTGAACTGGGCATGATGTTACCCCCACTGTGTGTGTGTGTGTGAAACTGGGCATGATGTTACCCCACCTGTGTGGAGTCGGGAGAGTGAACTGGGCATGATGTTACCCCACTGTGTGTGTGAGTGTGAACTGGGCATGATGTTACCCACTGTGTGAGTGTGAGAGTGAAACTGGGCATGATGTACCCCACTGTGTGTGAGTGTGAAACTGGGCATGATGTACCCACTGTGTGTGTTGTGAAACTGGGCATGATGTTACCCCACTGTGTGTGTGATGTGTGAACTGGGCATGATTTACCCCACTGTGTGAGTGTGAACTGGGCATGATGTTACCCACACCTGTGTGAGTGTGAGTGTGAACTGGGCATGATGTTACCCCACTGTGTGAGTGAGTGTGAACTGGGCATGATGTTACCCCACTGTGTGAGTGTGAACTGGGCATGATGTTACCCCACTGTGTGTGTGTGAGTGTGAACTGGGCATGATGTTACCCCACTGTGTGTGTGAGTGTGAACTGGGCATGATGTTACCCCACTTTGTGTGTGAGTGTGAACTGGGCATGATGTTACCCCACTGTGTGTGTGTGTGTGAACTGGGCATGATGTTACCCCACTGTGTGTGTGTGTGAACTGGGCATGATGTTACCCCACTGTGTGTGTGTGTGTGTGAACTGGGCATGATGTTACCCCACTGTGACCCACTGTGTGTGTCCCTTGTGTGGTTTTGTCTTTCTGGGGTGCCCGCAAGCATTTGCCGATCGACTCCCTGAACAGTCTTGTTGTTGTTGTGGTGGTTTGGAGTTAAAAATCTGTCGACTCGGAGACCCCCCCCCCCTCTGCATCACACACGTCTCCCTGCCTCACCCAGGGCACACTCGGCGAGACGCAGACACACACACACACGTGTCGACGTGGCGGAGCGGCAACTGCGACAGTGGAGGAAGAGAGACGGCTGTGGGGGACATGGCGAGGTGAGTGGTGGTGGTTGTGTTGGTGGTGGTGGGTGGGTGGCCAAAGTTCTGTGTGGTTGGTGAGGAAGGTGGCTCTGCCCACGAATACGTTATAAACATTATTCAGGGAGTTGGCCAAAATATGGCAATGTACAGGTCTGGTCCTGGCTGCCTTGCCGTGCCTCTGTTAGAAATCTGTGCAACCGCCGGCGCCCTGCTGCTGCTGCTCTATGTAAGAGCGGAAGCCCGTGAATGGCTTCACTATTCTGGCAAATCGCCCGATGATGATGCTGGTTGATGTCATTACCAGCGAAACGTCACGGTACTCAAATTGTAAATGTTGTGGATTTACTCTCCGACACACCGGTGGGCTGAAGTAGTCACTAATTGGCGTTTTGGTAACGTGACAAATGCCTTGCTAAATGTCTGTGTCGGGTGGTGGAGGGTTTTGACACAACATTTATACTTACGCGATCTAACCCGAAAACCTTTATCATAAATTACAGCGTCCTGTGACGCAAATCACACGAATGATGCCGTACGAAATGAGACCGGCCGAAATATTAGCGTCCCCTGGAGAGGCCTCCGTTCTGTTGTAAAGCGTTGATAGCGATAGTCCCCGGAACCCCGTGGTAGAGAGCCACCACTCCCTTGTGCTGCTGGCGCCCCCCACACCCGGCACGCGAGAGGTGGCGACGAGCCACCCTTGTACGTGTAGCGAGCGACTTGCGGGACACAGCGCGGAGAGGGCTTCTTATTTATTTCTCACACTTCAGGCACGATCACTGGGCGACATTTCTATATATACACAGGGCTACGCATAGCTGACCCATCTACGCAGCCCCATCACTGGCGTCTAAATCTATAGCTGGCTGACTAATATAGCGACGATGACGATGGGAGCCGTGCAGAGGATCGGCCACGCGGTCGGACGATGAAGAAGAGATGACGGTGAAGACAGCGACGGCAGCCAGGACCCGGACCCCACGACAGCCCCGAACCTTGGGTCACGTCCCCCCTATATACTCCCCGGTGTGGCCAGGCCCTGCCTCCGGCCACGCCTCCTAGAACCTTCGAGCAGGTTCCCCGAGCTTCCCGGCTGACCCTGCTCTTGACCTTTAACCCGGTTATGCCCCTAATGTAGTTGGTTATTATATAACGCGCCCATACTCGTGATTATCCCTCCTACTTTTTGGGTTTTTCGGTAAAGTCACGTAGATAGAAAAAAAATCACGACGTTTCGATCGCAACACAAGCAATCGTCTTCAGGTGAAAAATACAGCAGGCGAACTGCTGAGGCAGGAGAAATATAGCGGGAGAGCTGCTGCAGCAAGAGGTTCTAAAGGTTTGAGATGGGTCCAACCCAAGGGTAAGTGGGCGGGGCTAGAGATGGAATTTACAAGTAATATACCTCGGCCATTGTATTGCTAGAGATTAGAGATTAGCATGTCAATGTGTTAATGTAACCCCATGGCTACGGTGAGATTAAAGATTAGCATGTCAATCTGTTAATGTAACCCCACGCCTACGTTGAGATTATAGATTAGAATGTCAATGTGAGATGGCTCCCGCAGCAGCGGCTGTGTTAATGAGACACGTTCAGCCTATTAAACAACGAGAGCCACCGCCACATCGAGGAAAAGGGAAGCAGCGGCTATGTTAGCGAGACATTTAGCCTGTTAATGTAAAGACATTTAACAAGGTAATGCAGAAATAACTGCTAACATCGGCAGGTAGGATGAAAGCATCACAGCAAGTTAAGACTTTACCTGTTTAATAACATCCTTCCAATGATTGCTCAGTTTGTACCCATCTTCTCGGGTGAAATTGTGTCTGTGTTTATATATCTGGATGGCTTCATGAATACATCTTTGTTGATAGCCAGTGGGTTTGCATAGTACCTTCGTCTTGGGGAAATCTATTTCATGTGTGCCCACAGCGTTAAAACAATGATCAGCCACGGCAGAGGTATTAGTTCTACCGTGTTTCAGATCCGCCTTGTGTACACGAACACGGTCGGAAACATGTTGCTTGGTTTTCCCAATGTAACTGCTGCCGCAGGCACAGCTTAGTTTGTAGACACGGGGGTATTGCATGTAAGGGATCACATCCTTCACAGATGGGATCAGATCACGAATTTTATGTACCGTGTTGAATTTAACCTGGATCTTGTGTTTGCTCATGTTTTGGAAATGTTTTTGGTGACCACTGCTATATATGGTAAGGTGATGGTTTTGATTGGGTCCTCAGGTGGTTCTCTCTCAACGGTTGGGTGTGACAGCTTTACGGATTGTGCAATCCGAATATCCATTCACCTTGAGGGCTTGGTGTACGTGCTCCAGTTCACTGGCTAGGTGGTGACGGTCGGAAATGCAACGAGCCCTGTGGTGTAGAGTTTTGATGAGGGAATTCTTCTGGGCTGGATGGTGGTGGGAGTCAGGTTTTTTGATTGGCGTCCGTGTGGGTGGCTTTCCTGTAGACAGAGTGTCCCAATGAGCCATCGGGTCTCTTTTCCACCTCCATGGTGAGTGTGATGGCTGGGTGTATGACATTGGTGTGGTTGAAGAATTTGGTTCAGAGCTGGCAGGCCATGGCACCCTGCTACTACAAATGTACCGTACGCTGAACTTCTTTCGCTCCGCACGTAGCCGATCGTGCTACTCGGGAGGTGCGAGCGCCAGTGTGCCAAGCGGCGAGCGTGTGCACGCGCGCGTGGTTGTGCGGGCTACTGCAGGCATACGCCGTTTGTGCTTCGGGGCTCGACGTGTCTATTGCCATGTCCGTTGTGTACCTGTGATTCATGGGGAGTGGTGGTGCAGCGGTTAGCGTTACGCTGCGATACGAACCCGGCGTCCCGAGTTCGATTCCCGCTCACGGCCAACACCGGTGACGATTATCTGAACCGGTCGTGGGCCTCGCCTAGGTCGACTCGGCCTCAAGTGAGTACCCGGTGCGGTGTGTGAACATCGCCACGAGGGAGACAAAGGCGGCCGGGCGTGGTGCTGGCCACCCACCCCCTCGTGTGCCACAGTGCTGGCCTTCATAGGTGCTGCTCGTTAACAGCACTTGCCCCAACAGTCTGTTAATGCGACACTGGGGGATCTTTGTGTCTGTGATTGTTACAAGGTCGCGTGGTTAGCGTGCAACAGCTCCTGCTGTGTTATTGCGCCCGGCATGTTCCTTTATTCAGTTTGTTTTGAGCATCCGGGGCAAGGATTGGGCAAACAACTGAGGTCCACTTTCATGGCAGGCAACTGCAGAGCACAGACTTAAGTGTTTCTAACCGAACGTGAAAACTAACAATAAGATCTTGTTGGTTCTTTTGGTAAGTCACGTTGAAGGGAAATAATAAAATAATAAAAATAAATCATAATAAAATTCTCACGACGTTTCAACCACAACGCAGGCAGCCATCCTCAGGTGAAGAACAGGACTGTCGGAGCCACCTGAGGACCCATTTTTTATTTTATTTTATTATTTCCCTTCTACGTGACTTTACCGAAAGAACCAAGAAGATGAATCCCTGCAGTCGCGAAAGCTGTAAATCGAAAAGTAACAATTACAGTGAAGAGACGGTGTATATACGGTTAAAATGTAAGAGTTGACAAACATTTACTTCAAATCTTTGTCCTTGTAGCACCCAAGACACCGTTCCAGAGCCTGGACGAGGCTATTTTAAAACGTCGTGAGCACCACCGACCCAACGCCGTGGGGAGATTTTTGTTCGCGATTGTCAAAGCGGTGCTGGAAACGCCATCGAGGATGGAAGGTTAAAACTGTCCACTCCGCGTAATGGCAACTTGTTTGGGACGCGGCTGTTGCACCACACTGTGGTGGTGGGTGCAGCTTCTGGCGGTATTCGTGTGGCGTGCGTCGTGACATTTGTGTGGGTCAAATGTGTTTATTTTTCTGGCTCGATGACGATGCGCGTGGCCTCGTAGATTTATTTTTGACAATGGATGGAATTTATCGGCCTTGGCATCATTTATCCGACGATCATCTCTCTTCAGAAGAGACTCTTCCAGATTCTTCTTGGCTGTTCAAAGTCAAAGCACAATCGAGAGATATGCCAAAAAATCCCGAGATAGGAGAGATGAAATGTTGACTGCCCAGTTCGTGTAATTATCTGCAACAGCAGATGCGTCATCTGTCATGGAACAAGTTGTGTGCGTCGAGGAAAGCGGTCATTAATCACCCGCTCGGAGCTCCCCTATAGCCACGATCCATCACCAAGAATGATTCCAGTTGAGGCAACCTGCTGACCATGCGCCCTCCCTCTCGAGACGTGACCTAAGGGTGTGCACCTCTGTACCGTGAGGCGGGTGGCTGCCAGACACCAGTTCTCCCGGGGTACCTTCGGCACCAGACAGAGAGGTGCTACGTGAGGACTCTCCGACCGCGGCTAGAGCAGAGAACGACCGTGCCAAGGGCTGACCGGCAAAACCTCGACCAGGTATCCAACCGTGGCAGAGCCCCTTCGGAATGCAGTTAGGTTATTGAGAATATTTGGTGCAAAACAGTTACACGTGATAAGCCACTTCGTTGAGCTAACATTTGTGACCACCAGGTCGCTTCTGAAAAATGAGCTCATCGCTCAGTGGGCTTTACCTGGTAAGATTAAAAAAGTACTTTACTTTTATTTGTAGTTGTTTTCAAGTGATTTGTTTACCTTTCCTATGCCTTCCACTGCTGTCATGTTGTTTGTATTGTGTGCTGTTGTAACGTTCTGACTACGTGCCCCTACTCATGGCTGTAAACCCACACGGTTTACCCCCCGTATCCCCGTACAGGGACATGGAGTTGTCAGGTCTATACGGCGTACAGCCGTTTCATTCTGGGCAATTTTTGTTTTGTCTATTTGTTTGTGATGGGACTTGTAGGATGAACGTTGAGATTTATAATGGCACGTGGTGACCAATAAGGTTGGAATTTGTCTGTAATAAGGTAGGGCACTGATAAGGGCTTGACTGGTATGCCACCCCCTCGTTCTCTATACCGGCTGTCAGAGGTGCTGCTCACTAGTAGGCTATATGGGGGATGTTTGTCTTTATATAGAGAGCGGTGGCGCAGTGGTTAGCGCACGGCGCTACAAACCCGGCAACTCGAGTTCGATCCCCACTCACGGCCAACATCGGTGTCGAATATAATCTGAACTGGCTCTGGGCCTCCCCTAGGTCGACTTAGCCTCAACCGAGTACCCGGTTCGACGTATAAACATCGCCACTGGGGCGGCAAAGGCGGCCGGGCGTGGTTGCTGGCCACCCACCCGCCGGTGCACCGTGCTCGCCCGTCACAGGCGCCGCTCGCCAACAGCACACGCCCTGACCACCTGTTGAGGCTACGTGGCGGTGGGCGGGGATCTTTGTGTTTGTGGAGCAGGAGCGAGTCGCTGGGTGCCATGGCCAGCTGTAAGTGGTGGTGCCCGGCGCTGATCGTCTGCATCTACGGCTTCGTGTCTCAGCTGAGGCCGGCCGAGTCTTTCCTCATGCCCTTCCTGCTCAGCCCCGACAAGAACCTGACGCGTGAGCAGGTGAGACGTCCACAATAAAAAAAACGATCGTAATAATAGTGACTCCACTCGCACTGTAGATAGAATGCAAACAATGAGAAGAAGCCAGTAATGATGATTACTCTACGCTCACAGTGTAGGTAAAGTCCAATCACATAATAGCACAAGCCGTGCGAGTCATCGTGTGGGTAGAAGCGAGGATCTGCGGAGAGAGCTCCAGCGGGGAACGTTCCTTCAGCTCGATTCAAACTACGAGCCCGTTCCATATCGGTGCCATTCTCACGGCACAGAGCTGCCATCACCAGGTCAGGGAAGGGGCGCTGCTGCCTCCGTAGCGAGCGGGAGCTTCCTAGTCCGTGGCGATAGTTGCTGGGTTTTTCCACTTTTCGCGAATGACGCCACGGGGTCTCTTTCGCGTCCACCGTGAAGCGGACCTGAGCTTGCTGTTCACGGTCAACGCACCAGACGCACCGGCGGCGACGCGAGCCTTGACGCGGCTCGTTTGTTGTTGTCGTCGTTGCCGCCCCCGGCGGGCCCAGATCACCAACGAGGTGATGCCGGTGCTCGTCTACTCCTACATGGCCGTGCTGGTGCCCGTCTTCCTGCTGTCCGACCTGCTGCGCTACAAGCCCATGCTGGTGCTGCAGAGCGCCAGCTTGGTGGCCGTGTGGCTGCTCCTGCTGTTCACGCGGGGCATCCTCGGCATCCAGTTCGTGGAGTTCTTCTACGGCGTGAGCATGGCGGCGCGCGTGGCGTTCTCGCCGATCCTCTTCGCGCTCGTGGAGACGGGCCACGTGCAGCGCGTGACGAGCGTGTCGCGCGCGGCCACCCTCCTCGGCCTCTTCGGCAGCTCCGCGCTGGGGCAGCTGTGCGTGACGGTGTGGGGCGTCTCCTACGCGACGCTCAACCGCGTCTCCCTGGGCTTCGTCTCCGTCTCCTTCCTCTTCTCGCTCTTCTTGCCGTGGCCCCGACGCAGCCTCTTCTTCCACCGGCCCCCGCCGGGCGACGTCGCCGCCGTCGCCGCCGCCGACGGGCGGTGCCCCGAGCGGGGGCCGCTCGCGAAGGGCGACGCGGACGCCGCCCGAGGGGGCGGCTTCGGCGTCGCGGCGCCCGCCGCCGGGAGCGCCGTGAGCGCCGGACGGGCGGCCGCCGCCACGTACCTCGAGTGGCTGCGCAGGGCGGGCCGCGCCGTCGCCTCGTCGCCCAGCCTGTGCTCGTGGTGCGCCTGGTGGGTGTTCGGCATGGCCGGGTACTACATGGTCCTCTACTACGTGCAGCTGCTGTGGGACGAGGTGGAGCCGTCGCGCGACAACCCCCGCGTCTACAACGGCGCCACGGAGGCCACGTCCACCCTGCTGAGTGAGGTCGCACCACCCCCCCTCACTCCCCTCACCCCCCACTCCCCCACTCCACCGGCCCCCCTCACCCCCCACTCCCCCCTCACCCCCCACTCCCCCACCCCACCGGCCCCCCTCACCCCCCACTCCCCCCTCACCCCCCACTCCCCCACCCCACCGGCCCCCCTCACCCCCCACTCCCCCCTCACCCCCCACTCCCCCACCCCACCGGCCCCCCTCACCCCCCACTCCCCCCTCACCCCCCACTCCCCCACCCCACTGGCCCCCCTCACCCCCCACTCCCACCGGCCCCCCCGCCGTGAGATTTGTAAGTGCCATGCTGGAGCAAGCGCAGCGCCGCTGGGATATTGGGACGAAGCCTTTGGCCTGAGTTCCTTCAGGGTAGTGGTTCTTCACCTTGATTGCAGCCTTGCAGCCCTTTGGTTCTCAATCTTAATTTGTTTTATTTATTTTAATGAATACGTAGGATTTGATGAAACAAAGTAAGTTGTAACTTCACGTGCCCTGTGGCTTACTTTGTGTTTTCGATTATTTACCTTCGAACAAAAATCTGGCCACGTCTCGCTACCCCCAGCAAGGGCATCTCGCACCCCCAGTGGGTGGGCGCACACCCAGGTGAAGAACCACGGCTCTCGAGGCTCTGCTGCAGGCGACAGAGACACCTCGTGTTTATATGTTTGGGTGGCCGGCTGGGATTCGGTTTTCTAAAACTGGACTTGTTTTCGCTGGTGAAGCTTTAGGTTGACGCACCTTCAAGTTATTGATCTGGTCCAGCCAACTGCGGGAAATTGAGGCAATTGATGTAGACTGGGGTCAAGAGGTCAAGAGCCATGAACCCCACCTGTCCTGTCACGTGGATACTGGGAGTCGAACGAATCAATATCTAATGCTCACACAATATGCGCAGAGGATCTTGTGTGTTTGAGTCAAATGTATCCACGTAGCCGGCCGTTAAGTGATTTGGTCGTCAAGCGAGGATAGGGAATGCACGTCAAAGGCCGAATGCGTTCTGATGCCATTGGAAGTTACCCTTTATCACGCAAAAAGCACACTTTGTAACATTTAAACAATTAATACATAAAGATACTAACAACATTATAAACACATAATATGAAAATAAACACGTTAACCAATGCATTAAGATATTTACTGTACCTACAACAGCCCGTGGTTAACAGGGGAATGATCGGTAAGCGAACACATTGGACTCTATGGAGGCACTACAGTACTATACACTACACTATACACTACACTAACATACACTACACTACGATACACTACACTACTATACACTACACACTACACTACTATACACTACACTACTATACACTACACTACGATACACTACTATACACAACACTACTATACACAACACTACTATACACAACACTACACACTACACTACTATACACTACACTACGATACACTACACTACTATACACTACACTTTACACTACACTACATACTACACTACACACTACACTACTATACACTACACTACTATACACTACTATACACTAGACTATACACTACACTATACACTACACTGTACACTACACATTGGATTAACCGGGGTGGTCGTCAAGAGGGTTCTACTGTATATGCAAATGGTATGCTCATGTTACATAAATTCAGGCAAACGGAGAAAGCAAAACTCTCCAGCGAGAGCGATACACAAGCAGCAATACAGACGAGATGCTAACAACAAGATTCAGGATCAACGTACGAATCAAAGAGCAGGACCCTGAATCACAATGATTAATCGAATTGCCAGTGGGGTTGAGATTTTTGTAACCTCCATCGAGCGATAATTAACCATTGGCGTCATTAGCGGAGGGTCAAAGTAACAACGGCTAAGCCGACGTCCCCCTCCACGTGTCCCGTGTCATCAGAGTTCGTTCCTCACGCCTCGAGCCGAGGCACGTGCCGGGCAGGGTCCCTGCCGACGCCTGGGAGCCGATCTCGGTGCGTGGCCTTGCCCTGCCCGTCGTCAACCTTCCAGCCCACCGCGGGATGAGCCGCGTGGCTCTCCATCCGCACCCCGCCCCGGGGCGCTCCGTGCGGCGAACTCCCCCCGCTGTGGAGCCACCGCCGGGGGGGGCGTTTGTCGGTCAGCGCCGTGCGCCGTCTCGTGCGGGGAAGCTGACCGTGGCGGTGCCGGGCAGTCCGGTCTCGGCACAGATCGATCCCTGCCGCCCGACAGGCAGATGCCGATGTCCGTGACTGGCCCTGGGTTTTGCTGCGATGTTCACAGGCGGACACATCCCGACGATACTTGCGGGACGCGATCGCTGGCTCGGCCGAACGACGTTCGGTTTCGGTTTCAGGTTTATTTCGAAGTTCCCTGTGAGCCAAGGAGCTCTTAAATCGGCGTTTCATCGACAAAAAACAACACCGCCGCTTCTCTGACAAACGCATCAAAGTCACGGTGAAATAAACGATAATAGATAAGGGAAATTACAGAAATAAAAAATCATAATCGCAATATCAAGATTATCTTTTTTATTAAAGAAAATGTAAGTGAAATATATAATTAACCATCAATTACCATGCTGTATCTCTGAAAAAGATACAAATCAAAATCTGCCAAAGTAATTATAATGCAGATACAGCCTCAACGACGATAGCATTACAGTGGAGGGGAGGGGCAGGAGAGGTGGGAAGCGTGTGTCTGTGTGTGTGTCTGCGTGTGTGTCTGTGTGTGTGTCTGTGTGTGTGTCTGCGTGTGTGTCTGTGTGTGTGTGTGTCTGCGTGTGTGTGTGCGTGTGTGTGTCTGCGTGTGTGTGTGTCTGCGTGTGTGTGTTTGTGTCTGTGTAGGGGTGTTAAAAAGAGGGCCCGTTATGCATGGCAGCCTATGGAAAACAAACACAGTGGGCGGGGCTACGTAAGTGCACGAGCAAGTGCTCTCTACGACGTCCGAGCCAGACACCCTGGGGGGGGCTGGTTCGAACGTTATGATCCCCCGGGGCCCCACCCCTCAGGGAGGGGTTGGGTATAAAAGGGGATGTTTCAAAGGGCTCGGCAGTTATGTTTAAGCTAAGGGAAGAAGATTGAAGACGTCTTAGATAGAGCCCTGGACTCCCCTGGTTCGATGTCCTTTTCAGGGCCGGACAGGATTGAGCCAGCGGCGTGGTCCCGAAAGCCAGAGCCGGTGCTCTTGTAAGAGCTGGTCTGGAACTCCGGGTACCGGGCCCGACTTACCAGTGTCGGGCCAGTTAGCCTCCCCTAGCCCATTAGTGGAGGATTCGGGGCTAGGACAGAGTTAGCTAGGGGTGTATCCCGAGTTATACGGGTGAGGGGGCCGATACCCCCTCGAGAGTGTATATGCCCACTGTCATACTGTGAAATAAATATACGTGTGCCTCAACCTCGGCGTCAAGCGTCTTCACCGGTACTTCAACTGGTGTCAAAAGTAATTCGAACATGGACACGCGGAAAACAGCGCGGGCCAAAGTACCGCAGGAGGAAGACACTGCCGAGATCGTCGAGCCCGAGACGGCTCCACAAGACAAGGTGCAGCCGGGGCCTGACGCCTCCTTACCGGGGCATCGAAATGAAGAGGGGCCGCAGCCAGACGCGTTACGGCTGGCTCACGGGAGGCTGGCGGAGCTGCTGTATGCCGCTGCTGCCACGCTGGAGACCATCACGCGACTAGGGGCCGGTGATCCAACACGGGGCGAGGCGAGCCAACGACCAGGGCGCCTTCCCGCCATTTCGGAGCAGTCCGAATTTGAAATTCCCGCCATCGACGCTACAGCTGTTCGGGGCGTGGCCAGCCTAGACATCTGCTCCGACATCGCCGTCGCTGAAGCTGCAACGTCATCACAAGCGCGACAGGCGATCCCATCGGCTGTTCGCACCGACGCACAGCCGAGTGGTGGTGACATCAGCCTGCGGGAGTCCACAACGACCGCTGCGCTTCATCAGAGACTGCCCCCGCTGAAGGAGTTCATCGGCGCGGAGGGGGACTGGGCCGGTTTTCGCCGACGTTTCCTCGCCCATCAGGAGATGGCGAAATGGTCCGATGAGGAGGCTCTCTGCGCGCTGCCGGCGCTCCTCGACGGCGACGCGCTCGCCGCCCTCACATCGGCGCCGAGAGAGAAGCGGTCTACGTTACCGATGGCACTACAGCTGCTGGGCGGGGTCTATGGACCATCGGCTGAATGCCGACAGCAATTTTACGACCGCAAGCGGGGTGAGAAGGAGTCGCCCCTAGCATATCGGACGAGCCTCCTGGCGATGGCTAAGTCGGCCTTCCCTCGTATGGACGACGACGGCGTGGACGCGATGGTCACGGAGAAGATCCTCCTCCTGGCAGACGACCTTGACATCGCGGTCGTCGCCCGGGAGGACGAGGAGATGACATCGCTCCAGGCGGCGCGGCTCCTCCACGCCAACCTCCTGTCACTGCGGCGGAAAGCCAGCAGGGCATCGGCGGGGCGTGCGGTGGCTGCAGCCACCATTCCGACGGAGGAGCTCTACGCCGTCGACCACCGACCGCAACAGGCGACAGGAGCACGTTCGGGCCGGAATGGGCCGGGCCGTTTCAACCGTCCGTCTCCTCCAACGGCGCTCCCGCGGTGTTTCAACTGCGGCGTCCGGGGCCACGTCGCCTCGGGGTGCCGCGCTCCTCGACAGCGCGGGACGACACCTCAACGGGACGACGGGCCTCATCACAAGCTCCACCATCATAACCCGGCGAGTCGCAGCACCCCACATGTTTGGCCCACGCACACACCCGTCACGCACTCAAACACCGCAACGAGAGGGGGGCCGATATCGCGCACCATCGCACCATCACGCACCACCCCGGGTACTCATATCGAACCCGGCCAGTGGTCCGTGCTGGCCGATCGTATGGTAGCCGCATCGTCGGGGTCGTCGGCCGTTGTGGGGCACATCGACGGGGTTGAAGTGCGCATCCTGGTCGATACGGGAGCATCGGCGACCATTATTTCGGAGTTGATTTACAATATTCTCCCTGTCCGGAGTCGTCCTTTG